TGGTTTACAAGACTGTTGATAATCCAAATTAAAAATTTTACTGATAATTTTTTTTTGGTTAATGAACACTTTGTTACTATCTACTGAGTTCCCCCACAAAATTACATTATAGCACATGTGGCTGTAAGCAAGGCTATAATAAACGTTCATTATTGGCGAGATGGGTATTGTCTATTCGCTTAGCTAGGGCATATTTTGACAGACTCATTGTCGGAAACCTACAACACAACAATTCCTACTTCTCAGTATTAATAGCTCAAGTATACTACTATTGCAGACTTCTTTCTTTGAAAAAAAGAAGAATTATTCTAAATAGTGGAAGTGTATACTAAACCCATCAAATTTTCCCTGTATATTTAAAATATAATATTTGAATTGTTACAATTTAAAATATTGTAGTAAATATTTGTATTATTCGCGTTGTTTATTTAATTTAATATAGTTTTATTGTTTTATTATCTTTGTTTAATTCTTTTGTTAGTTCTATTCAGTTAATTAGTTAGTTATATTTTAAATTTTATTATTATGGATAGTCAAAGTTTTCCATTTGTTCCATCAACTAATGTGTTGGTAAGTTTTTCTTAATAAATATGATAAAATGTTTTTTAAAAGTTAATATTTTTAGATTAGTTGTTTTTAATTTAATATAAACTTGTTTATACCTACATGGAGGTTTTTGTTGTTTGTTTGGGTTTATATGACTGCAGACTGCGGCCAGGACACTGAATTCATTAACCATATTATGTGGAAGATTTTAACATCCTCAAATGCTAATGAGCAAAAATTACTATTGAACCACGAATTTGCCTAGTCAAATTACTAATATTTGCTTTTAGCATTATGGAAGTACACTTATTTTGTAAGATAATAAAACAACAGTTTATGTTAATGCTATCCAATGAACTGTTAATCTTTAATCATTGATTCCATCCTAGTCACAACATAAGGAACTTGCTGTGTTTTATTTAACCTCACTTTGACTTTTTAATTTTGTAGAATTTATTCCCACTTTTTTTATTTTGTACAATAAATAATTTTATTATTTGTTATCAATACATTATACGGTGTAAATAAATAAATATTGATTGTTGGCAAAGTTCTATTTTATTTACTTTTGTTTACATTAATATTGACTAAGAGCACGTATGCTTGGTTGTATAGTAATTTCCAGCCACTTCGAGTCTGTCAAAAAGTAACTAACTTCGCAAAAAAATAATTACTAAAATCACTAGACAGTTCGGACTGGGAATAGCGAACCGGGTATAGTGTGTTTTTAATTCTAGATATAGCATAATAGTATATTACATAACGAGAGTTGTAAGAAGCTTATTACATGCGAGTAAAAAAGTTGCGCGCAAGCCGCGTAGCGGCGAGCGCAGTAATTTTACAAGCATGTAATAAACTTACAACTCAAGTTGTGTACTATACTTTTTCTACCATTATTTTTGTTTATAAAAATAAAAATTAAATTACCACTATATTTACACTGACAGATTAATAATTTTTAACCTGTCAAAACAACGCCTGTTAATTCGTTTCCATGGTAACTCGACCAACTGACTTACAAGGCTTATGTGATATTACACATTTTTATAGAACTGAAGCGTAATTTTTTTATTACGTGCTAGTCATTACGTGTCAGTATCTGTTATGATGCATTTACTTAGCATCCAAATAGTAGGTAATATACAATTTACTAGTAAGAGAGTAGAAAAAAAGCTTTATTCAATTTCATGTTCACTTGCTCTGACCATTTGAGATTACAATCAATGAATACACCCAAAAACTTTGTAGAGTGAGTGGAACATAACCATAGATAAATAATATAATAGTAGAAATAGATAGGCAACTCAATGTAAAAATTTCGTTCATTAGGCCCCTTGCGGCTGGGGTCAATACTAATAATCTTTTGGCGGCAAATTCGAATGAACACCCCTTACATACATACCCTTTAGCGCCTCTTGTGGGCTATTTCGTTACTAATTAAAATTTATTGGAAAATAAGATATATAAAAGATGCACATTTTTTTCTAGATATACGTATATTTATTTGTTGTTTAAGATAAAACAGTTATAAAATAATTACATAATATTTATTACACATATTTGCAGAAGTTAAATACTATTATTTTTTGCTTCCTGACAACTTACTATCATCCTTTTTGTAATTTTTCCATGATTTGTACACAACGAACAATACAATAATTCACCATGTTTAGTTTTGTTACTATCACAACACAAAAATTCTTTGCTACAATAGGTAACGCGATCATTTTACATCCAGCGATGAGGATTTAGAGGAAATTCTGGACGTTCAGGGTCATTGATATCAATTTCATCTCCGTAGACATCGTTCCGTCTTACTACACTAGCACCGCAGAATAAACAAAAATTTATTATTTATTATTGCTTATTATTACAATTGTTTATTACTCTGTGCTAGGACCCTATTTTTTGCTTACAAATTTTGACAATGTAGCAATATCGTCTTTAAAATAAATTTTTATCAAACGTCTGTGTTCCTCCTTGTACATATAAACAAAACAGCGTGTTGATGTTTTGGGGTTAGAAACAGTCAGAAATGTCCGGAAATCGTTCGTGGAGAAATAGCTGTTAAAAACTAGTAACTAATCGCGCCAGCGCACAACGTTAATCCGAAATCGGTCCGAAATTTATCCAAAACTAGTCAGGGACTGTCTCCGCGAACAAAACTATTGTTTCTATCATGGATGGTTAAGATATAGTCATATTTAGATGAGTTGTATGAATGAAAATAAATAATTTGCGTCTTGTCAATGTTTAGTATTAGTCTGTTGGTATTACACCAGCGTATAAAGCAGTCATCCAGGATCCAATGAGTTTGAAGATTGTATTCTGTAATTGTAGCAAAATATGAGGCAAACGAATTAGCAATATCACACGACTTGGTAATAATTTTATTATCATAATGTAGAATAATATCATACCTGTTCTTTTGCCTACCAATTTCGCTGTTTACTAAATTCCAAATTGTTTTTGGTATACTGTAAGATTGATTAATTAAGTCACTATGAAAGTTTTTTTTAGTATTTATTAGTAGAGAATTATATTCTTTTTTTGCCTGTTTATAGATATCTTGAGACTCGAGACTCCCTATATTTTTTGCTATCCAGTGTAGATTTTTTAGTTTTTCACTAGCGTGTCTTACCTCATTTGTTACCCATAGAGACTGAGTCCAAAGATAATCCAAGAATAAGTGTTCTGAAGCTATTTGCTTGTGGCATTTTAAAGCAATTGCTTGTTCTAACGAAAATTTCTTCTTAGGAAAAACATTTGTTAACATATGTTTTATTAAAAAATGATCATCCCAGAAGCACAAGACATCCCTGGGACGTCCATTTTATGCCATTTTAAGGCCCAACGTCCCGGGACTTCTTTTGGACGTCCAAGGGATCTTTCTAGTCGGACATACCAGGGACGTCCCATAAGGTCGTCCGAGAGACGTCCCATTAGGGATGTTTTCTAGATGTTAACTGTGTCATTTTTTTACTTAAGCATATTTTTTACAAAATATAATCTTACTACTAAACTTTATTTTAAAATGTTATATTTAGTTTTAAATACCATTAATTTATACGAAAACAGACAGAGGCCCCTTTTAGAGAAAAATCCTTATCATCCTTTATCGTTTATAAATAAGGAATTTTAAACAATCGACCGAATAGATCAGGACAACTTAGAACGAGATCCTACAACATACACAAAGAATAATACGAGGAACAACAAACACATTGAGATGTGTTAAACTGTTTGTTCGGGCTGTTAGGCCGTTGTCTTGAGATTAGTTCTCGACGTTTCGCCAACACTAGGGGTTGGCATCTTCTGGAGATCTTACTGCTTCGCTTTTAAGCTGAAACTGACGCCGCGTTGTGTCAGTCAGTCAATGTTCTTCTCGAGGGATAGGGATAAGGATTTTTATTACGTGCGGATTGAACATTTTCTATACCCGTTTAGGATCGTTTGATCCTCTTCAGGCTTGGATTTGAGTGTGTTGTGTTACAAAGGCAAATAGTCCTAGAATCCACTGGGGCATTAGCGTTCTTCTTCTTCTGTGGAATATTTATAGAGTCTGTCGAGATGGAGTCGTTATTGAATTAGGGGTGAAAGGCTTGACTGGAATTTGGTGCTCTTTCCAGAGAGAATGTGTGTGTTTTTGAGCTAGATGCGACAGAGCCGGGTCTCTAGTGACCATTGTTCCTGTGCAGTCTTGAGCTTAACTCGGCCCCAAAACCAGTGTCTTCTTATAGTGCCGTGCACCTATAGTGCGTTAGAGAATTATCTTAAGGACAGACGTCTGTCTTTTGCGACATGTAAAAGATCGCCAGTGTTATTTATGCCTGTCCAGTTCTTTATGTTTCGTAGCCACGACATTTGTTTGTAACCTACTCCTCTCTTACCTTCGATCTTTCTGTTGAGAATGTAATACATTTATATTGTATACACAGATATATTGGTGTAAGTGTAAGTAGAACGCACCCATAGTATCATAGGTTGACATGACAGACAGTAATAAGTAATGTCAATGAGTATCATGAAGTTGTAGAGTTGTATCATACACACGTGTGTATTGCGTGTTATACTAACAATATGTATAATCTTTGGTAACCTTATTTACTTTAAAGGGTTTTTACCCTAATATTTTGGTGGCTCAGGCATGTTAACCTGCTTTTAACCTGATGATGGAATTATTATTCTCAAAACGTTCGTGTTAATTTGATGTAGCCCGTTTAAGGGTTTTTTAAATATACCCACTTATAAAGATTTAACCTTTTTTTGTGATATATGGTATACAGCCAGCTGCAGGAATTTATTTTCCTTGTGGATTTTCCTTATTTAGTTCACCCATATTTTAGATATTTTTATGGACATATATTTTTGTTGTTTTAGGAATCAAAAATATATGTACATTTACCATTTAAATGGAAATGAAGATTCAGTTAACAAAAACAAAACATATTTTTTTAATACCTATATTTAAAAAAAAGTATTGAAAATAATTCTTACAAATCAAGAATACAATAAATTTTAACTAACTACTTCTTGGCCTTCTTCTTCTCAGCCTCTTCCTCCTTTTCTTTTTCAATTTCTGTCACATATTTCTCAATTGTCTCCCCGTCTAACATTACAATTGGTTCTCCATGTCGCATAACAGCAATTTCTAAGTTTTTCTGTCCAGACTGTACAACTTCTAATAAGGCTTTGATAGCTAATTTCACTGTGCCTTTTTCTGTAGCTACCTCTTCAGCAGTATAGAATTTTTCCAAAAATTCTCTGACGGTCTTTGCAGAACGGCCTACAAGAATATAAGAATGTGATTTTTTTTTAATTTTGTGATTTTTTTTACAACAATTAAACTGTGTGTTCAGGCTGTTAGGCCATTGTTTTCTGAGATTAGTCTTGACGTTTTGCCAACACTAGGGATCAGTTTCAGCTTACAAGCGAAGCAGTAACATCTCCAGAAGAAGAAAACCCCTAGTGTTGGTGAAACGTCGAGAACTAAACTCAGAAGACAACGGCCTAACAGCCTGAAAAAACAGTTTAACAAGTTAGACGATGAGTGTGAAAACCTAACACATTTTATCAGATATAAACAGGTTTACAGTTTGAGTTTTTTTTTATTTTTAACTTATTTATACAACATACATACTAAGAAATAAAATAGAAAACTACTAAAATGACTATTACACTTGGATTCCAAAAATCTTAAATACATTAAGAAAAGTACAATAATCCAACTGATTCATTTATAGTGAAGCTGAAAAAATCCTTTGTATATATGAGAATATTATTTATCCGGAATTTAACAAAAAAATTGATCAAATTAGTAAATAAAAAGGCCCTTTAACAAAAAATATTCCTTTAACACGTTGCCTGCCGTAGAGGATTTTGTAACACATTCTGTTCACGTCATAGAGACCGAGCCGGCACCACAGTTACATTAAACCTGGCTGGCATGCAGAGAAATTTTTTTCTAGGACACATAGACTGAGATGGCAGGCAATGAGTTAACACAGTAAGAATGGAGTTATTGAATCAGCAAAATCAATTCGATATTACACAATCATCAAAAACTGGCTAAAAATACCTAAACTTTTACACTTGTAGCTGAATATCTCTTAGGATAAAAGGGGGAGAAGGACAAATATACCTTAAAATCAATCTAAAAATAGAAATAAATGTGTCTGTTGGCTTCCAACATTTTAAATTAGTTACCTGTCGCATTTGCTTTCCATTCATAGTAAATTCCAGAAGGTTCTGTTTGATATAAATGAGGTTTTCCATCATAATCAAAACCACCAATCAAACAAGAAATACCAAATGGTCTTCTACCATTACTTTGAGTGTATTTTTGCTTCAGGGAAGCTATATATCTTGTGATATACTCTAAAGTGACAGGATCTTCAACAGTCAATTTGTGGCTTTGACATTCAATTTGTGCCCTATTTATTAGAATTCTTGCATCAGCTGTAAGTCCTGCAAATGCCATAACGACATGATCATCTAATAAACAGATTTTTCTAACTGTACGTTCTTCCTGAAGCTTAGCTACTGATTTCTTTTCTACACCAAGTACTACTGCATTAGCACCTCTGACACCTACCTAAAAAACAATTTATAAATTTAATTCTAGCTATATTATTAAAAATAATTTTTAAAATAAGTTAACTCAGACGATAATATAATATGCTGTAATACAAAATATATTTACTTTAAACATTAAAACTTTTGCAACATGAATTGACATTTTTTTAGTTTGGGTTAAGATATTTATACTTACTGCAGTGGATCCTTTACGTACAGCTTCCTGTGCATATTCTACTTGTAAAAGGTGACCATCTGGAGAAAATACTGTTATAGCTCTATCGTATCTTGAAGACATTTTCTCAAAATTTAAATTGTATATTACTACAGAACGATCGGCTCCAAATCTAAGGAAACATACACAACCTCAAAATTTTCGCTTTATCATCAACAATCATGACTGCCAATACACGGATTCCAGGGATTTTTATCGTTAGGGTTAGTAATAAATTTTAAAAAAATATATTTTCTAAGCCCTCCGGGATATTTAAAAATACATTAAGAAAAAGCATAATAAAAATTGCAAAAATTTAAAAATATGTTTATTCAAAAAAGGTGCTAATTTGATCAAATGTTATGTCGTTCTAGGCACGGAACACTTAGGAGCTTAAAACAGAAAGATAACTTCTAATTCTCGACTTTTAGATAAATAAGTACAAAATATAACCTCAATCTTTTAGTCTTCACTTTTGTTTAAAGCTACATAAAGTAAATGATGTGGCCAAGTGTTAGTTAAGTAAATTCAAGTATACACACTTAAGGATAACTAGATATTGTTTAGTATTGCTTCGACGAGTACATAACTATGTTTTCAAGGAAACTTTTTCTTATTTTTATTTTATTTTTAATTATTAAAATATGTGTTTCACATTCCCATTCTCATGATGATCATCACGGGCATTCCCATGACGAACCTGCTTCATTCAAATATTCAAGAGCAGCGAATGAACCAAGTCACCATGAGCATGTTCATACTCATGAACACCATGAAGAAGTACCCCTTAAATCTAAAAACCAATTAAATACTCAGGACTTATGGATCCATGCAATGGGTTCAACGTTACTTATTAGTGCCGCTCCATTTTTTATCTTATTCTTTGTACCCTTAGACAATACTGAAAGCAGCCAACCTCTTTTAAAAATATTATTAGCCTTTGCTTCTGGAGGTTTGTTAGGAGATGCCTTTCTACATTTAATTCCGCATGCCACTATGGCAATAGAAGAGCAAAATCCACATAGTCACAGCCATTCGCACAGTCATGAACCTGGAGAAGAACATTCTCATGATATGTCTGTAGGTAAGTAAATATTTTTATTTTATTTCATTTTGAATATAAGCAAATCATTCTTAAGCACATATTGGACAATGGGCACTTCTCCATTTCACTAGTGGTCAAAAATTCAAGTCCGTAACCTTCAGTGATGTAAATTTTCGTTACTTTTGAATATCTGTAACAATTTGTTACTTTAAATTGCAATATCTGGTTTTTTATACTCATTAGTTTTAGTATTCTTAGTCTTGAGTTAGAATACAATATTTGTGACGTTAGTGATTAGTATTTAAAAGGTAATAATCTTCAGTGCTTATAATATATAAATATAGTCCAAATTTGGTTAACTGGGATTTTGTTAAATATAATAAAAACTATGTTATTTTCACAAAACATAAGAAAAATGATAACTGTACTAATTTTTTTTATTTTAATCTGTTTCTGTGTTTGGTTACTATTTGACCGGCTTTAGAAAATATACATTCGCATGGAACAGAAGTGGCATATACGCATAAATACTTTTTGGATTACTTAGAAAACCAGGAATACACTCTTTACCTCTCGCACCATCAAATGAGAGGATCATTTTTTCTTTCAAGGTTTGGCTCTTCAGAAATCATTTTGATTTTGGTGATAGTGACTGCTGTTTTTTACACATGTATTGTACATCATACATATCATAATATTTTTGATTGTCCAATAGATCCTCCTTGATATTTTCATTTGTTTCATTAACAGTTTCATTTTCAGCAGATTGGTATTCTGTAAGATAAACTAGTTCATCTTGAATTTGATTTTGAACTCTTTATAAATTCTCTTCGTTGCATGTTGTTCATTACAATTCTTCCTAAATACTTTATCTTTAATTTGCTCTAAAGACGAAAGTACTTAGTCCTTTTATAATAAGAATAATTTTAGAGAGTGTTACTGCTTTTCTGTGCTCATTTCAACAGTATCTACTTCAAAAGGCTATAAAATATGGCAAAGTTCTTTTAACATCATCTATTCTTCTTCATTTGGAAGATTAATAGGCTTGAACAAAAGACCAACTCTTGCAGCCAAAGGTTCTGATAAGATAACTAGTCTCTTTTTTGCTCTTCTAAACTCAAAATTCACTTGGATCATTAGTAATTTTTTGAGTCCTAAGCATTTGGGATAGAGCAACTAAATACTGATTTAGTTACCACTTCACCATCCTTTAAAGAATGTTGGTGTGCTACCTATTGATAGTTTCTCACTGTGTTATTTGGTAGTATGTGTTTAAATGTATTCTCCCAAATTGATCTCAAGATTTTAATTTCGTTTAAGGATTATTTTCAGATATCAAATTATCTCAATTTATTATTGAGTTTGTATTGAATGTATTTATCATTTTTATCTCTACACATTTATTTTAAATTATATTGTTTTGCGTAACTAATATTTAAATCCAATCTCGTGTATTTAATGTGTACTAGCTATACCTGAAGTATTAAACAGTGGTGTGATTAAGGTTTTTATATAATTAAATGATTTATCAAAATAAAGAACTCGAAATGGGTAATTTATATATAATAGTGATGGATGGAGGTAAAACAAGGATATTTTGCAAAGAGTAGAATTTGAAACTAAGAAAATCAGCCTAAAAATTAATAAAATCAGGACAAAGCTAATGGTAGTAGACATATTTCACATTTTACATCTAACAGACCATTTATATGAGTATGGAAGGGTAGACAGCTTCAATTAGTTAAGTTCTATCATTAATATCAATGGAACTTGTCAAAAAGAAGTTTAAGGATTAATTGTTTTGGCCAAAAATTAAATGAGCTACTTAATAGAGATAATGAAAAAAAAAATTAATATTACCAGGAGACTGTCTACAACTTATCTACAGCGAATTATTGAATTTTTTGGACATGTGGCTCTTAGCACTGAGATAATTTAGAAAAAGAGGAAGGAGAACTAGAAGACAGTCACTTGGCACTGAAGATAAAAACCAATGGAACTTACTTGATTGTATTAGGGGTAAATCACTTCAATATTCATAACATAATTCAACCATGAAACAACAACAAGTAACAAAAATAACAACTATATATGCCGTGATTCACATCCTGACATGACCATAACAAAAGGAAAGAAGTTATGTTTTTACAGTACGACAAGCACCAAGTGGCCTATTGCATTCATTCATTTCTTCAAATAAGCAGGAAAATTTGTGGAAAACTTTGGCTAAACCTTTTACTGTAAGCATCATATTCTTTCTATTAAAACAAGATTCAGCTTGTGGGCAAGAAATAATTAATGTGTTCCGAATGTTAAAGTTCAGATGTTCATCAAATCTGTATCACCCAAAACACAACTGTATATAAATTTGTTTATGATTTTTTTAAATTGACTTTTGCAATATAAAATCATAATGGAATTGCGTATTTTGAAGAGACTAGTTGACTTAAGCTTTCTACTCATATTTTTTTAATTTGATGTGCAACCTATTGAAAAATGGCTTCAAAAAACACAAAAATTGGCTTTTTTCTATATTTTTAATTGTTTATGTGCATTTTACGCTTAGAGAAGTACAAAACTTTTGGTAAACTTAGCATTATAATCTATCAATTAAAACAAGTTTCAGCCTGTGATTATGAAATCCACCTTTTTCTGTCTAAGAAACAGAGAAACTCTAAAAAAGAGATTAATTATATAGTATTGCGTTAGAAAGAACCAAAATAATAGACACATCTTAACGGAAAGGTACAATATACACAAGTTAAGACTAGATTATCTCTAGAGAAAATTGAACAATTGTTTTTGTAGATCAGACATACATTAGGATTGTGTCAAAAAATACAATTGAGTGAAAACAGTTGTAGTGGTCTGAAGAAGCCACATTCCAAAAAACAAATAATGGATTGGTTAAGGATTTGTAATTGAGTGATTATGAAATGAAGATATTTATAGCTCAGATGGATTTTGTAGCGACCATGAATAACAATTTTTCAGTTTGAATTAAAGATTTAACTGTATATTTCTTTTGTATGCTACATGTGTAAATTTAAAATCAATCACAACCTTTGCGTAAATATTGTCTAAAATAATATTGAATAATCATTGTTATTGTAATATTCACATCACAACTAAATTTTTGAAACAGCAACACTGGATTCGGAACCAGTATGACTACAAACTTATTCTCTCTCTTGAAACTTTCTTTTCTATTTACGCCCAGATGACCAGACTCGCTTGTCATACTGTAAATTCCAAGAAAACATCAGACCAAAGGTCTATAAATATACCTAATAAAAAAATTATCTGGTCTTCACAAAATACAAAATTGTTTGTAAGTATATTAAATATTTTTTTAATTCGCAAAACAAGTTTAAATATACTTAAAAAATGTTTTTAAAAAGATAAATATAATTCAGGTATGTACAAACTGCATTAAAATGCTCAATAAGCTTAATGCATACATTTAAAATGTTGATAAGAGTGTTCTAATTTTGGCATTTAACATGTTTACAATTTACTAGTGAATATTTACTGATTATTTTTTATATTTGAAAAATATATTTCATTGTTAATAATTTCTAACAATGGTTGTTTGGTATTAATCCCACTTTAGTAAGAATGCACACATTTTTTTTTTTTAAGAAAATGGACTTTATAAGACACTTTCCAACATTTTATCCTCTCTGAAAAATAATTTTGATGGGACATCTGAAACTAGTGTGAATAGATAGTTTGTACTACCTATGAGCATATCATTCTTTGTAAATGGCTGTCCTTTGAGCCATTTTTAAAGTTTGAGAAGAGGAAATAAGTTTGAAAATGGGAAAAGGGTTTCAAAAAATTAACAAAAACCAGAGAATATAATATAGAAACGGATAATTGTGTTTATAGATTATAAAATGGTCTTTTAAGCGATATGTAATATACATTTTCTTGAAGATCAAAAATTATATGACGTCATATGTTTTTCGGAACACTGGCAAAGTGAAGAAAATTTAAAATTAATTAGTATCTAGGGCTTTCCATTAGATAATTTCTTTTGTAGGGTAAAAAAGAAACAAGGCGGAGCTGCAATTTAGGTAAAAGCAAATCTTAGTTATTCTTCTCTTAATCCAAATGAATATAATGTAGAGCAAAGTTCAGAGTCGTGTGTAATTTATGTACAGAATTATTTATGTACAAAAATTCTGAATTTATTCACAAAAGTCGATAACTTATTTTATTATTCCTTGTGATATTTTTTTTATTTTCCATAACAGTGAGCTTAAGGGAACAAGATTCTAAGAGAAGCTAACACTAGGTTCTAGAGAAGCTGACAAAAGTGAACTTCCAACAATGGAAAATTCGTATGGAGTATTATAGGGTTCGGCAGCAGACTACATTGAATTTTGTAATGTAATTGGTGATTAGAAAATATTTTGTAGTACCAGTCCGCTTATTTAATTATCCGCATCCTACAACTGTTACTATAGTTATCGACTTTGTATAACAAAGCTTGACTTGTGAGTCTGAACTCTACATTTCTTTTTTTATTTTAGGCTTATGGGTCCTTGCCGGCATAGTGGTATTTTTAGTGGTGGAGAAGTCTGTAAGAATCCTTAAGGGTCCCAGTCATAGCCATTCCCATAATGCTCCAGTCGCTTCCAACGAAAAAACTGCCACTAAGAAAGATAGCGGCGACAAAAAAGTAGCCAAAACACCAAAGAAGGAAGAAGAACCAGTGAAAGAAATTAAAGTAGCTGGATATTTGAATTTGGCTGCAGATTTCAGTCATAACTTTACAGACGGTTTAGCTATTGGTTCTTCCTATTTAGCTGGAAATACTGTAGGTATGTAAGTTTTACTAAATTAGTGTTATAACTTTTATTGAAGCTTCTAGAGCCAAACAATAAAGGTTTTATACTTTTTTATATTATGAAAATAATTTTGCATTTTATTATTAGGATTTGGACAAACTTGTTTCACTTTTCAGCTTCTATAGCCCTTTGTATTAATTGTCTAACAAATATTTTAATATCGGACCCATTTTGCTACAATGCTTTGTATAAGTTTTTTAAAAAATGTTTAATGTATGGGCTTAATTTCTTGCATAAGGTATATACATACAATATCCAATAAAGCAACTGTTACCTAAACAAGCAGGTATGATATTTGTGGACTTAATTTGAAATATCTTTCTAAAATTCCTCTGCATACTTGCTTTTCATATATGAAAAGCCTGATTCCTTGAGGCTGGCCCCGATCTCGACTTAAGAGAGTTCCCTATTGGCCCCAGATATAACTAGTTTTTAATGATTGCCCTTTATCGATTCTTCTCGAAGATGGAAAAATAATTTGTTAATTTCTCTAATGAAACGAAATTTCATTCACTGATGAACTAACGTCTGAAGTAAGGTACAAGTATTAAAAGAATATACCCCAAATCTGGTTTTGTCCTAATTTATACTTTTTGTTCTGCTGAAAAATCTATCTCTTTATCCAATATTTCCAGTTCTTGGAACTTTTGAGTTAACTACTGTTGGAATGTCCCCACTGTCTTGAATTGACCATTCCTACAACAATGTATTCTTTGATTTTTATATCCCACTTATAACATGCCTCCGGCCGCAGTTTATTTTGCTTCTGTAGTTTTGCATATAGCTGCTTAAAGGGAGCCACCAATAAAAAAACCTTTCGACACAAATATATCCTCAATATTTTGTTGACATAAATCGAGAGTTTCTTTGTGATACAAGTAGTGTAGATACAATAAATTTTTGAAATTAGCAAGCTGATGGAAAATAGATCTTAGTGAGAATATTTTTGAGTAATAATTTTTGAATTATAAAGTAGTCTTCCTTCCTTCACTACTTTTGAAGTACAGTTAAATAACACCCCTATTTAATACTTAGTGTCGACTGGTGGTCTGACTCTACAAAGTGTCCTTTTAATAAATCTTGAAGCTTTGGCAGCAAGCGTCAACTGGCTACGCATACATACGTCTTGTTTTATGACCCTGAGCACTTGGCTCTGTTAAAAAAATATTACCGTATATGGAAGTGAAAAGATGTAAGTGGTGTATAAAGAAAAGCAATTGTCGCGTGGTCAATGGTTAGACCGCGATATTTACATTTGTCTGGCAATTTCTAATATTTCTTTTTTTACTTTAGGAATAGTCACTACAATCACCATTCTTCTACACGAAGTTCCTCATGAAATAGGAGATTTTGCGATTTTACTTCAATCTGGAGTTTCAAGAAGAAATGCCATGCTTCTACAATTAACTACCGCCCTTGGTGCAGTAGCAGGTGAATATTAAATTATATTTGTTTTATATACATTCCATAAATTTGCAATACAATAATTTTGTCTGAATCAGATAATGTTTGTGCCAGAATCTTAATGCATTTTCTAATGTATTTTGTGGTGATACTTTTAATGAAGAAAAAAGCCTTTGCAACTGTTTAGAATCAGGTACATTTAGAATTAGATACATGAGGTTTATTATTTTTGTAAAAGCTTTCAGGGTACAATTATATATATATTAAATATGGATACTGGAATGGAGGGAATAAAACACCTCTTCACTTGTGCAACACAGAATGACAACTCCTTTATTGTTTTGTCAAGATAGCCAACCTGATTTATATACTGTTTGGGGATCAGGATAGCCAACATTTCAATACCTCCTCTCATTTTATACAACATTTACATTTATGGATAATTTTGGATCAATTGACAATTAAATAAAGAAGAACAATTTCGAATAAACGGGAAAGAATACTTTTTCTTTCAAAAAACTTTCTCTAAATTTTTTACCATTTCATAAGTTGACTTACAATCACGAATATATTCTAAATGTTCATCTGTAATGCATGTGACAATAATAGACGGTGCTGTTGCTACTTCAGTATGACTTCACAACAACTCCATTATTGTTTTGTCAAGATAGCCAACCTGATTTACATAGTGTTTGGGGATCAGGGTAGCTAACATTTCAATAATTATGTCTTATAAGATTATATATCTTTTTAGAGTTTACATAATATGTATTTTATATTATAAAAGAAATGATTTTAATATAAAATCTACAGAAAATATATTACGCTTTGCAAATAAAAGAGAACATGGTTCTGTTAAAGAATCAAGCTGTTCTACTTTATTGTCCTCATCATTTTCCAGAAGCTTATTTTTAAATGTTTTTTTTAATTTGAAATTAATTTGAATTTAAAGTTGATAATAACGTTTCCAAACTAATATCGGTGGTTTTGGCTTCAGAATAACAAGATAAAATATTTTCAATTTGTGATCAAAGACTTAGTTTTAAAGTTGTTGCTAACATACATCGTAATTCATCTTTTAATAATAATGTACATCAACCAACTTACACCTCTAAACGATTAATGGAATTTGCAGAAAATTTTTCGTTGTAGAAAAAGGCACGGTAAACTGCACTGGAGTTCTCCATAATATCTTTAATTACTTACTTTGTTTAGAATATTTTAGCCTAGAGTTAATTTGTATAAAATGAGCAAAAATTCAAATGGAATTTTAAATATTATTAAACAGGTAAAACGATATAAAATAAGACTTACTCACAATCAATTTAATTTTACCACCAAAACGACCAATTTCGCTTACTACACTTTGCTAAGCATCTTCAGGTCTAACGGTACCAGGTAAATTAAGTGCTGAAATTAGAAAAGCCCACATTAGCGAGCTGTCTTATAAAGATAACAATGACAGTAATTATGCCAATATTACATGTCTGTGATTATTAATATGAATAAAATTGATGAAGCAGACAAAGTAAAAACCCACAAATTGGTATAAGATAATCTATTGAATTGAAATAAATTAGTAAATAACCAAAATACTACTTACATGCCGGTACAAGAATTATTAATTAATGATTCGTGAAACATAGTTTAAACTATACTGGATTGCTGGTGATAAATGAGCATCTGTTTTCTTGCAACTGTTTGATAATTAGCGGGGAATTTCTTGAGGGGAGAACTTGAGAGATAAACAAATAGGTATTTTTAAGAAAAAAGTTAGATGCACAATTCATACACAAATTGTTTACGTCCAGGATTTACAACTGCACATTTATTGTAACACAAATTTCTATCCGATTTCTACCCCTTTTCTTAGTTACTTCAGATACTCCAGCTAAATGAGGAGGACAAATATCTTCGACCGAGATGTTTAGGACTAACGATGATGTTGATTTCATCCTATTTAAGTCGCTCGCCTTAAATAGCCGTTCCGGATCCCATTTCGTCGTGGATGTGGATGCGTGAATATCGACACTACCAAGGTTTGAACTGTTGAACGATCAGCACATCGTTACACCCTATATTCCTAATATTTACCTTTGTCACCAGACAAGTGAGTGTAGGTCGTGTATTATGATAAATGTGGTATAAAATCATCTATTATGATCAGAATGTATAAATAAAAACAGATATATGTTATGGCATATGTTTAAGGGGGCCATGGACTGAATAAATTACAGTCAATTTGACAGATGAAGCTACAACAATATGGCCTCTGACAACTGTTATTCAAGTTCTGAAGTCCCCATTGACAGACCCTGTATAATTTGTTGATCTTTGATACCACCCCACCCTCGTAGTTATGTCTATAAATTTTTAAAACAATGGCGTAATTGCTACTTCGACTACAATTGCTTTACTAATGTTGTGCTATGTAGTAATAAAATATTGTGTCTTTTTTAGGTACCGCTTTGTCGCTCCTTGCTCAGAACAGCGCCGGCGCAATGGCAGCCACATGGATATTACCTTTTACTGCCGGAGGTTTCATATACATAGCATTGGTGTCAGTAATTCCTGAACTTCTAGACGAAGAGAAACCTAGTGTACTTCAAACCCTTTTACAAGTCGCCGCAATGTTGGCGGGCGTTGGCATGATGGTCATTATTGCCGAGTACGAATAGATTCCTACTATTTTAAACACTGTCTTTATACAAATTTTATTTTTTACTTGTATGTGATCTCTAAAAGCGTGTCAGGTTGATGTAAATATTGCATTTGTTGGCGACAGTTCGTAAGACTAATAAGATATAAAGATAGAAATAATAAATATATATTTTCTTTTCTTTTCTTGTTTTTTCTTTCCTATAAAGTGTTAGTTTATAATGTTTAACGTGACCTATATGGAAAAAAAAGGTCAAATCTGATGTTATGGAAGCTAAAAAGTTTACCTCATGAAGTGTTCTTTTTTAATACCAGCTTATACCAAACTAGAACACGACAAACAAGCATTGTAGTGCAAATAATGTCGGCTAGGTTATCTTATGAAAAAACTTAATCATCATCTGCATCACTCTCTTATTAAATCAGTTGTAGTATTCTGCTTCACTCAATCCTATATATTTACAGAAAACTCTTTCCTAACAAATAATACATACAGTGTTTCCTTTTTCATAAAATCGGTTCTACATCATAAAGCTATTGCTTCAATGTACCTTCTAGTGACACCTTCTGAATTACACTATTCATCTTCAAACATTTTCGTATATTATTTATTAATTAAATTCTTAGTATCAGTAGGTAACTCCTCTTTGGTAAAGATTCAACAACAAAAGCTTCTCCTTTATCGGTAACTTTTGTTCCACATGATTATTTATCAAACATATCATCATCAGTAGCTTGACAACCCTTTCTGGTTCCTGGCTTGTTTCTAGGTTTTCCGCCATTCTGTTGCTGTGTATAATTCCTTTATTAATTCTGCGCTAATGTTGTCTAATCCAGGTGACTTGTTGTTTTTCAGTCTGGTAACTGCTTCTTGCATTTCAGCTACTGAAGGGGGGGGGGGGGGGTTGTTTCTCTGGTATCTGTTTGATGAAGTATAATTCCATCATATAATGGATCTTCGTTTTTTTTTTTTCAAATTTTTCTTTGAAGAATTCTGTCCTTTTTTGTAGTATTTCACTCTGTTGAGTTACTATATCTCCTTCTCTGTCTCTACACATTGTTTTTGGTTTAAATTCTTTTCTACTTTTGTTAAGTTTTTGGTAGAATTATCTATTTTCTGATGGTTTATTTAGTTTTTCCATTTCTTGGAGTTCTTTTTCTATGTGTTCTCTTTTCTTTCTGCGATGTATTTTCTTCTCTTCCCTCCTTAGCATTCTATATTCCTCCTCTGCCTTTCGTGTTCTATGTCGTTGATATGCATTATTTTTCTTCTCTGTTATATTACGACATTCTTCATCGAACCACTGTTCTTCAGTTAATTTGGGCTTTTTTTGTACACCCAGAGTCTCTTTGGCCGTGTCCTGTATGATGTTTTTACATGCTTCCCATTCTCTGTTTATATCCTCGTGCTTGTGTCTAGATTTTCTAGCCTTCCTTTTATATAGTCCTTTTATATATTTATATATAGGTAATCCATACTATGAAAAACAGAAAAGGAATGGTAAATATTATATTCCAGATGGATGTGCATATCTACGAACGCATTAATAAAAATGAAAAGTTGCATATTGGTTGGAAGAGCTATTTTTTTAGAGAAAGCATAAATGTTAAACAGTGTTACAATTGTTGGAGGTTTGGTCACCTTGCATAAGAGTGCAAAAAAGAGACGCCCACGTGTCAGCAATGCGCTGGTGAGCATCACGTAAAAGACTGTAAATCACGTATAGTTTGTTGTGTAAACTGCAAATATGCAGAAGAAGTTTTAAAAATTTCCAATATTGATTTGAAACATAAAGCATATGATAGGAATTGTGAAGCCTTTAAGAAAGTAGTATAGCGATTACAAGAAAAAAATAAGGTATCCTGAATTATCACATGGTAATTGTAAAATATAGCAATCAAGTCCAACCATTCTGTACCTAAACATTCAAGGATTTAGCACACATAAAACACAGTTATCATGGATTGCAAGTCAGAAAAAGCCAATTATTATGTGTTTATCGGAGACCCATGTTACCCTCAGATTTTGCATCAAATGAAATAGATATTGATGGCTACAACTCAGTTGTTGGTTTTTCTTCAAGTAGACATACAGGAGGAACATCAATTTATATACAAAAAAGGTATCGTTATAAAGAAATTATTAAAGAAGAAAAAAACAAAAATATATGGTTAACAGGAATACAAATAAATATAGAAAACCAGAAATATTACATCTATTGTCTGTACCATTCACCTAGTGCAAGTCATGCGGAATTTTTGGAGGAGTTGGATGCGTTTTTTAGATAGCATTGAGACTGATGCTATCTTTGTGATATTGGGAGACTTTAATATAGATTTGGCAAGTATAAACTTACTCTATGAAATTAAATGATATTATTATTAAAAATGGTACCTATCAGCTAATAAACGAATACACAAGGATTACAAAATCGACATCTACTAGGATTGACCTAGTACTTACAAATCAAAAAGACATTAGTTGCAAGGTGCTCCCAACTCCAAAGATTACAGATCATTCGATAATTGTAGCTGATCTGGGTAGAAACAATGAGACGACACTTACAAAAACCTATAGAAAGTACAATATAATGGATGTGACAGGATTTCAAATGAAACTTATCGATATGCAGTGGCCGTCAAGTTCCTCTATAGATGTAAGTAACAATGCTGATATTCTAATAACTAATGTATTGTCTGCACTCGATCAGTTTGCTCCAGAAAAGTCTATTAATACGAAGGATGTTTGGGGAAATAAATTATGGCGGAATGAAGACATTGCGAATGAAATTAAAAAAAAAGATCAATATTACAAAAAGGCTATATTTACTAAAACTGATACTGACTGGGATGATTTCAAACAACAAAGAAATAGAGTCGTAGCATTAATCAGAATTACCAAACAAAATTATTATCAGGAAAAAATAGATGATTGTAAGAACGACCCAACAAGAATGTGGAAAACATTAAAGGAGCTTGTAAATGGCAAAAAAAACCATGAAGCTAAAAGTGAAATAATATTTGATGGTGGGGGGGTTACTGGTAAAGAGATAAGTGAAAGATTTAATATATTTTTTCTAGACAGTGTAAAAGACATAGCAGATAGCATTATTTCAAACAAAACCCACCAAGAAATTTGTAGTTCAATAAATGTCGACTGCAAAATGGAAAAATTCAAAATGTTAGAAATGAAAGATTTTAAAAAAACAAATGAAAGAAATGAAAAACAAAGAAAGTAATGTTGATGGTATTACAGTTCAAATTTTAAAGAGTTCCTTTGAAGTAATAGGCGACAAAATTTTGCATATTATAAATGGTAGTCTAGAAAGTGGCGTATTCCCAAGTAAATGGAAGAGAAGTCTGGTTGTACCAATTGAGAAGGTTCATGGAACTGTTAAGTGTGAGGAATTTCGACCCATAAATATGGTACCACCATACGAAAAACTGCTGGAATTATGTGTAAATGATCAAATAGTGGAGTACTTTGAAAGCAATAATGTGTTAACTAAATTCCAAGCAGCGTTTAGGAGAGGAAATTCCTGTGAGAGTGCAATGCAGACGGTTTTGTTTGACTGGAAGGGTGCGCTGGAGTGCGGGAAAATGATTGGTGTGGTTTTCTTAGACTTTAAACGTGCATTTGAAACCATAAACAGACAACTGCTATTGAGAAAGATGGAAAGGTATGGCTTTGGTGAAAAAATTATAGAGGTTTCAAGAATATTTGACTGATAGAACACAAGTGACAAAATATGGTGCCATTTCATCGGCTCAGAAGTCTCTCTATGGTGTGCCACAGGGAACTGTGTTAGGTCCTACTCTTTTCATACTGTATATAAATGATATTGTTGATGTTGTTAAAAAGTGTAAGGTACAGTTGTTTGCCAATGATACTGTGATCTATGCAATAGAGGATAAGGTAGATGAAATAATCGATGTAATAAATGAAGAGATATGTAATATATTAAAATGGCTCGATAATAATTCCTTAAGTCTTAATGTAACTAAAACAAAAATGATGCTTATAAAGAATAAAAATTTTAAATTAAATAACATAATAAAAGATGTAAAAATTAATAATATCGCTTTGGAGAGAGTGGTTCAGTATAAGTATTTGGGATGTATTATAGATGAAAATTTAAGTTTTGTTGAATATTTTAAGTTTGTTACAAACAAAATAGCAAAAAAAATCTATGCATTGGGAAGAATGTCAAAAAATTTAAGTTGCTGGTCTAGGTTGACCATATATAAATCGATTATTGCTCCCCATCTCTATTTTTGCTCTACATTGCTGTTTTTAATGAATGCTTCTCAAATGAATGTACTGCAGAAAAAACAAAATAAAGCCTTAAGGATAATATTAGGATGTAGTGTATACACTAGTAGAACTGACATGCTAACAATGGCAAATGTTTTAAGTGTAAGACAGACAATTGTATGTAATAGTATGATTTTTGTTTATAAAATGTTAAATGGTCTGATACCTGTGCATTTGTGTAATAATTGTACCTTTGTTCGAGATGTACATGAACACAACACATGTTCTAGAAATAACTTTTATCTGAATAGGGTCAACACTAATTTTGGTCAGAACAATCTTTTTTATAGGGGATTAAAGCAATACAATGAATTACCGGAAAACATTAAGGCTTCTGGAAACTTAGCTCAATTTAAAAATTTATGTAAGATATATGTTAAGCAAAGCATTGTGATTTAATTTGAAGGGTATAAATTGATGTATCTATATGTATATTTTTCTAGCCATGTGCTATTAATAAAGATTATTATTATTATTATTCTTTGTATTTTGCATTTTTGCTGTTGTCTACTAAGTTTTTTATTTCATATTTTTCAATTTTGAATCTCTTTTTTAATGTTTGAGATTCTGGCTCTTATTCTACTTTCCACTATGTAGTGATCCGAGTCTGCATTTGCCCCTCTTCTGCTGCATATGTTTATTAGTCTGGAGTTGTCTGGAGATATGAAGTTGCTGGATTTATTAGTCTGATGCCATTGTCATTGGATACCTCATGAAGGCTGTGCTTACCTATAATTGGTAGGTATTGTTGCTCTTTTCCTATTTTTGCATTGAGATCACCATAAATAATTTTGATGTCATTCTTTGGGCATGAATGGTATGCAGCTTCTAGTTCTCCATAGAATTTTTCCTTGACACTGTCTTCCTTTTCCTTTGTAGGGGCATGCACATTTAAGATGCTATAATTAAAAAATGTGCCCCTTAGTCTCAGGATGCACATTCTAGAGTTATCAAACAAATATACAATAATCAAAATATAAAATAATTTATTTAAAAAAAAAAACAACATTTACTTCAAACAAAAATACTGAAGAATATAAAATATTTAGACTATGCTGGCACTTTCTTACTCTTTTCTTCTAAATTCATCTTTATTTGGTCTAAACAATAACTGGCCTGGTTAATAGATTCACTGTTGTCATGTTTTCTTCCTAAAAAATATAAATACTTTATAATAGAAACGAATCTCAAACAAAAGAGCAATCTCAATATGTTGTAGCATATACTGACATATTCTTAGTTTCAGACATGATTTTTTTACATTTCGTACAAATGTACAATTTTGTACATTTTTTCACCTTCTAATAATTTGAGGTATTAAAACTTGATAATTTTGGTGAATAAGATATGAAGTGCATAGCATGTTTGGTGAAATTTACATAAAGCTTTATTTCAAGTACAAATAGGAAGAATGTGTTCCAATTTATGGTGAAAGGTGTGATGAAAGATGACAGTGTCAGAATTTAGTCTATAGAAGAAAAGATAGTTTTTAGAAGTGAGGGTGAAGGTATTCTTTAGCACTGTCACGTCATTGTATCCACTAGGCGCCATCCTGTATCCATTTTAATAGTAAATATTTATTATTTTTTAATTATGCTTGACATTAACACAATTATATATTTTTGTTGTCATTTCATGTGAAATTTTTATATATTCCATTATTTTTTTTTGCTTATCTTATACTTTCTTAATTTTTTTTGACACCTTTACTGGTTTGAAAGAAAAAAACTTTGAGCTTTTTGAGGAAAAAACTTTTTTACACTTACCCAAATGCCATGCCTCTTTGCAATTCTTTTCAGCTAAATCCACAATGCCCTTTTCCAGTAAAACTAAGCCTAAATTGGCCTGTACAACTCCTAAATTTGATTTGTCTTCAAGCTGCTGTCCTATACTAACAGCTTCTTTTAAATACTTTTCTGCATTCACCATATCTTCGCTCTAAAACTAGTAGTACCTAAGTCGTTCAATAATAAAACTGCTTGATCGGAATTTTCACCAACGATCTCACTACATATTTTATGAGCTTCTTTAAGATGGACTAAAGATTTGTTGACGTCTCCTTTATCTAATAAGAATTGAGCATACCAGTCATTTATGACTCCATATAGTACTTTGCTATCAACTGACTCTACTTTTTTCTTGTTAATTTGTTCCAGGCACCATTTATAACCAATGTCAGCTTGTTCTATTTCAGCCACTAATTGGCATATTCTGGCTAGTTTTAAGCTTATGTGAATTACCTAGAATATAAACATGATTTTATTTTTATGATAAAAAAAATATAGAGGAAATACTGATACAATATCTTAACTTACAACTATCAACAGGCAGTAAAAAACAAACATACATTGGTTCAAACTTGTTCTTTAATTTGCCTCTTAACTTTAGAAAGAGAAGTGGCTCCACATTTGAATAACAATATCATTCACAACTTATTGTTTTTTCAATAGGTGTGTGTAATGGATAATTAGTATTATGAAAAGACTCAATTGAATATCAGCTTTGTAGATAGAACATTCAATAAAAGTGAACACATGAGATAAGTAATTCTAATAACATATCAGGAAAAAAACATACAATACATAAAAAATGATGATAGTGATGTACCCATGGACGTTATACGTCCATGGATGTTATACGTCCATGGATGTACCAATACAAATTCGGGCAAATGGAAAGATGACTAACAACAAAAATATGATCGCTGGCTTACTGACTCACAGTACAATAATGCAAGAATAGTATACTACACCTTAAGATCATCTTCTGCCATTCCAGAACTAAGAAGCATTTGTAAGACACTTACAAATAATTTATGTGCTTTATTTAAATCTCGTTGTTCAAATGCTAAATTTGCCATTAAATCGTAGCAATAAACTATACCTTGTTCATTTTGTTGCTGTTGTGCTATTCTCAATGCAAGATGAAGCATTTGCTCTGCTTTTTCGAACTGTTCTCTCTGCATACAAAGCACAGCTCTCTTTAAGGTCATTATTAATTCTGATTCCTTTTTTTCGTCGTCTTTTGCAAACCCCAACCAAGTTAGTAAACTTACAGCTAAAACACTTTTATGAATACTTAATAAAATAGGTTTTTGTAGGTTATGTACAAATGGAAATTTTGTGATAGCTGTAAAAGTTTTGGGAATATCTCTAAAGCAGACATTTTTTACTATTGTGGAATTTCTAAACTTATTTACTCGAAATGCATTAAATAAAAATTGCCTAAAGTGATTCATACTTGTTATTAATTTTGAGTATATTTTTAACACTTATAACAATTTAAAATCATCACTCCACGATGTCAATGTCAAATTCAAACTTAGGTAACAGGACTAACAGGTAAATGATCAGAAAAATCCTACAGAAAAATGTAATATTTATCTTTTGATTGATTAATTTTTGTTTGATAATAAAACAAATTAGGAAATTTGATTGTTTGATAGCTGTCTTTTATCTTTTATTTTAGGTTAGGCTGAATTGTTTCGCCGTAGCGCCAGATATAGGCAACTTACTGTACCTCATTGCAGCTGTGTCAATATTTTCTTAAATTTCTTCCAGTAATCGATGGATGGCGGACTAGATGTCAATAATAAGGTGGATGAATTCTCTTTTCTAGTGGTACAGTATGAATAAAATAGCTTGCATGCGGTAAATGCAGCCTTTGCGTTTAAAATTGTTCAACCAAAATGTTGAAATAAACTGTGTCCAACCACTGTAAGTGAATTCATGATCCTATTTAGCCATTGATAAATAATATAATAGTAGAAATAGATAGGCAACTCAATGTATAAATTTTGTTCATTAGGACCCCTTGTAAGGACCACTTACACACATACCCTTTAGCGCCTCTTGCGGGCTATTTCGTTACTAATTAAAATGCTATTTAGCTCAAATTTTGACAGATGGTCTTTGAAGATTCTTATTCATCTTTATTTGTTCTTAGTGGCGCCATCTAGAAATCCGGCCAGGAAGTTATTCGAGTGATGCAGTATAATAAAATAAAACACATATTGTATAACAGAAAAAGTTGTATTTATAGCTAAATTTCTCATTTACAATAATGTGTTAAGGTCAGCCTGGCAGTTATATTCATCGACTGTAGCTCCGTCAATAACAATTTACAAGCGTAAGGCATGGTGATGCTGGAAACCTGTCCAGAGCTTTTGCAGCTATTGCACCATCCGCAGTAGCCCAATAGGCCGCATTTGTTGCATACATCTACTTCGCATTGATCACTCGATACCATCAGACGTTCCACTAACATCATGCTAGAATTAATTATCAAAGTTAAAATCATGTTATGTAAAAATAATAATTTTTTTTTTCCACAAAATATGGTTACTTTTTTAATATGCTACGTAATTATTGTATAATCGAATAATCTTATCAACGAAAAGATTTTTTAAACACATTAGTTCATAAGACACCTCTCAACAGATGAATTTATAATAATAATACTTTTACATTTTAATAATTCTCATATATCGACAAAACGGCAACGCTGTGCGAAAATATCAACGTCAAAATTGGATAAAGTGCAAGCGATTTAAGGTCGATTCAGACACATCAGTCCCGTCATAGTCTCGGCGCCGAACCGGTCCTGTTTGGTCACAGAACGATCAACTATCTGACAGTTGGGAAACTGTTTGTCAACTGATGAGTGTGAATGCCGGCAACATATTTGTATTAAAGAATATTTTGTATGACGGATTGTTCGGTTCGGCGCAATCACTGTGACGAGACGTGACTGATGTGTCTGAATCGACCTTTAAGGTCGATTCAAACACATCAGCCACGTCTCGTCACAGTCCCGGCGCCGAACCGAACAATCCGTCATACAAAATATTTTTTAATAGAAATATGCCACCGGCATTCACATTCATCATTTGACGAACAGTTTCCCAGCAGTCAGATCATTAATATTTCTGTGACCAAAAAGAACCGGTTCGGCGCCGGGACTGTGACGGGACTGATGTGTTTGAATCGACCTTTATAAGGAAATAATCAGTAGATTCATAAAATAAATAAAATGGAGAGGTAAATAAAAATCCAGTAAAAAGATACAGACCTTGCTCCGTAGCCGATAAGACAATCCCTCTCCATTTCACCCAACCTAAGACCTCCGTCTCGGCTTCTTCCTTCTGTGGGCTGTCTGGTTAAAACAGCTCTCGGTCCTCGGCCCCTACACACAAGAGTTTTTTAATTTGTATTCATACAAACACAAAACTAAGTAAATGTAAAACTGTACAAATATCTTTTTGTTTATTTCTCGGATGTTAATATTCAGGCAGCTCTTTATTGAAACCGTATCCGTCTGTGTGTACAATAGCTCAAAAATAAAAGTCCTAGAGTCTTCAAACTTGGTTTCTCTTAGTCCTAGATAAATAAAAGTCCTAGAGAGGGAGGGAAGGAGAAAAGTTTCTAACCAGCCACAGGAAGATGTTAAGGGGATCAAAAGAGGCTGGGATGGCCAGGGATGAAGAATTTTGGTGCTACTGGCTGAAAAGCTAAATAATCATTGGCTAAAGTTTTCAAGCAGGTTAGAAGGAGTTGTTAAAGAGGTAAGACGAGCGTCAGAAAGTAAGTAAAATGAAGAATGTTGGAATGCATTGGCTAAAAAAAATCATCGGGCTTCATTAAAGATGAGGATTTTTGGATGATAGTAATTGAAGAGGCAAATAGTTCATGGTTAGAGGATGATGACAAAGGGGTAAAAAGAGGCTTGAATGGCAAGATACGGAGTTTGGATGGCACTGACAGAAAAAGTAAAAATAATCCTTGAAAGTCTTCTAGCAGGTCAGAGATTACTGTTAGAGGAGTAAGCAGAAAGTTGGATAGTCAGAAAGTAATCAAAATTAATAATTTTTAGAGATAGTGATTAAAGAAGTAAATAATCAAAGGCAGAAGGTTTCTTACAGGTCAGAGGGTGGTGTTTAAGCGGTGAAGAGAAGCTTTTATCAGGTTAGAAGCTGATGTCAAGGTGGCAAAAAGGGGCTTGGATGGCAAGATATAAAAAAATTTGGATAGTATTGCTTGTCAGAGCATGTTGTTTACGGAAGAAACTTGAATAGTCAGAGATGAACAATTTTAGATGATAGTAATTGACGAAATAAATGGTTAATGGTAGAATTTGCAACACGTCAGAGAATGAGGTTAAGATAGTAAAAAGAGGCTTGGATCCAAGAGAAAGATTTTGGTTAACAAAGTTAATAATCTTTGGCTGAAGTTTTCTAGTAGGTCAGAAGGTATTGTTAAATAGTAAAAAGAGAGTAATCCAATTAAAAAGTAATCCAAGTAAATAAGTTCGAGAGATAGTGACTGAAAAAGTAAATAATCATCGACTGAGTGCTTTTAGCAGGTCAGAGGGTGGTATTAGGGTATTAAATAGGTTGAAGAGTAACTAAATTGAAGCTATTACTTGCTGTACTTTGTTCTTTCTAAAGTAGAATTGATGGTACCGGTTTTGGTTGTAACCTCCGTAATATTTTTTTGCCAGCACGAGAGCGATCTATTCTCATAAATAAGATGCTTTTGGATTCTTCACCTAATTTTATACTGCTGACGTTCACAGAATCTTTGTTTTACTGTTTTGTAGGTTATAAACCCAGAAAATACGTTCATAAGCCCCATATAATGGTGGATTAACGAGATACCTACCACATAAAAAGACACTACATGATCTTTACAATATTTTTAATCTGAATACTACATCTCTTCCTAGTCTACTGACAATCTATTATCTAATACAACTGATAATGCAATATCGATAAAGGAGTAAGTATATTATCCAAAAAGGTCTTCATATCTCGAGATTTACATATATAAATACATGGGTATGGACTTACATCCACAAAGAATCAAATAAAGCACAAAAAGCATATAGATAGATGTTATTGTTAACCGTTAGTGTATTTGTTTCTTAAAAAAATATACTCACCTCCCATGGATCTTATCCTGAACCATATGCTTCAATTTTTGGTAATAAACGGGACCTGAGTAAATATAAGCTTCGAGAGGCTCGCCCGTTATACCAGAATAAAATATATCTTTTCCTTGATAGTTAAATCCATGCTTGACCAACTCCTCGCTTACGTCCGATACTTTGGATCCACCGAAAGCCGTTCCGTAGTGAAATTTACCTAAAATTAGTAATTAACTGTATAAAGTATAGTATTACTTCGAACAAGAAGATCTTACATAAATAGAGTGAAACGTAATAGCCTCTTTGGTATTATTAAGGTCCACCGTCCACCTTGCTCATTTTTGGCTCATTCAAGGTCATTTGAACGAATATATTATGATGATGACGTATAAGGTCTTATTGAGAAGTAGACATTTCATGTCAACTGTCACGTTTTCGTCGCAATTTAAGTGAAATGTCACTTACACGTCAAATGTCACATTTTTCATGTTACATGTCTATATTAGTAAATAAATTTGCAAATGCCAAAAAGATGATAATTAAAGTAAAATAATTATTAAAGTTTTTATGGTTAATCTCAATAGAGATTGTAAAAAATTTATTTTGACAATAAAATTAAATATTATTTAATAAGAAAACCTATAGAAATATTAATTTCTTACCTTCGACAAGCCCAGCTTTTCCTGCTAACAATTCTATTAATTTACCAACTGTCATTCTGGAAGGGAAACCGTGGGGGTTCATAATAATATCTGGACAAATACCGTATTCATTGAATGGCATATCTTCTTGTTCTACGACGAGACCTGCAGAAGAATTATTAGTAGTAAACTTTTGATGTTATACTCGAAAAAAAAATGAATGCATTTAAAAAACATTGCCCGAAATTTTGCGCCTACAATCTTAATATTTAGACTTACCTACGACTCCCTTTTGGCCGTGCCTGGAACTAAACTTGTCGCCGATTTCAGGTCTTCTGGTCTGCCTGAGGAGTACCTTCAACAACGTAGTATCTTCCTCGTTTGTGCTAATTAACACCTTTTCTATATAACTGGGTTCATCGTTTCTGTATGTGACTGGAGTATCTTTATACTCTACAGAGGTATTGGAACTACCAGGAACCGCTGAAACTGTTGGTACAGATTTGTTGATGAGGACCTAAAACATATTTCGCATTTAATTTTTTCGAATGCTTTCTCAGATATCGATGAAAATAATTCTGGGCAAATACGTCATTCGTCACCGGTATCTTTAGAGTATGTGAGATGTAGCTATGATGCCTTCCAAGTATGTAGATGTTAATGAAGGTATTCCAAAATGTGATGAAAGATAAAAACATTTAAAAATGAATGTTTAAAAAAGCGCAGCGTTGGTTGAATCTTCATTATTGCTGTAACAAAGGAAACTTACCTGTCTACTTTGAACCAACTCTCCTGGAGCGACAATTCCGTCATTGTCCAAGCAGTTGTGCTTCCACGCAGGTTGACCAGTAGTTGCGTCCAGCATCGGTCCTTGAATCCTGTCAAACGTTTGGTTTGGGTACCGCTTCATGATACATTTGGAGTTCTTGTAGACTAGACATCTGCCGAACCCTCTGTCGATAGAAGCTTTGTTCAAAATGAGGGCATCTTCGATATCGTAACCACTGTAGCTCATTACGGCTACAGTGGCGTTCTGACCGGCCGGCAGCTTATCGAAATTCGTTAGTTCTATGGTTTTAGTTTTTACCATGGGTGCTTGCGGGTATACGAGGTTATAAAGGAGAGTGTCCATACGATTTTTTTGGTTGTAGCCAATTGTTCCTAAAACGGATTAAATATTGTAACCCGAGACTATTGGGACTGATGAGAAAAACATATATATCACCTTAGAATTAGAACAACGACTACAAACATCCAAACGAATGAGAAAATGGTCAAAAGAAGTATGTGGTTTGTTTTTTAGTCAGAAGGAGTAATTCAAATTTACTGTGCCGTAATGATTGTTTGTAATTGGTCCAACCGCCGGCAAGTTTACTCCACTAAGTTATGACATTTTGACACTAATGACATTTATGAAATTTTAAAATTCAAAATTTATATCGACGATTTTGTGTATTTTCTGCATTATTCCTTTAATTTTTAGATTTTTTTTGCATTTATATAAAAAACAGTTCTTTTCGGAACTTCGGAACTGAGTAGATTTGGGTCATTATCAAATAAAAAACAATGCATTATAAACATATACAAACAAATAAAAATTGATAATCATGGAATAAAAATAAGAGCCATGGTAGCAAAAATAAAACTGGCAACAGGTTAGTTTTGCAGAATAGTTATTGTTAAAATCAAGACTTACTAAAGTTGTAACCGTTTCAAAAGTTTTAGGAAACTCATTATAAATTCGATTTTTTTTTTTTAAAATAAAACTGCTAACCCCATCTATCTGCCGGGTACTTGTAGCCGACTCAAGGTGTCTACTGTAATTCTAAACCTATCCGGTAGATGAGAACGATTATTAACTTGTCATTCACGCCCCAATTCAAACCGGGAAATGATAGCGTCTGTCTCTTTTCTCTTACAAACATCCAACTGTTAGGACGTGTTTTTGTGAAGTAGTCTCTATATAGAGGTAAGCCAAAGAAAAAAGGCCTTTTTTTGTCTATATTTTCAGATAAATAATTATTTTTAGACCTTTTTACAGGGGACGATAAAAGATCATTGATTATGTTTATTTGGCTCGAAGTTAACTGAGAAGTCATATGCTGTCGTAAACGCAGCCCAATATTTCCTTATGATCTAAATGGACCCCTAATAACTAATTTAACGAAATGCTTGGAGGTTGAGAGGAAACAGAGCATATCCTTTTTGTATGGTTGCCAGCTATTGGATGATTAAGGTTGTACCTTTCTTTTTTTATTATACCCTATCGAGAAAGTGAGAAATAATTATGGACTCAGAGAAAGGAAATATAGCAGTGTTTTAATTTAGTTCAAAGATTTAACTTTTCTATTATGCCTAGTTAATAAATAACTACTATCTTATTTTAAATGTAAACGAATTTCGAAATTTGGAAATAATATATAAATTCATTTGTTTTTAACAATCAATTCTTGATTTAATACGATATAAAGTTGTTTTGTTTATAGTAATGTAATTATGAAATGGTATTTTACTATCCTTTGGAAATAACATAACTTTTAATGTTTCTTTTTATTACTGAGAAATAATAAAGTGTAATTTCGCTGTAAATTTTCTATATATCTTATTTTTTTTATTCTCTCTCGTCCCCTACGAGGATAAACAAGGGGTGGCGTGCAATAATAAATTATAATTTCGGATTATCTGATTGTGTTTGGAATTTTGAGATATTATGTAATTTCTATACACTTGACCTTACCCCGCCATTCCTCTCCGAATTGAGCTATTCTGGCCTTGAATTTAATGTGTGTGCGGGATGCTTATTACGCATCGACGCTACAAAGTAATGTGCTAATTTTAGGTGTTGCGAATTCAACTATTTACAGAACAATTAAGGAATATAAGCAGACTGAAAGAACAGAAGAGACTTATAAACATCTTGAAAGAAGTGGGGTTAGATGACAGGGACTTGAGAATCATCTATAATTTATATTACAACCAAACAGCCAGTATTAAAGTGGATGATCAATTGACAGAGGCAGTCTCCATAGATAGAGGAGTGAGGTAAGGATGCATTCTGTCCCCGGTGTTATTTAATATATACTCTGAATATATCTTCGAGCAAGCGCTGGGAGAACTACAAGAAGGCGTATTAGTCAACGGAATGCGTCTAAACAACATTAGATATGCCGATGACGCAGTAGTTTTTGCAGGTAGTCTGGACGGTTTGCAAAGAATAATGTCGCGTATATCAGATATAAGTAGAGAACACGGACTTGATCTTAATACGAAGAAAACAAAGTACATGGTACTCAGTAAGCGCGAAATATTAAATACACAGCTTTTGGTTAACCAACATCCAATTGACAGAGTGGACAGCTACACATACCTTGGTACCAACATTAACAGTCAATGGGATCACTCCAGTGAAATAAAACAACGCATGATTTACCACTTGCTACCAAAATCTCTCTCATTAGATGCTATGTATTTTCTACCTTATTATACGGAGTAGAGGTCTGGACACTTTCCGAAGCTTCCTTAAGAAAACTCGAGGCATTCGAGATGTGGTGTTACAGACGCATCTTAAGAATTTCATGGGTGGATCGTGTGACAAATGTTGAGGTCCTACGTAGAATAGGCAAGGAATGCGAGATTATTAACATCATCAAAGAGCGCAAACTAGAATATATTGACCATGTTATGAGGAATGAACAGAGATACGGCTTGTTGCAACTCGTTCTTCAGGGCAAGGTATTTGGAAAGAGAGGACCAGGGAGAAGAAGAATATCTTGGCTTCAAAAGTTGAGAAAGTGGTTTAATACATCGACAACCGGACTATTCAGAATAGCAGCAAACAAAGTTAGGATAGCCATGTTGATCGCCAACATCCAGAACGGATAGGCACCTTAAGAAGAAGAAGAAGCAGACTGAAACAGTGATGAACAAGATGTCCTAAACAATATGTATGAACATAAGTCTATACCTGTATATTTGAAAAATGGGCAATCCCATAAAAACTGGTTATATTCCTATAAATTAGCATACAATATTTGTTTTTAATGCGCTGATAATATATTGTAAAATTCCATTGGATTTTAGATATAATTTTATCACGAATATATCGCTTTCGTATACGTTCCGGACGATTTTCTTCTACAATATGATAAATAAACTCTAAAAATTCTTCAACTTCTTCATAACAATCCAACATTTTTTTGTTGTGGTTAGAAAAACAAAAAAATATATATTGGAAGTGAATTGGAAAAAATATTCAAACATAAAAACAAAGTTAGGTTAGAATCGATTACTTGATTACCGCAAGGCCGAGATAATCAACCAAAAAACAAGATGTATTAATGCAATGACGTATAATATATAGACTACGCAGTCCCCTATTCTCGCTATAGAATCGAGTGTCCGAAAGATCTCGGCTCAAGGTTGAAGGTATGTTTATCACAACAGCGGCGTGTTCATTTATATGTTAATGACAATAATTATTTTTTTAATTAAAATTAAATATTTATGATTTCTTTTTGCTCCCGTCTATAAGAGAACTAATTATATTGATAAAATAGTATGGCATTTTACTAAAATAGTAAGTAAATAACTCTCAATAATTTAAAATAAAATTTGCTTGTCACACAAAATGGAGAAAATGTTTTCATACGTCCATGATGTTTTCAAACATAAGATCAACTTCGTGATGCTTCGTAAGAAATCATGAACTTCGTGCATCTTCGTATCAAAACAATAAACAATAACAAAGGTATTCATGTTTTGGACACTTTTTAAAGCGTTCACCGAGTCTATATATTATACGTCATTGTATTAATGACTTTTCTAGTAATTTTCTTGCGTGTGAATCTGTCTTTTTAGTTTACTCCTCAATGACGTATAATATATAGACTCGGTGAACGCTTTAAAAAGTGTCCAAAACATGAATACCTTTGTTATTGTTTATTGTTTTGATACGAAGATGCACGAAGTTCATGATTTCTTACGAAGCATCACGAAGTTGATCTTGTGTTTGAAAACATCATGGACGTATGAAAACATTTTCTCCATTTTGTGTGACAAGCAAATTTTATTTTAAATTATTGAGAGTTATTTACTTACTATTTTAGTAAAATGCCATACTATTTTATCAATATAATTAGTTCTCTTATAGACGGGAGCAAAAAGAAATCATAAATATTTAATTTTAATTAAAAAAATAATTATTGTCATTAAAATATAAATGAACACGCCGCTGTTGTGATAAACATACCTTCAACCTTGAGCCGAGATCTTTCGGACACTCGATTCTATAGCGAGAATAGGGGACTGCGTAGTCTATATATTATACGTCATTGTTACTCCTTCTGGTTAAAAAACAAACCATAGAACTGAAATGGAAATATATAAGGTTAGGTTCCCTGAAGTTTTTGGGTTAGTTTGACAGTTCTAACAGTGACGTTTTAAAGGCGATCTTCATTGAAGATAAATTGCTAACGAAATACAATTTGTTCAGCTAAAATTTTAGAAGTAATTGCGATAAGAGATAAAAAATTTACCCATGGCTTGTTTTCCCATAGCACACTGATAAGTATTTCTTGGAGATTGATTGTGATGTGGATATGGTACCAACCCCGCACATACTCCCAGTAAGGTAAAAGTTGCTATTTCTAGATGGGTAGTTTGCAACGTTATATCCTTTTCGTAACAGGCTATATAGCTATCGTTTTCTTCATTTACATCCAGAAACTCGATAAGTCCTAAAAATGACAGACAAGTACTGTTAAGTGAATCTGCAAGATTGGAAATGGTATATTTGGTTATGATATGATTTTAAGAAAGTTTTTATTTTTTAACATATGTACAATCTACTTTAATATAATACTAATATATTTCATTAAGTTGTGTTCCAATGCTGTGATTGACTCCTGGAAGTGTTGCAAAGTACTGATCTACACACGCAATAACTTCTTAATTTGTTGAATAGTGCTGAACAGAGAAGAATGTTCTGACAATAGATGGAGTTCGAGCGAGCTAAACCTGGAGAATAAGGCGACTGTTTCAGAATACCATAGTACATATCCCTCAATTTCACCATTGACAAGTCACTTTAATGATCAAGTGCATTGTACTATTCGAAAAAGATTTTTTCTTGTTTAGTCAGGTCTGTTTTCAGGAATGCTTTAACCCAGTTTTATTAAAAAGTGACAGTAATATTCTCCCATTATAATTTTACTCTTTTAAAAACGGCCAATCAGCCAAATTTCTTTCCACTGAGTTTTTACGTTGATGGCATCGTCCTCGTCTTCGTTGGAGCTAAAATACCCGCACTTTTATCCACAACCAACACATCACGACGTGGTTTAACTAACTTATCGCCAATACTAACTTCAAAGCCCACCCCTGCTGGCTTAGACATAATTTATAATGAGAACGAGCTATCTCGAAACAACTGGCGGTCAAATGATTCGAGTACTCCAAAAATTCTCGAAGGTCACCTCTTTATCGGAGTTCGTGGAATATTTAGGTGGCGTAGAGATTTCTCGATTTCTCTAACGCACAGGGCCGCAATCGGGGGTATCAGACTCACAACAATACCTTTAATATTATAAATAGTAAATATGTGTCGTAGTTAATTTACAATTGATAACAATGTTTTTCATTAAGGTGAATATGCGAATAGAAAAAATGTGCCACCGTTATTTAAGAAAATATATACCTACTTACCGTTCTGTAGAAAGTCTTCGAAACCTCTCATACCTTTTTCGAGTTCTAAAATATGTTTATCGTTGACGAGAGGTATTCCATTTTCCACTATGATGTAGGGCCTGCACAAACGCCCGCTATCCGAACTGATATATACGCATTTGTGCAGATGGCTTGGATAAATCGAGACATATCCAGATATAAAGCCTTTTCGGCGGGTCATCCTGTATATTTTTATTAGTTTCCTGTAGTTTTTCGTGATACCCAAGATATTACCTAGAATGAGAAGATTAATATTATGATGTGGAAGAGGTGTAGTAATAGATTATGTCATCTGGCGAGAACACCACCAACCAGATTTTGGCGCTTTATCTCAATTTACTATGGATTTTTTATTTTATGTTTAAAATATCACCAACTTCTGACTCATAAACTTGAATTTTATATTCCAGAACCTTAGCAGTGATCCGTTTCAATAAACCAAGCATTATTCGAGAAACCATTGAGATGGAAAAGCGCCCTAATTGTTTCAATAAAATAGATGACGGCAACCGGTTACTTTCAACATGGAGTCCTCTCCTCAATCGCAATAAAACACCGCTAGTCCGTAGATCAATTCAGCTTCAGCAGTCAAAAATCATCCAGCCAAAAAACTAAGGAAAAACGTCATTATCGACGCTGACGATATAAAATTTTAATCTTCGACAACAAGCAGCAATATATTAGTGAAGTGATCTGGAAACAACCCCAGAAGTCCTTATGCACACTCCATAAAAGAAACCGAAATCTCAATGCACCAAAAGCCAATGCGATTCAACCCAGAAAATCGGATTAATATCAAACAGAAGAGAATAAAAAGGAAATAGGATTATTGTTAGCTAATATGTTAAAATAATCAGGCTTGTTTATCGAAAAGTAGATTCAAATGCACTAGATGGACAATAATAGCATTGGATAAAGACCAGAGGTGGAGACAAGGGGATCTACGTCCTAATAAAAATCTAATAAATATATAACATTTTCTTACCATTTAGAAATACAATATACGTTGAAGGCGAATGGATAGCAAAACTAGCAACCATATTAATGTCTTGGACTCCAGCATTTCGGGCCAGTCTAATCAGGGGGTATTCATCGACTTCTGTGGTAATGTGAGTCATCAAGGCCAAATTTTTTACTAAACCACAAGCCTGAAAGTTATTTAAAAAGTAAATTTGTGTACAATATTAACAAATCGACTATACAAAATAAAACAAAGCTCAGGTTTGTTTGACTTTTTTCAGCTTCCCTAACACTTTTCTTCCTTCTACTCTTATCTCTTCATTATGACTTCATATACTGTCAGAATTCGAAGAAATAAACGTTGTACGCGGAATTAAATGTCGATTTTTTAAATGAGGCAAATACGTTGAGGCAAAAGTCAAAGATGGCGGCATTGCCAAATGGGTGCTATAACATATCATCGTTGATATTGGTCTGATTTTGACGTATGGGGTGACGTATGAAAGCGGTGGCGACACACAGAAGCCAACTGTTAATTATGCTTCTGTCAACGTTCAATATTAGGAGTCAATTCTTCTTCTTTTCCATATAGTGCCTAACAGAATGTGACAGTCGACGCAGGACATGACAGTTATGTGACAGTCGATGCAGAACGTGGCATTTCATACAGAATGTGACATTTGACGTGAAATGACGTGAATGGCGTGACATTCAACGCAGGACGTGACACTTATTTCACGGTTGCGATTTAGGGGATGCGCTCAGATCCGTGTACTATATCTACTAATCAACGTAACTAGGTGATGACTGAATAATGTGTGTGATCTCAACAATCTCAATATCTCTCTCTGTTAATTCGTCATAGAACTGTCTTTGATTGATATATTCCACTGTACAGATTCAATTATATAGTTTTACGTGGTCCGACAGGAAAAAAGGTTTGAATAATGTCATAATTAGCAAAACTACAACGAACTGACTGTAGATATTCAAATATTGTTTTAAATAAATTTCGCAACACCACTTTTGTATATATTAAGGGAAAAATATAAAGAAACTTTACTTGTGTAATATTTAAATGAGAATACTTACTTCTCCTTCAGGTGTATCGCTTGGACACAACATTCCCCACTGGCTAGGCTGCAGAGACCTTGGTCCCGATACTTTTCTAGTTTTTTCGAACTGAGAGTTGACTCTAGTCATCATACCTAACGCAGAAATGTAGCTGAGTCTCGAAAGAACTTGAGTAACTCCCAACCGTTCCATTCTGAAACGTTTAATTGTCCAATTTCCCTTAAAAAAATGCCAAGAACATATTATAATGATACTGAAGGTGAAAGAGTTAAATGAGACACAAATACATCAGGTAAATTGAGTCTTTAGATATTTTTGTTCGGTCAAAAAAATCGGTCATTAACTGCTTGTCCAAGTTTATTAAATTCTTCTTTTCATGGATTGCCAACTAAAAGTTGTCGTAAAAAAAAGTTAGGTAATGGAAATTGTGTCCAAACTTAATGAAATGACCCTAACTAGTTGCTATGATGATTAAATGGAAATAAATCTTAATAACCACATGGTGATAAGTTGGCATTGTAAGGAGGATGACAATGGTAATCATCCAAGCTGACTTATAATGAATGTCAAAATGTTTTAAGCGTAGTAAATCAATAGTACAGCTATCTGCAACTACGCTTAGGGTATTTATGATATCCCCCATTAAATAAAGGAGGTTACTGGTTCTTACTGAGTTAAGTCGAGAATTTGATGTCCAGGGAAATTATACGCCCAGCAACCTTAAATTATACTCAAATTGCTTTAAAAATACACCCACTGAGTCATCAATTACATCAAATCTAGATCAAAATCCCTAAAGTCCACTTCACGGGACTAAATGCCACGCTAGTTGAACCATGAACTTTGTACTTTATGTAGCCCCAAGTTGAACTCCTTCCTCCAGTCCACTAAAAGCCAAATTCACTTCAATATTAATCCACGCCCATTACAAGTCACACCCAAACAATTTTAAAACCACGCCCACTACGTCATAAACTGCTCGTTCTTTATTTCAAAGTCATTACAACTTGTCAAGTCATAAATCACATCCTCTCGTACTTTAAGACAAATAATTTAGTCATGAACCACATATATTCTCTAAAGTTGCTCCTATTTATATAGTCAGAAGTCAAGCCCCTTTACCTTTAGCCACACCCATAGAGTTACAATATATCTGAAAGACGTGAGACCTTGTCGAAATGAGAACTTCTCGTAGTGGGGGCTCTTCATGTTCAGTCCTGGTCGCTGATTTTGTAAGGGGAAGACTGAATGGAAGCCAAAAGTCCGAGTAACAAGCCAGAACCAAGCTTATCTCTTGAACTAACAAAAACTATGAGGAACAAACAAACAAAGCAGCTTCAGTCATGCAAAGACTATGAAATTGGATCTCTCTTACAGATCGAGCTTGCTAAAATAAGAACGAATTCATGAAAATAGTCAGCAAAACCGCGATGAAGCTCAACAAGAATCGAAAAAGGTTCAGCGAGCAATAGTGAGCTAAGCGCGGGGAAAACGTTTAAGCATATGTTAAATCAAGTCTTCGACCCAAAAGAGGAATGACAACAGTTATTAATAATGCCTATACAAAAGCATCAAAAAAATACCTTACCCAGCTCGCAGTATAGAAAAGTTTAAGATGACAAACCACTCATTTATCTACAAAATACTAAGTTAGAAACAACACTTATACTATTAAAAGCGAAATTCACTCAAATATTAAACCATGCCCATTAACAATCACATCCAAACTATTTTAAAGCTTCCCTATCACAAACTAGTCACTTCCTTTGAGTCACAATTCACTCCCATTGTCTTATAAACCACAATTAAGACCAAATCTATTTTAAAACAAAATCCACTGATTCAGAAACCACACCCCTTCTAATCCAAAGTAACTCCACCTTCTCTTTTCACAAGCCACGTCTTCTCAAACTTTACTGTTAACCTCATAATTCCAAGCATTATTTTTCATCATATTTATTAATAAACGAGGTTATTCAATTATATATGCAAATAATACAAATGTGAGGTAAAGAAAGGTCATTTTCTTATAATAAATAGATTGTGAGGCCATCCAATTTTATGACATCTTTTTGTACAATATTGCCGGAGTAGAGAATTATGAGATAATGAAGATTTAAGGTTATTACTATGAATTTATCTGTTAAAAGGTACATGAAAAATGTTTACTAGACATTTTTTTTTTCACTAAGAATTTAATGTATATGTAGAAACACTTAAATAATTCTAAACTTATTGTTAGACAATGTATAAGCACTGTGATGTCATTGATGACATGAAATGGGCTTAAAGGAAACAATGTATACATATTTTTCTTGTTAACTTACCGTCAGATATGGCAAACACCAAACAACTTGTAATTAAATCAGATCTCATGTATTTGACGACATCAAACTGTGTAGCTCTAATCTTGGGAATGGTCTTTTCTGCTATGGCAGTCAGTTCCCAGTTGAACCTTTTGAACACGTCTTCGAACATTAGAGAAATAAGGGAACCAGCCAATTCCAACCTTTTATTACCGTAATAGTCCCTGTCATCTAGTAGCTGGCTGTCATTTTGTGCTTCGATCACTTTCTTTATCTAAGAAATATTTTATTTTTAAAATAAATATTGCCATATGAAACACCCAAAAATAAACTCAACAATCAGAAATATCAAAAGAAATTAAGAAGAAGGTATATAAGATTAGCTTTCAGATGACATTTGTGAGTCAATATTCATCTTATAAATGGTAAATAAATGATTTATTGTATAAAATAATTTGCTAATTTTCTGTTATAAGGTGAGGGAACTAAATAAAACTTTTGAGAGTGGAAGCTAAGCGACTCTATTAAAAAAAATTAAAAAAACTATCTTATCTATTATGCATATATCTATATATGCAATTTTTCTGGAAGCAGTTTTCCGGGAAAAAACGGTACATACTATCCAGAAGGGCATGATGGGAAACATGTATTGTGATACTAGAAAAATTAAACAAGAAAGGTTTATATGACATATACTGTAACTGGGAAGAAAAGACAAACACAGAGAGGAAGCCCCAATAGAAATTGGCGAGATTAAATTGTGGATACAGACAGGAAAACATACGAAAAACTGATATTAATCATAAAGAACAGGACAATTTTAATAAACGTGGAACAGATTCCTTAACAATGCATGTTCCTGGCTTAATTTATGGAGGTGGTAACACTGTAATTATCATATGGTGAATGATACATAGGTACAATCGCAAAAAAATAGAGAAATTCCATGGACAGTATTGAATAAAAAAGATATACTGTACATTTAATGTATTTGAAAGGTGCAAAAGATAGATAACTGTGCAAAAGAAAAATTTTCAAATGCAGTGTCAATATACTAAATCCAAAAATCAATAGATCAGTAAAAAATGAAATAAATATCAATTAAAAGTGTATCTTACCATCAGTCCTAAATAAATAGCTTTGAGTCTAAAATTATATTCTTCTACAGGTACATGAGCCAGAACAGTAGTTGCCAGTAAATCTCGAGCTTCATCAGCAGGCGTTTTCATCTTTGATGCTGACGTAACATATCTCTTTACGACCAATTTGGTTCCTAAGTACGCTAACGCTGACTCTTGTGTATAGATCTTCAGGTTGTGGCATTCTTCAAGAGTGGGAGTCAATTTGTGGATGTCATTTATTCCTATCAGTTCACATATTTCTTGGTCGTTTATGATGTTTAAAGCTTTAAATACTATAGAGACTAGGATAGGCTGAAAAATGTAAAATTAAGAGTATTGGATACCAACAAACTTGAAGGGAATGCAAACAATAATAGACCACTCAAAGTTTATAACAAAGTTAAGTATTTAAGTATCTTAAGAATTCAAACCACGAATACAAAGTATAATGAATAACAGAGAAACTATCAGAGATGACAAGATTGCTGGAGTCTACAGATAAGTAAATGATACCGATGGAACTATGCATCATAATCCATAGAGCCTTCAATTCTAAGAGCGAATGGGAAAGGCTGTGCAGTTACTAATAAACAATAACTATCAACACAATCCATATCCTATGAGTCATGATTTGACAACATGTTTAGTGGCCAAAGGAATGGTGTGTGTAAATTTAGTCTGATAAATAATAGAAAAAGTATATGAATTTATTGTTAAAACCTGTTTATGCTTAGTGGATTACATGAACCTTGAATTCATTTTTAATGAACTTTTAAGAAACCTACAAAAATTTTTAATAAACTTGATGAGAATGATAAAAACTTACATCTGTGAAAGTATTATGTCCCACATAATACTTATTTCCTTTGACAAATACATTGGTCCTGGACTTCTTTTCGTGGGTAGAACTGGTCACTTGACACTGCACGCCATATTTTCCTTCCTCCACCAACATTCTATTTTTTGTTAACTGTTCTTGGATCAAAATAACTTTTTCTTGTCCTTTCACGACAAAATATCCACCTGGGTCCAATGGGCATTCATTCATTTTTGCTAATTCGTACTCGGATTTGCCGCTCAGAACACAATTTGAGGATTTCAGCATAATTGGCATCCTGCAGATTTGTAAAATTTGTTTTATTTGGGCAAAAAGTTTATAAGTACGATTTTGGTTATCATTTTGATATGTAAAAAAAACTTTTTGTACCAATTTTTACCTATTTTATGTTTGTCGCAATATTATGGCTCCAATATTTAAAAAATGTAAACCTGAAATAGGGTACTAAAAACCCAAGAAAACTAAATGCCTAACAGATAATCTAGAGAAGCTAATAATAACTATAGAAAAGAAAATGGACTTGAAATATGTAGAAAAATGTTAAAAAATAAACACCATATCTAGAATGTTGCCATTGAGGGAAAAATAGCTCCTTAACTTATATTTGATGACGAAAAATGCCATCTGTAAAACTAAAACGGTCAAGGTAATAGATCTCAACAATTTTTATTCAAAATTTCTAAAATTAATGGATGACACACAAATAAAATTGCTTACATTGATATTTAACAACTTATAAAAAAATTCCTTAGGGTTAGCTTCAATCAAATTAAAACAAAAATATATATCTACCAAGAAAAATGTGAATGTTATATAACTATCAGTTTTATGAGCCACCTATTAAAAATCTTTCTCAAAGTAATTCACATTAAGATCTACAACAATGTGTTGAAACATTTATCTAGTCAAAATATTCTTCTGTTAGATCTTTGGATCAGAATCCATAGTAACTGTTATGTTGTCACTACTGCTTGACACAATAACTGTTCTTTGAATATCCTTAGGGATTTTAATATAGTAGTACTCTGTTGTGTACTATATCTAGATGCCTTTGGCCAGTTACCGGTTCAATAATCTTTTGGGACAATTTCTTATTCCAAGGGCAAGGAAGTTCCTTAATCTGTAGTAATAGTTCTGTTAAAAGATAACTGATAAAAGAGGGACCGCTTATACCAGCAGTCAGTCAGGCAGCCAAGTTGTGATACTTTCCCTAAGTTTCTGTAGTATTTTTTCAAGTATGCTTTCCTATAGCATACCCACTATGGCCTTCAGTATCCTAACTGCTTGGTCTATAGTTATATCAAGTACATTATGTAAATGATTTCAAGTATCTTGACCCTATTACAGCTTCTCAATTGATAATATAAAAGATTTATTCATCTATTTCTTGGTGCTTCACCAGGAACAGATCCTTAGAGGTAAATAAAATGTTTATTTCTCTTTCTATATATAACAAAAATGTGTACTTACCTTCCAATTAAAAGGCCTGTTTTAGAGAGCCTTTGGGATCCTCTTGTGTATTCTATATCAACTGTTATTGGAGCTGAATATGTCATATCCCTTAACCTACATTCATGAGGGTTGTAGGTTTGCTAATGTTGAAACCTTCATCCACATCAGGTGTTCCAACTTGAACATTTGTGTACCTATTAGAGAAAATAGATGGTTTAATATTAGCAAAAATTGATTATTATTATTGAAAGTATATGTCACACTATTTTAGAAAAAAAAACTTTCTATAACCAACTCCAGGACTTAAGTGTTGGAATGCATGAGCAAATTATTATAAAGTAATTATAGAACGATCATAATCATACCAGAATAAATTCAAATATATAAAATAGCTTATGATATATAAAATAGCCTCTAAACTATATCAATCAACTCACTTGATATAAAATAATGGATCAGCATCACAGGTTACTTTGTTGTTAGCTTCAACTATCTTTTTAATTTCAACTGCAATGAAGTAGTTGAATGAGTCTATATGTTGTTTTACCAATCCTCTTATTTTTAAAAAAGCAGGCACCAACTTCCATTTTTCCTAGGGGTAAAATAAAATAAATTTAGTTATAAGACATATCTCTTTTAATTTATTTTAGTTTCGTTCGTAATTAATTTGTACTTTCTAAATAATTTTTCTTGTAAAAAAGGTAATATACCAATTTGAAAAAGTGTTGCAGTTCCACAAATGTGGACATATTCTATTATTACATCTTTATAAAATAATATTTATCACTTACTTCTATTTCTTTAATTGGCATGTGATATTGTTTAGGATCTCCATAAACCTGTTCGTAGGACTCCTTCTCCTTCATGTTTTTTTAAATAAAACCATAAAACTACTTAATAAAAATTAAATAAATATTTACCATCACAATGAGGTTATGTTATGTTCTTCTTCTTCTTCTTTATTTAATTTCGTTTACGTGGTTTAACTTCACACCGGTAAAGTTCTTTACTTATAAAAATTTATTGTGAATTTTTGGTAATGTGTGAAATAACAATGAACAAACTGTTAAAAACAAAAAGGAAAAAACGAAAAAGAGTAAATAAATTGATATTTACTTTGATATTAAATTCATTTTAAAAATATAAGGTTCATTTTTAGTTAGGCAACACATTATTCGTGGGCGTATGTAGATAAAGCAATTTCGCATCATAAAATAAACATTAAATTATTAACAATCTTTAGAATCCATTAATATATAATACAAATATTGAATTTACTAGAATCTACAGTTATTCTCCTATATCAACCTTAAGAAAAATAGGTGTCTTTTTAACTCATAAAGAAGTATTTTTATCCTTCACAAAGAAGTTTCCAGTTTAAAAGGATTTTTTTTTTTGAAGATGCTACCCGCCTTTTTATATAGTTCTGAGTACATACTCGATTTTCATTTTAAAATCATTAGAGTATTTTTTGAGATTTAAATGCTTCTTCACAAGTTTGATTCTACCATGGTTCGTCTGTGTAAGTTTAGAAATATTAGAGAATTTCAAACAGTTAGTTTTGTAACGAAATATTTTTTTTAATGAAATTGACGTGTCTCGACATCTATGGCCATTGACACGGGTAACGAAATATTGAGTATCTGTCAATGTTGCTTTGAAGTAGGCGATTGATCTGGTAAAAAGACAGCGGCGTGCACTTTTTTTTACTTTTCAATGAGTTTTGAATATAGAGTAAGATATTAAAAAAGTTAAAACCATTTAGTAAGATAAAAGTAAAGCTATTTGATGGTACAAAAGAACAATAATACATTTTACCTGGAAAAACTGTTTTGATTTTACAAAAGGATTATTCAGTTCCGGTTGTTGATCAATTAAATAAAATGGATTTTAAATATGCAATTGTTAATCGTATTTTCCACATATTATAATACGTTTTTTTTTTACAATTGTTTTTTTAACGTATAATTATTATAACTTTTTGATTTACAAATGCTGATAAACTTTCTGGGAAGGTTGAGTTTTGAGAGGGCAGCCAAATTACTTTCGCACTTAGGCGGCAGATACCCAAGTCACAGAATAATAAACAATCAGAATGTCCACTCTGCTTGAAAAAATAAGTACGCGCATCTCGTTAACGCAGACGGAATCAGCCATGTTTTAGTCGGAACCAGTGCTGTTCAGTGACATTTTATCTGGTGTGCATAGACAAATTAACCCGGTTTAATTTATTTACGACAGCTATAGACATAATATGCACTATTTTATTCGTATTTTTAGTTGAAGAATAGATTAAATTATTTAAAATTTACTAAATTATTAATCTCTAAAAATTTAAATTACAGTTCTTTCGTAGCTTGTCACAAATTTCTCAATTCGAGTATATGTTTCCGTAAAGGCCTTGCGTAGAAAAATCTATATGAAAAAACCTCAATAAGACGAAATAAGAGGAAAGATAAGAGGAAAAATGGTAATGCCTTTCCTATTTTGAATTGAATACACAAAAATAATAAAAATAACCAAAAAAATCTTTATTTTGCTTCCAATAATATAACATTTTATAAACTTGAAATAAAGTAAAAATATTGATAACTATGATGATCTGAAATTATCAACAATTTCATTAGGAGGCGTGTTTGACCTTTGTACTCTGCTAGGCAACTTCAAGGACACTGTTTCGGTTTTACTGGTCGGGCCTCGTCCCCCCAGCACCGGCCCGGGAACCCTCCTCTGGCCGTTTTCCCTTTGAATAATCTCCAACAAACTCATACTAGGTAGCCACGACTTATCCTTAATGGCTGTAGCTACTATATTCCTATTCGGTTCCATATCGTAAGCGGCACTCTCCACACCAAAGTGTTCGCAATACTCGTGTATGAAATGCCTTTTGTCACGATTCATCGAGTCGAAGGAATACGAGCGGCTCTTCTGCTTGCTGTTTTTGGCCAGTTGGACGAGTTCCGAAAGTTTGTCGTGGATTTTTTGGCAAAAGTGTGGATCCTTTTTGGCCCACTGTCTCATAAAATCTGAGTATCTTGGTGTTAGTTTCTGGCTCAAATCTGGGTTGCGGATTTGCAGGCCTATTGCTAGTCTACGATTTCTATCCAAAACTCGGCATTCTTCTGTGCACTCCAATCTAAAAAAAAATAACCAAAGCTATGAATATGTTCTACTACAATCTAAATGTTATAGTTTTTTTGGAGATTCTGAAATATTTTACTGTGTATATAGTCGGCTATATGCAATAGTGGCTTAATTCAAAAATTGACAAGGAAATTAATAGAAAAATTAATAGTAAGGCAAAAATTGATAGGAATAACAAAAAAATGCCAGTGACATCTTTACCTTAATTAGTCTTGAAAGACAATATGTTGATGTGCAATAGTGGCACAACTCAAAAATAAAGGTTGGATTTAAGTCTATGTTACAATTCATTAAACGCTACTTAACGCTCTTCCAAATACACTAAAATTGATTTTTTGTCAAATATCCCAATTCATGTAGTAAAACAAATAAGACAAAATTGGCACAAACTTTAAACCACTGTTATGAAAAATTATTAGTTTTCGTGTTGTGCCACTATTGCATACAGCCGACGATGTGAAGTTAGTTATTAAACTGAACTTTGTAGAATGTCATAATAATTGTACAAATTATAAATAAAGAATGTAAATAAATCAAATCATGGGTTTGACTACCTTTATAAAATGAACAATGGATGGACGTTATGGACTTATGCCATTTCATGTGACTGCGATACTACCGCCGACAATGCGCGGCGGACATGTATGGACAATACACCGACAAGAAGCAGAAAGACAAGAAGATAAGAAGAACGTTCAACATACACACATTTTTATTTCTAAGTATAGTTTGGATTTTCATTAGTTTTACGTATTTATTTAGCGTATGGCTACATCACAGGTTCATATATAAATATACAGTGTAGGAAAAATATTATGGTCGGTATGGTAAAATTTAAGAGGATATCTAACGCAGATATAAAATCATATTTTCAGCGAATAGACAAAGATAACAATCATATTTCCCCTTGGTCTCCCCTCCTCAAATATTTTTAACACCTATTGGCCATTAGTGAGACGAATAGTTCCGATCAGAGATATTTTACATATTCTCTGGTTCCGATCCTAATATACCTAAAAAACTAGAGGTGGGTCCTCCCGTTTTTTAAATTTTATCGGAACCGTTTTTCGTAAACTGTAACTAGTTGATTCAAATTAGCGAGTACACAAAACATATTGGCTATTATCGTTTATGTGTATAAGTATTGAAGTGAAAGAACCTAACGAAGGATATATTTATTATAACTTAAAAAATAAATTAAACAATACAAAATAGTACTTACATTTACATTAAATCGTACTTACATTTACATTACACGTTATTATTAAATCGCGAATCGTCTAAATTGACATTTAAAAACAAGTTTTTCTACTTTTCTTGTTAACCGTGTTCTTCTTTTATTTAAAATTAAACCAGATTTTAAACATGTGTTCACAAGGAAAAGATTTTGTTACAATTCTACAATATTTTATGAATATAGTGGCTAAGTTAGGATATTACATGGCGATGGTTTTTCCACCACGGTAATGGACAGTTCCAATCTCCGTTCGAAATTTAATGTGGGTAATATATTATCAGACAAATACATGTCGACTTCTTGTATATCTCTCGATACAGTTGTATGTTTAGATGAGTCATGTCCAATTAATTCATCAAAAATACACAATGGACTTAAGTCATCTTTATCAGTTTCTTTTTCTTGACTAAACTTATTGATTTACTAAACTTATGCAAAGACTCGTTTCATCCGTTTTCTATAGGTGAAGAACCAGCTTTTAAAAGTTTGCAGGGTGGATTCCTGGATATAAACCGCCAACAAGAAAACTGTTAGATTCATTACTTCAGGGAATGTTATGTCAAAACTGATTTGATAATAGATAAAATAAAAAGTCCTTTTTTCGACAATTCTGCAAAAAACATTAAAAAAAGTACCTTATCTTCAGAAAGGCTTTTAAAGTATTAATTACAACATAACAAAGTTCCCAAACGGCCAGTCCAAGACGTGGAAACTAGGTAGAACTTCACCTATTACAGGTTAAAAAGAATGACTGAGTTAGAAGAGGCAATCCGTTTCACTTCTTCTTCTTTAAGTTCCATCTTCTATCGAAGGTTGGAAATCATCATGGCTATGCCGACTCTGTTGACTGCCGCTCTAAAAAGGTCTGCACTACTTCATTCAAACCATTCCTTAAGTTCTTAAGCCAGGATATTCTTCGTCTTCCCACATTTCGCTTTTCTCGGATTTTGCCCTGCATAATAAGTTGTAATAATGCGTATTTTTGCCCTTTCATCACATGTCCCAAGTACTCAAGTTTTCGTCTTTTAATAGTTAATATTATTTCTGCCTCATTTCCTATCCTTCTAGTTACTTCAATGTTTGACATTTTTTGAATCCATGATATTCGTAGGATTCTTCTGTAACACCAAAATTCAAAGGCAGCCAATTTATTCAGATGAACTTGTTTTAGTGTCCAAGCTTTCAGACCATAAAGAAGAGTAGAGAACACGTAACATCGAAGCATTCTCAGGCGTAGTTCTAACCTTATATCCCGACAACAAAGAAACTTTTTAAGTTTAATAAATGATGTACATGCTATTTCAATACGTGTCTTAATTTCTTTGGTTTGGTCTACATCTGATGTTATCCATGTTCCTAAGTATTTATAGTTATTAACACTCTTAATTGCAGTATCTTCATAGTCAATTGGATATTTGTGCAGATTTAGTCATGATCATGCATTTAGTTTTCTTTAAATTTATCTTCAGTCCGTACTCAAGACAGCGTTCATTAAGGCGTTGTATTAGGTTATGTAAATCATTGTTGTTATCTCGTAATTATTACTGTATCGTCTGCAAAACGTAAGTTATTCAAAACTTCTCCATTGATAGATATACCTTCTATTGAGTCTGAGAGCGCTTCTTAAAATACCGATCACTGTAGACATTGAAAAGTAGTGGGGACAGCACGCAACCCTGGCGGACTCCCTCTCTGTATTTTGATATTTTCGGTGTACTAGCGTGTATTTCCGTTCCACATCGGTATTAAATAATACAGACTTAGACTTAGACCAAATCTAAATAAAAAACACTGGATTATTTGTTCTCAGCTTTCCCAAATTTTACGGCCGTTTAAAGAAATAACAAGTACAATGAGTGACCAAAAATACTTGAATGGTAGTTCAGTGATTGTTATGGTACGCGGCCTGCAAGAATCTTGCAAGAAAATTTTAGCAAACGGTAACCTTACATCCATAGTATCCGACGTAGTACAATTACTAATATCGGGTTTAGCAAAAATATTTAAAGGGATAGAACAGAGTAGCATATTGTCATTATGTACATTTATAGATTCACCATTTAAAGTGCAGGGTTTTTCTGATAAAAATGAAGATAAAAAAATAAAAGAAAAAGTTAAGAAGCTGGTTACTTCTATAATTAACGAACAAGAAGATTGTACTATTGAAACAAGAAACCAATAAAGATGACTTAAATCCATGGTGTATATTTGATCAATTAATTGGAGATGGCTCATCTACACGTACACCTGTATCGAGAGTCCATTACAACGGTGGAAAAAACCATCGCCATGTATATCCTAACTTAACCCCTATATTCATACGGTATTGTAAATGTGAACACATGTTCAAAATCTGGTTTAATTTGAAATAAAAAAAGAAGACGGTTAATAAGAAATAGGTATAGTAGAAAAACTTATGTTTTTTTAATGTCAATTTAGACTATTCGCGATTTAATAATAACGTGTAATGTAAATGTAAGTACGATTTACTATTTGTATTGTTTAGTTTATTTTTCAAGTTATAATAAATATATCATTAGTTTCTTTCACTTCAATAAATATACACATAAACGATAATAGCCATTATGTTTGTTTATGTAGGTACTCTCTTACTTGAAACTACTTTTAAACAATCATAGTTACTTGTTTACAAAAATTTAAATTTTTAAATTTATTCATTTTTTTGGAATCCTGAGAAAACTAACAAATATTTTTGAAAAATTTAAAAATAAATAAAAAGTTTTTTGAATGACCCACCTCTACTACCCGTTACTCGGTGTTCTGACCAGACGGACGACGTTGCCAAATAAATTATTGTGTATGAATATTTTTTAATGTGGTGTTATTGTATGCAGTTTATTATTTCATATGGGAATAAGGCACAATGTGACTTTAAAATAAGCTTATTTTGATGTTTAGATTTTTAATTCGGAAATCGTACTTAAAATACGAAACATTAATAAATTTTATTTATATAAAACGATTTCCAAAGTGGAAATCAAAATGTTATATTACACTTATTGTAAAGTAAACTTTTAAATCCATTTTATCAATTTAAATATCATGCCATTTAAATCAATTTCGCCCAAATTGGATTATCTTAGAACATTGTTCAAATGCAAAAAAAAACAACAGGTCAAATAAATCCAATAAGTTTGGCAACGTTGAACTTCCCCTTTCCAGGCATGCATGTCTGGCGATATAAAGGGCGGACCTAATATACCTCTCTCTTTCTAAACAGCTGTTTCTCACTCTATCTCACGTAAGGTCCATACCGACCATAAATTTTTTCCTACACTGTATAATATAAATTATATAAATTACAAACAACAGTAAATACAAAAATATTCTACAAACAAACATCTAGATTATAAATATATTCGATTGACTCTTTTGTAGCAGCCAGGAAATCTGAAGGGTTGCCGTTATAGGATCTAATCGGGCATTCCTCTACCATGTGTTTTACTGTTTGCCTTTCGGCGCCGCAGTCGCAATTTGGTGATTGTATTTTTTCCCATCTAAAACGTGAGTCGGAACATCTAAGAACATAAAGTTTTTCGTAAAATACTCAAAACACTGCACTACCCTACCACAAGAATAAAAAAGTGTCTTTGATAGGCATTCGAAAATTTTGAGAGATACTATTATAATCGATAGATATAACAAATATCGACCTGTTTCGGGATTTCCCTCAAAACTCTACGGTTCTCGAAATAATGATAATATTCCATAATTTAGCCGTTCACTGTATGTGAGGGAAGATAGGATCATCGAGCAATAAGACAAAAGAGGGAATCTAATCGTTATGAAAAGGAGACGAAAAAGTGGCCTCTGATGGCGGACATATCCGGAAATGCAAATGCGCCAAATTTAAATTTCATGACACTTGACAATAATCATACAGTGGTGTAGGGTTCTAATTTATCTATTTATTTATATTATATTACATAATATTTAATATTATTATTTATCTATTTATTTATTAAAATTATTTATTAAAATACTTTTTTAACACTAGAACACAAAGTTTTAATTAATTAATAACGATAATAGTCTAAAATGTTAAACAATTGTTAAAAAAAACTTAATAGAAAATATAAATAAGCTTTCATGTGACAGTTTTGAAAAAAAATAACATCAACAATAACATAACCCAACTAAATTTGATTTCTTAAACAAGGAAAGAGATTCTCTTTCCTTGTTTAAAGTGGCCTCTGAAAATAGCACTTCCTGTCTATCAATATGTTTGCCCACACTACCTTTACATTACTCTTTTGTCTTATTGCTCGATGGATAGGATAGTTAAAATAAAAAAATAACTTACATCTTTAGAACAGTCGGTTTTTTGGGAGCGCTGAAAATATCTGTCAAATCGACTGTGGAACTCGTCGACAAGCTTCCCATCTTTTCCTTCAGCTGCATCATTTGGATGTTCTTGAATTCATCGGCGACTTCGGTGCAGGGTCTCGTACTTTTTTGAAGACCACACGGGCACGTAACTGGCACCATCTGCTTACAACTACTTTCCTGACAGGGTGGTAAATGACATGGCCTAAAAAATAAAAAATATAACTGAGTAATTAGCTGAAGGTAATTTTTTTATAAGTGATGGATTCGACCGTTACTTGATGGAAATTTATTTTATACATTTTATATATGTAATAATAAAACACTGAAAACTTTGTTTTCAAAACTTTCACAAATTTATTTATAAAATCTTATCTTTTATCGCGCCTTTCTCAACTTGAGAAAGGCACTCTACCAAAACAGCTGTACTGCCCTGCTAATTAAAATCGTCCTAACTGGCAATATTAGACTTTTGAGAAAAAGCAATATTTGTAGTTAATATCGTGCCGTCATCATTTTAAAAAGCAGGACTGTTGCTTTTTTGCATATAAGTAGTTAATTAAGATTAAATTTTTTTTGGTTTACCAGCAATCACTTAAACTACCCCAAGTTTGATATTTGATAGATAGGACTTTTTAACTAAGCATTATTAATGTATTGGTTATTTGGATTTATTAATTTTTCAGATAGGACTTTTTTAGTTTAAATATGAATGACAATTAAAATTTTACTAACTGCATTTACTCATTAAATAAGTTTATTAAGAAAAAAGGCAAAACTGATACATATTGTATATTACCACAAAAGTAATAACATTAAAAAAAAAAAGAAAAAAATTAAATCAAATTACAAATTATCCTCAACGACGGATTCTGACACTGGCATATTTTCCCAAAACATAATCCTATTCTTAGGTAATATTGGGCGGAGCTTATTTAGCAAAGTTTGTTTTCTCTTCATGTCAATCCCTCGAGCCTTAGTATGCATATGGGGTTTGGGTATGTCTGCTTTGAAAGATTTTGCCATTAGGAAATTAAGATTTATAAAATCGTCTGAAAAGCTTACTTTGTATTTAAGGTTTTTTACTTCCTCTTGAACAAGAAATAAGAACTATATCTCGTAAATATGGCCTTGGTGACAAGTGATTAATTTTATGCTTTGAGCTATGATCTTTCCATGCATAAAAATGTTCTGTTTGCATAGGTAATATCTGCACTTTTCCAGAATTTGAATTCTGGACACAAGACATAAAGTCATCAAAGTCGAATACTTTACCCATTTTTGTTAGTTCCTTTTCTACCTGATGATGGAAAACTATCAGCTGCCATAAAAGTGTGTCCAGGTTCAAGAAATTTTAGAGTCAAATTTTGTAACTGAACTTCAGGACTATTTACAATATATATGAAAAAGGAAAGAATTGCCCAGTTTTTGTTTTGCGATGCGTAGTTATCTAACCAGAATGTTATATTTTTTTCATCTCTGTGATGTAAAATAAATCTGTAAAAAGTCGAAATGATGTCTTCCTTATTTCTGCCTGATATACCCTCATGCCAAATAACCGCTGTTGGTTTTTGTTTATTCGATGAATTACCGATTGGCACAAAACTTTCGTTGTATGCAATAATGCGAGGAACAAATATTACCTCTTTAAACATCTCTGCCCGAGGTAACATGATCACCTTTTGTAAATCAACAGAAATATACATTTCGTGAGAGGTTGTGGATACAGCCACATCATTTTGATATTCTTTCCGAGCTGAGTCATATAAAATTTTATGCTTCTTCCATGTTTGACAGGAGTCACAGTCTGCATTTTCATTAACTTCATTATATTTTGTCTCAGATTTATGTAGGTTGTATGTTTCACATTCAAAACACTCTTCATGACCCAGCTTTGCAAATGATATATTCATATCACTAACATTTTTACGATAAACTTCATAACTGACTTTCATATCTGGATACATTTCCTTGAAATGCTTGTGCATTTGTGTAATAGAAATATCACTGGGCAAATACAGCCTATTTGGTGCATGTTCTCGACGATAATGTGATATTGTCGGATTGAATAACTGTACGTGTTGTTTGATACGATCGGTATCAATTTTCCATTTACATGGATGACGTCCTCTTTTATCAGGAACAGGTATTATGGTCGTAGCTGCTGGAGTGTTTCGAATAGTTTTCAAAATTCGGTCATTGTTAACATCAAATCCCAGAGTAGAAAGAAGAAAAGTTTTGCAAACATTAACTTCATCACCAGTTATATTTTTCAGGTAATACTTGAACGTATTTCTGCGACATGTGTTTGTTCCAGCTGTTCTTCGTTTTATATCGAACCGCCTTATACAATCGTATATAAATGTATTTCTGGCGTCTGCACTCATTTCCCACACTAGTTGATTAATAACTTGCTGTCTCTGGACATTAATTTTTGATGCACACTTTAACTTGCACTGTTCTAGATTACATGGTTGTTTAATGAAATGTTTTTGCTTCAAAGAATCTGTTTTTTTGCTTTTTTCTAATAGCTGGTGACAAATCATATTTTTTTGCGTTTTCTGATTGTACCTTTCTTTGTATAAATTTTATCACTTTTCAGCTCAACAGTATGGATTACGTTTTGCACGATATTATCAAGTAGCTGCTTAATAAAAGGCAAAGTTTCGTCTGCAACATCGATGTCCACATCATATTCGTTAATATTATTGGAAAAGTGTTTGTTAGTTGATATAATTTTATCCTCACCCGGGTTAAGTGTTGTTTCTGAAGCTGTAGAAGATTCTGCTGCATTAAATTCAACTTCTGCATCAGCAAATTCTCGTTTTTTCTTTTTCTTGCCGTCAATGCGTATTTCTTCTCGAAACTGTTTATTATGCAATGCTAATGCAACTAATTTTTCCCCCTGTCCATTTTCCTGAAGAAAAACAAAAATTTACTGACTACTCAATTATTATTTATATTTATCATCACTTACCACAGCGAATCAAAAGGTACAATAGTTAATACACTTAGTTTACTAGTATTACGAAAATAAGCCTGCTTGCTGCAAGCGTCACAAAATACAAATGAAATCAACAAAAATTATTACATCCAATTATCTATCAAATATCTATATGACGCGATCGGGTATTCACATCACTTCACAGAATAATTCCCCTAGTCATATATTTCTAGGTCAACATTAATTTCACCAGTTGAATGATTTCAACATGACTTATTTAGTCAAAAAGTCCTATCTTCACAATTTGATGCAGACAGGACGCTTTAACTAAGTAGTCAGTATATAGGATAATTATTCTAAGCACAGCGGCTGTTAGTTGTAGAAAGGACAAACAAATTTATGATTTTGTACGATTTGAGGTGGCAGAAAGGATTTTCTGACTAAGTAATAAGATGATAAACGTCTAATAGTAGTAGAATATAACCTTATCCAGAAAAAACGAAAATTGTAGATCGGACGTTTTTACTAAGCAGGGCAGTGTAGTGATAAGAATTTATAATAAATTTTGTGGAATTTTTTTTGTGTATCGTTTATATTTAATTCAAAAAAGTTCTTCCAATATCTACAGGTAACTTTGAGAATCATGATATTATTATCGATCTAAAGTGAATAACGTCTAATACGAACCTGCCACAAGGATGGCCGCACAACTCTCTTGGTACATTACACGGCAGCTTGCAGGGTGTAGGACACGGACCGTCGTGACAAGGTTTGACGCATTTGTGCCTTTTGCAAGACATGTCTCTCCCGCAAGGCAATCCACAACTGAAGTTTTCTTGGTGACACGGTATCGCAGGCCTAAAATACAAACAAAGCAGATTAGAATCATGTAGAAACTATGTTAGTGCCAAATATTTCAAGATAACAGGATAATCATTTTTATCTCAAATAAAGAAATTGTTTCACTCATTTTGTAGAGGATTGTATATGTTTATAGTGAGACGGCATATAGTATGTTCGCTGGTTCTTTGCATATGTATAATATTCACTATTTTTTTTACTCACAGGATATTAACATCGCCAGTGTCGGTTTAGGGATTCTGATTCCAGGAGGACTCTCCTTCTACGTCGGTTTTCTTTTATACCAGGTGTGCCAAATGAAGCGGCACGGTAGAAAATTTTGCAAAATTGACATCGGATCAAAAAATTGAAAATTACATGTTCAATATTTTTCAAAAATCTATACAATGACACCAAATATGATCCCCACTCTACCCCTGGGATTTGAGCAAGGGGTAACTTTGAAATCTTAAATAGAAATCGCTATTTTTTATTGCAAATTCTAGTTCTGATTCTAGGTAGAAACCGTATTCAGTACCATAAAAATTAGTTTTGATCTGTATTTGTTTTTCCGCAATTACACTATCCTCATTTGAGGAGTACCGACAGAAGTGAATACTTCTTATAGTAACAATAAAACACTGAAAACTTTGTTTTCAAACTTCCACAAAATTTATTTTAAATATTATCACTACAGCTGTTTCGGCTGATTGCCTTTCTCAAGTGATCTATTTTGGCTTGGGTTTACAATACAACTTTGAGACAGAATTAAATATAATTAAACAAATAGCAGTAAACAACGGATACAACGAACAAACAATTAATAAAATGTTAAATCAAAAACTACACCAGAAAGCCCTGAAATTAGTATTTCCACCACCAGAGAAAAATCCCAGTACCTTCTGCTCGATTACATATACAGGCAAAATAACAACAAAAATTGCCAAACACATAAAAAAGAAAGGAATAACACCAGCTTTCCGAACAAATAACAATCTAGGCAAATATATTAAAAATAACAAGAGTCAAAATAAAAACACTTAAATAGTGGTGTGTACAAACTTCAATGTGGCGACTGCCCAAAAACTTACATCGGTTAAACTGGTAGAAACTTTGATAAACGAATAGCAGAACATAAAAGGGCTTTCAAGAATAGAAAAACAGATTCGACATACGCACTTCACCTTCTAGATCATAATCATTCTTTTAATGACAAATTGAAAAATTCTTCACATTCAAAATAAAGGCCTTAAGCTATCTTTGTTAGAATCTATGGAAATTAACAAATTAAAAAACACAGATATAATTCTGAATGACCAACTTGAGACAAACAGTTCTCCCCTCCTCAACCTATTTCATTAGAGACTATAAATTTGTAAACCCAAGCCAAAATAGATCACTTGAGAAAGGCAATCAGCCGAAACAGCTGTGATAATATTTAAAATAAATTTTGTGGAAGTTTGAAAACAAAGTTTTCAGTGTTTTATTGTTACATAAAATGAATTTCCATCAAGTAACGGTCGATTCCATCAACTTCTTATAGTGTTATTACTCGGTGTAGGTTAATGACATTTTGCCTGCTTATTAGTGAATTGTTAATATTTTTTATCATAACACTACACATTTAAGTTCTTTAACCCTTTAACGGCCACACAAAATTTGTTAACATTTTAGCAAACGCTTTCTGGTTAAATATGTAAAGGAAGTTGCCTTAAACACGGGCCCCACTTTGTTTTGAATTTTAAAAAAATCGAATTTAAAAAAATAAAACATTTTTCAATTTACTCGTATATCTTACTATGTTTTACATAGGTGTCCATTTTATTTATATTTTTTTATTAAGTTTTGTGGGCGTGAAATTTTTTTTCTTGAACATTGCATTTTGATGCGTGTTTGAGAAATGTTTCCTAATGTGGGCCCCGAAAAAAATATTAGAGGAAAATTTAAGAAAAACTTAAAAATAAAACACTAACAATTTAAATAAACAAAATTATAATTTTACAGTGAAAATATAATAATTGACAGTCAAGTACGAGAATAATGGCATATATATTTGTCTTCTTCTGCGCCTGCACACTCCACGTGAGCTCAGAGGGAACACATAAGGCATTTAATCCAACGCTCTCCTTTACTGTTATCTGAAAATTTAACAGACCAAAACAAGCATTCCGCATCCTCTTCAGCTGTGACGGAAGATACACTTGATGGAATTTCTAACTCAGAAGAACCTGAGGATATGGTGTCGTCCTTCTCCGGATCTAGATTCTCCCTTGAACTTAAGACTTTTCTTAGCTTTCTCTTTTCTTTGCAACAGAGGATTTTTGAACCACGACCTTTACCACGTGTCGGTTGTTTACTGGCCTTAGCTACTTTCTTCTCTCTAATTGTTGCAGCCTCTTGTAATTGCGATTTGTAACTTATAAGTGCTGAACTGGCTGCTTTACGTCCTCTAGTAGAAGCTCTTTTCTTAATTTTCAGTATAGGGTTGATACGAAATGGGCTTGTATGGAAAGAATTTTGCTGTGTTTCATGTTCATTCTGAGGTTGGCTCTGGGGATGTTTCTCTGAGGATGACAGTTTAACTTGACAGGATCCAGATGACTTTGGCGGAACAACTAAATCAGATGCTCTCGATGTTGATAGTACAGCCAAGTCAATTTCAACATTATCCAACTCAGATGCTTTTGATGTTGATGGTACAGCCATGTCAACTTCAAGACCATTTAACTCAGATACTCTTTGTTGACGGTACAGCCAGGTCAACTTCAACACCATTCAATTCTGTTTCACTGGAATTTAATTCTCTCTGCTCATCTAGTTCCTAAGAAATGGTAGAATTTGGAGCAAGCTGTTGATTCTTACGTGCCTCCACAATGTATTCAGATTCTATGAATATTTGATTGATATGAGGTTGAATGCTAGAATAAATGAACTTTGAAAAATTAATTAAGAAACCGTTATGGGCCCAGCGTTATTCAAAATTTTCGGAGATTGGAAATTCTTTACAAGAAACTGGCACATTGTCAAAATTCAATTAAATTTTGACAATGTGCCATAATCTGATTATAATAAATTTATGTGTGGTGTCGATGTATTTGACCAACTTGTCGGCACTTACTCAATCTTGTTGAAGTCACGTAGATGGTGGCTCAAGATTATTTACTAAAATAAATTGATATATATTTATATTGAGTTTTAAAGTCAAAAAAATATGTTTTTTAAATTAAATTATGGATGTATATTATATATATTACGGTATACCGCAAGGTTGTTACACTCGTCTCGATTTTTCGAGTCACGCTAAATAGAATTTTGTATCCGTGAAAACATTATACCGAGCGCTAAGAAGTATTCACTTCAAAAATTTCAGATAAAACTTTTACTTTACTTTTTCACATAGAATTCGAATTTGCACTAAAAAATGGGGTTTTCCGTTTAATATTTCAAAGTTGCCCCCGCCCCACAACTATCTAATTCGTATAAATGCAACATTGCGTTTATACAAAGAACCAACGAACCGACTATACCAAAAAATTACCTTTGTTCATGATGTCCGTAGCACCATCGCTTACAAAGTACCGTGCAAGGGGGACATGGCCCTGTATGACACGCATGGTTGACTTCGTGTCCACAGGGCCGCGGCCTCGAGCACGGATTAAGGCAGTTGGGCGGTTTGGTACCGCACGGAACCGGTGGATAGATGACGCTAGCTCCGCATTCGCAATACAGTTCTTCGAAGCTGGTTTCGACGCAAGTAGGACAACGGCCGGAATGGCATGTGCGTTCGCATCTGTGCTGGCCGCAGGAGAGCAATCTGTTGCATGGAAGAGGGCAGATATGTTCTATCTCTATGCAGCATAGCTGGTTACATTTGTGTTTGCCGCATAAACGTTTCTAAAAAGAGTATGGCATTTTTAGCTTAGAATGTATAAATGTATACTAAATCTCGTATAAATTGTGTACATATTGTATTTGTTTATGTTTCTCAACAAGTACGGTCTGCATTAATTTATAATTAACTCATACAAATGATCCGGCTCGAAGGACCATAACATAGCGGCTGTCCAGGATCGATAATTCGTTTTTTACACCTTTAAGAATTTAAGCAGGATTATTATTACTTGGAACGGATGACAGAATTCTAAATAAATGCACAAAATATCACCGTACTATCACCTGTTGTCGACAATGCTTCAAATATTGAGAGAATCTGCTGATATCCGTTGAGATACTCAATCCAAAACAATATATAATTGATTAAACATACTGTAACTAACTAAATAGGAGAATACTTTAAACTGATTACTTACTTTGGTACATTTTTTTTGACACCGGGCATCGTCAGCCTTAGTTGTAAGTTCTGGACACGGTATTTCCTTATCCATGTGACCACATCGGCATTTAACAACTGTGGTCAATGGACAAGGCGGACAAGGACCTTCGTGGCACGTAGCTTCACAACGATGAGGGGAATTGGGTTGGCCACATTTTAATATTTTATCGCACACCTGTAAGTACAAAACGATCAAATTTTGTTAATTATATTTGAAATATCAGTATAAAATTAGCTGTGGCTTCAAATTAGAATTAGTGAGTGAATCTAAGCGGCCGATGGATGAGTAGTACGATAACAGACGGAGTATTCTAGTTCGGTGAACCATGTACAACACTTATCACGTTTTAACATTAGAAAGTCTTCATGGTTCAGGGAAACCTTGTTTCAGTTTTTCATAGGTCCATTTTTTTGGGTTTTTCTTTAATTATTTTTCTTATTCTTGGCACTTTGTAGATCGTTTTGACGTGTTTCTCTCGTCTAGTAGTCATTCATTTATAGTCTTTCTATCTATCGATTCAACTCTTTGTTAAACTATCTAGTATTCACACTTGTTTTAAAATACAAAAGCAAAATTAATTAATTTATTCATTTATTCATTCCAACGGTAGAACCATTTGCAATAAAATACAAAAAATAGTAAAAAGTAAAGATCATGTACAATAAACATCAAAACAATAATAAAGAAACACGTAAACAGTTAAAATTTGTATATTAAAACAATATATATCACAAAAATTTTAAAAAAGTATCAGTATCACATAGTAAGTATCATATATCCAGATTAATAGTCAGATTCTTAAATTGCCTTTTAAAAGCATTAATGTTTATGCAGAAAGGATCCAATAGGAGGTCATTGCAAGAGCTGAGCATTGTAATGTGAGCGTAGCAAGTGAGTGAGAAGTTGGAATAAAGGACTAAGTAGCATAGAAAAGATAATAATTATTTGAGATAATTATTATATATTCCGAATTAAATAAGGGATAATTAATACAGTTAACTTATACATTCAAATTATACAAAGTATAATAATTTGACCTAGTTTGATACAAGCACGAATGTTTAAGAATTACGAAATCAGAAGACCTTCATGAAAAGTAATACAACGAAGCGACACACCATCGCATGTTACATTCCAACACGTGGAATAGTACAGCAGAAATAACAAAACAAAACTACGAATGTTTGCAGGACATTTAAAACTAGAAAACTTGGTCAATCAAGTCAGTAGTGATACGGCGGGCGTCCAGGCACCAATTGCCTGCTCCGGGTACTCTCGACGCGGTAGCGTCGGGTACGAGTCGGTAATTCGCCGGGGGGCGCTTATCATCCCGGCATAGTATTGCGCGTAGTCCGGTTATTGTGGCAGCTCGTAAGTCCGTAACTCAGGAGGAGACCCTCAACTGACCGAGTTCTAGAGGACCGAACGTGTCGTGGTTGAAAGCCCAAATACACACATAAGGTAACAGATTTCTATATACTAACCTGAGTAATTATATTAGTACAACTGTCAACTCTTCACTATCTTGCTTCATCGTCTCCCGACGCGCAGAATAACGTGTTAACGATTGTATTTGTAACTTCAGGGTAGATTCAATATATTTTTGACTCTAAATTGGTTTTTTTAATGTTCCTTTTGTCCGACTCACTAGAGACTAGGAGAACACGAGATTCTGCGTATGCATATCTCCGGCTTCAAAAGTAAGCCCATAACCTCTGCTCTTTACAGGACCTGAGACCTAGGAGTCCTTACCCCTATCCCGAAAATCCCTTATCTTCTCGTAAATCCACGAAGACGAGCCAGCCCTCCAGACCAGTGTGACCAGTATTCCTTGCAGCCGCTCGCAGGGTTAGCATCCCTTGAGGATCTATTGTGTATTACATTTGGTGACAGCGTTTTCCTTACCTTCACATAACGCTCCCATTCCTATTATTTTACAGTGGTGACAGCGGAGTCGCCTCATATTATTACAGCATTCTTGACAGGGGAAAATGACGAGCATAATCAGTCCTATGAAAAGGAATATGAAAGAGTGCAGTGTGTCGAGTTCTATGCATTGTGTTTAAGTGTACATTGGCCAATAACGAGGGACAATTAATAACATTGTTTAGAATTTTAAACAAAATTAACATATCAGCCTCAACCTGCAGTTCTTCAATGTATCAATGTTAAAATGAGACATTATTATAGACTAATCTATGAAATAATTTTCAGTATTTTTTATATTAATATGGGCTATAAAAGCTAAAGATCTTAGAAACTTCCTCTGAACGCTCTCCAATCCATCAATGTATTCAAGAGCTGAGCGTACCAGAGAGCAATACAATAATTTAAATACAATAGGTGAGAGATCATGACTGTTGCGATAAATAAAACCAAGATTACGAAATCCTGTTTCCTTAATTTTAAGAAAATGGCTTCTAAATGTCAATGCACAATCCAATAATACACCCAAATCTCTAATCTCAGTAACTGAATCCAAGAGTACATCATTAAGAATATATCTATTAGCCATTAGATTATTTATACGATCAAATGAAATACAAGAACATTTAGTTGGATTTAAGCTTAAACCATTTTGTTTTGACCATAAACATATGTTGTTTACATCATCTTGCAGGAGATCTCTATCTGATTTATTATGTATACAACGAAATATCTTAAGATCATCAGCAAATTTACGATTTAAGGTGTTCGTTATAAAACGATTCTCGTTTTCTCGCTTTCAAAAAGATGTAGTTAAAAAATATATACAATAAAAAATGAAAAACCTACCTTATCACAGCATGGAACAGGATCTAGACAAGATATCCTCTGTGTTTTAAGAGGGGATCTTCCACAAGGGCACGTTTTTATTACGCTGACATCCACAGGACAGGTCTCGCACGGACCTTCGTGGCATACCGATTGGCAACGATGATTTCCACAAGATAATATTTTATCACATACTTCCCCACATGAATAATGGTTTTGGCCTTTATATTGGCCACAACAAGGTACCTAAAAGATAATTACCTAAAATATTTGTGCAAACATGACTAATAAGCAGTTATAGTCAACTATGTAACATTTTTTTTGACTACATTACTAAAAAATTGGATGTTTATAATATTGTGTAGTTTATGATTCCAAAAACCAAGGTTCTAGATTTCTTTCTTCAGTATATCATCCCTTGAGTATAATCCACATTTTCTAGTGTTTTTCCAATTATATGTATCCCATTTGTGAGTTATCATAGGGATTGTCTTCAAAATAACTGCCTACATCAGTAAGAACTTCTTCAATTGATGAAAAATACAGCACATAAAATTTTTTGAAGTTTGAGAGGGGACAGGAGTCAGAGGTAGCTAAATCTGGTAAATAGGCGGGATGTTCGAAGGTTTCGTACTGTAATTCGGCCAATTTCGCTTTTAACAAGACTAGGGTGAGCTGGTACATTGCCAAGATGATATACAACCTTTTTTTCAAAGCCGGACGGGTTAAAGGGTTTTATACTATGCTTTCATTCTTTTATCGATTTAAAGATAATATGAATTCCATTTATATCCCAAAAAGGAAATGTCATAACCCTTTGGATGATTTCTATACCTGCAATTGTTTTGTAACTAAACAAAGAGCTTCAGTGCTCTTTGTGGTTTGCCTATGTTGGTCAATTTATACTAAAAACAATTGATTACAGGTCTTACACAAAAGAAATATAAATTATCATATTTTAATGAAGTTTTTTTAAAAAAATTCTTTTGTCAAAGTTAAGAGATAACTCCTTATAAAAGTAACTTACCTTTCGGCCTTCTTTGGCACAATAACACTCCTGTATGATACTTTTTCCGCACGGCGGACAATCGCCCTGGTGGCAATGTTCTCGACAACGATGTGAACCGCACTCCAACTGCTTGTCGCAGATGGCGCCACAAGTCAGTTCTATATCCGTACTGCACTTTACCATTTGTTGCGTAGCTCCACAACCACAAGATTTGGAAATCATAATGACGCAATCGGGGCAAGGCCCGGGGTGGCACAGAATTGTACACTTGTGTTCGCAATTTCTACCTTTTCGGAGGCACATTTCGCCACAGCCATGAGGAATTACTCCAGGTTCATACCTAAAAAGCAAATATATGTCACATTCTGTTGGTAAATTACGAAATAATATGGCAATACAATATGCTATACAATTATATGAAAGTATATTCACAGTCAGTGAATACTGTGTGGAATTGGTCAGGGGCTGGAAGCATTACACGACAAATATACCTTAATTGTTTTTTGTAGAGTAATTTGTCCTAATGTAACGCCATCTATCGCAAATTAGATTAAAAGTAAACCCCTTTCATATTATAATACAGCAATAAATGGTTAAATGCCAACCCTGACATTATAGGTCCTTAAAATGATAAGTTTATACGCCACCATTGAACTGCAGTCGTCTCATATCAAAGATACCTTAGCAGTCTATACTTTTGACACAATAATCTGACAGTCCTTCTGAATTTCGCGTTCAATACATTGTTTTGTATATAAATTAATTAGCCTCCTGTATGATTGAAGAGTATAAATAGCTTAGAGAAAGAAATAGAGCTAACTTACCTCGGTTCCACTGCCTTATTACAATAACATTTGTACTGCTTGGGCACTTCGCTGCAAACATTTTGGCATGCTGGGCATCTCCAGCCATTTTCAATCTTGGATGACTTGGCCCAAGCTACTACGCAATTTAAATGGAATATGTGGTAGCAGAGGATACATGACCACACTTTGTCAGTATTTTTAATTTTTTCGCAACAGACTAAACACTCTAACATACGTCTATTGAGCATTTCTATTAATCTCTCTCGTTGAGAGGCTGCATCCACTAAAAATTGGATAGAAAATGAATATAACTTCATAACATAACATAACAATATCTTTATTTTTAAAAAATAATATACATTCCGTGAACATAAAATTATTTAAAAAAAAACAGTGTCACAAACGAAAATATTATTTACTTATTCCTAACCGTTACATATACAAATAGTCCTCTACAGAATATGGCTCAAGAGCTACCAGTAATTTAAATATTTGATGTTTATACAAACTTAATCTTTCCTCCCTTTAAATAGGTTCAGGCAGTTTATTAAACAATTTGACGCAGCAATAAAGAGCGTTTTTTTCTGTTATACTTAACCTGTGTATTGGAATTTTATAATTATATAAACTGGTATTTACTATACTATTGGGCTCAAAGTTCCTAAAGAGTATTTTATTTTTATATAGAAACAGTAAGCATTCTTGAATAAATACAGTGTAAACTGTTAAAATATTATTACTCTTAAAATGCCCTCTACATGATTCCCTACTTTTTAAGTCAAACATAACTCTGATTATTTTTTTCTGAACCAGAAATACATTATTTATGTCCCTACTGTGGCCAAAATTTATTAGACCATATCTAAATTTTGCTTCAAAATTAGCATGATACACTATTTTTAATGAGTTACTATTCATGTATTTTTTTAGAACTCTAAAGTTGTAAATCACTTTACTCAAAGACATACATAACTGGTCAACATGTTTATCCCAACATAAAACACTGTCAATATATAATCCTAAAAATTTGGTACTGCTGCTAATTAAAGTGTCATTATTTACAATAATACTGTTTGGCATATCTGAATGTGCATAATTTGTCTTAAACAAAAGAAGATCTGTTTTATTTTGATTTAAAACCAACCTATTCATAGAAAACCAGTCTTTAGCTTTCTGGAACTCTAAACTAGCATTAACGCTTAGAACAGACATGTCTTTACCACTGACTAAAATGTTTGTATCATCTGCATAATTTGTTATGCTGGAAGTAGTATTAGCCACTAGACCATGAAGATCATTGATATAGATCACAAACAGTAAAGTACCAATTACACTTCCTTGTGGTACTCCAATATTGATAGTGCTTTCAGATGAGATGCCTATTTCAGTGTTTTTATGTATTTTTACTAAATGTCTCCTATTTGCCAAGTAGGACTTAAACCAGTTCAATGCTGGTCCATGTTTACCATATTTCTCCAATTTATCAAATAATATGTCATGCACTAAACAGTCATATGCCTTTGATAGGTCCAAAAAGAGACCCAAAGCCATATGACCAATCTCAGTACATTTCGAAATATCCCAGACAAATTGAAAAATCACAGTCCGAGTTGATTTTCCCTGTTGATAACCATGCTGATTTGCACTAATAATATGATATTTTGTTAAAAATTCTGTTATCCGCCTATACATAGTCATTTCTAAGATTTTTGAAAAGGAATATAGGAGGCTAATTGGTCTATAGTTATTAATTAATTTAGGATCACCCTTTTTGTAAACAGATGTTACTATGGCAGTTTTCAGGCATTCAGGAAATACACTAGATTTTAGTGAATTATTTATGATTGTAGTGAGAGGATTAACTATCTCCTTTATATAAAGTTTAAGGATTTTAGTGGGTATTTCATCAATTCCACAACTCATTTTGTTTTTTAAATTTTTAGTTATATCCATAATTTCAGTTTCTGCCACATGTGCGACAAACACTGAATTTATGTTACTTGCAATGTTGTCTTTATATTCAGTGTATTGTAATTGAGATAAAGTGTAATTTAAAGAAGTATTTAAGTGGATCATGTATTTATCAGCAATCTCTTGAGGACTACCCTCTACTTTTATTGAATTTACACTTTTTAATTGACCATTAATTTCACTAACAATTTGCCACATGCATTTATTTTTGTTGGCAGCTTCAGACATCCTGTTTTCATATAGCTTTGATCGTTTTGTTATTAGTTTCTTATTACATTCTTTTTTTACCTGTCTATAGGAATCATAGAATTTATGGTTAACTCTGCTCATTGTAAACAAGATGTCTAAACGAGTCTTACATTCTATTATCTCTGGATCATCTCTTTTATTAAGGCCTTTTTTACGTTGCCTAGAATCTAACTTTTTAAAAGGAAAGCACTGATTGAATATATACAGAAACTGATTTAAGAAAGTATTTGATTGATCATTTACACATTTCTAACTTAAATTAAGCCAGTCATGATTATGTAATTTACTTATAAAGGTTTCAATATTATTTGTACTAAAATGTCTTTTCATTTCAAGAGTATTTGTTTCTGCTTCCTCTACCTGAATGATCAGAGATTCCAGTGTGCAAGACTTCTACTGACACATATGATTGCATATGTGTTAGTATGTTATCTATACAAGTTTAAGATGTGGCAGTTACTCTAGTGTAGTCTTCAATTACATGACAAGTATTATATGAGTTAATTAACATAAAAAATTTTACTTTATCTAATGTGTTATTCTTAAGATCAATATTGAAATCTCCCCCTATAATTATAATTGTGTTTTCTATCATAATTCTTCCCAGTATAATATCAAATTTGTTTAAAAAAACTGCCAGATCGCTACCTGATGGTCTGTAAACTGATGCTATAATGAGTTTGTTATTACCTATATATCATATATATCATATCATATATAGAATATATATCATAATTATATTCTATAGAGATCAAGATTTGATCATTTTGAAACTTATTAATTATTGTTAGTTATTTATTTGTAAAAAATCTTATTGCTATGTAAACAAATTGTAAATTTAAGCTGAAAAGTTCTCTAATTGTTAATAATTTCTGCTGACTGAGTCTCAATAGATTGCAGCGTGAAAACTGCTTTAGCAGGTACAATACCCTGCCAAGTACAAAGTCATTTACAGCTTCCAATATCAAAAAGATTATAGTAGTCATGTTTGTACATCTAAACATCTGGTCAAAAATAACCAAAGAAACTATGAAATAACTATAGTAAATCACTAGTCATTATGAATAGATTGTCAAATTTGTTGGTTTTGTATTTAAATTTAATAATACTAATTCTTCATTATAATTCTTTGTTTTTTATGAAAATTGCAAATGTTCATTATGTACCTCAGAACAAATGAATTTAGTAACTTTACATTTTCATCATTTTCTCATAAGGGAATACCCAACAAGTTAATTTATTACATATACTTACATTTCTTGGTACTAGATTTAATCACATTAGAAGAGCTTTTTTCTAAGCCCACATTTTCTTTTCTCCAATTATTCGACGAAGCACCTTCCCTTGATTTTTGACTACCTCTTGAATCATAATAGGATTTGTAGCTGTTTCTCTTCTGATTTTGGTTATTTCTTCTCGAATTATCTTCACTTGTAAAGTTATTATTTTGTTTTCTATAATTATTACTCCTTTTATCATCATAGCTCATGGAATTCTTCTCATTGTAGTTACCTTTGGATCGTCCCTGATAATAGTTATCATATCTCTTAGTATTTCTGTAATTTCTCGAGGAACTCGGCAATGAATTGTTACCTTGATCTCTACTTTGGAAATCGTTATGTTCTAAGTGATCATCGTGATGATCTTCGTGGTATTTTTGAGTATTTCTTTCTAGTTCGGGCTGTCTTTCTTCATCATTTTGGAAATTAGTTGTTGTACTGTATGAATTGTCACTTCTATAGTTCACAGGAGCATACTGATCTTCCTGCCGGTTTTATTGCTGAAGTTTGATCTTGAACTATTGAATGTTCTTCCACTACCATACCTAGTAAATACATCAAATAAATTATTTGATTCAAACAGTATTGAGTATTTGAAGACTTAGAAAACAGTTTAAACATTAAGTAAATAATAAAATTGTTTAAAACATCTACTATCACATTACTAATGAATCTATACCACATGTACCAAAGAAAACTACATCAGAATATATACAATTAATGGTTCAAGAAGATAAATCATTAAGTGCTTAAATATAACGAAGAAAACTAAAAGGGTTCATCAAAAAATCATTAGCCAATAATATTTGTTGTACAGCAGTACTGTAGTTGTATTTTATTAAAGTATATTTTGACAAATAGGCATATGGTGATCCAACAAACCTAAATCCAGTATATGAAGGAACAAGAATAGAGGTGCATAGTGATTTGCAAGGTTAGATCAAAAGTTTATCACATAGTTTTTACAAATAAACATAAAGCTCATTAATTCTTGCAACAAAATGTTCATTTTGGAGAACAAGGTGAGGACTAAAAAATATGCCAATATGAATGCGCTGAAGAAAGCAATTATACATGAATGGGCCAAAATACCGGAAGATCACTTTCATACAGCATGCAACTCATTCTTTGATCGTTTGAAGGCCATAGTCAAGGCAAACAGTGGGCACATTGAGCTAAAGTGAGTGGATTCTGAAATTTTGATTATTTTCACACATTTTTGTCATTTGAATCAATAAAAAATAATTTCACACAAAAAAATTATGGTTGTTTAAATAGGTAACCCAAAATACAGTAAGTGAAAGTTAAGAAACCATTATTTTTCACATTTTTACATAAAGTTTTATTTTGGAACATATTCCGTTTAAATTCAGTGACCATGAAAACACGAATATGAGCAAAATCGGCTGATCACCAAATAATTAGTGTTGAGTAGAGGGTGATTTTAGTAGCTGTCACTAGCCTATTACAAAACATAGGCCATGAAAGTTTACACTAGTTGATAATACCATAATTATTGTTTTTACAAGACACTACATAAATTACTAGCATGTAAGATTCCCCATTTGATAGATTTTAGTATTATAATACTAGTTAAAAATAAATGAGCTGTTGCTATAATAAATTAATGAGCTTATTTTGGATAATATTGTAGTCTGCCATTCTAAATTAAAATTTAAAGCAAATAGTAATCACAGTAATAAAGATTAGATAATATCTATATTATCAGTACAATCAGTATAACGTTATATATTTCAAATACAGTAAAGTTTCACAATACATTAAAAACAAGTTTACTACAACCATATCTGAAATTGTATTTAAAAGGGTATTACAAAAATTCTACATTGACAAAAAATTTGAAAAATGAAATTATGGTATTAGACATTTAATAGAGTGATATGAAAATGAAGAGCTTAATATCAATATAAGAGAGAAGTTTGCGTGAAATATAAACATATGATGTATGTATAAAGAAAAAACAGACAAGAAAAAAATACACACTGAAGAAAGCAATTTGAAAAATTAAGAGGGAGTGCCAAATGGAAAAATTAAAGGAAACATGTCAATTCCCAGAACAAAAAACCAAAAACGAAAGAAATAAGGAAACAGAAGCAAATTTGTAATTAGGCATCACTAGGAAAAGAATAAAAAAAAAATAAATCTAGGTGGAAGTATGAAGAAATTTAAGAGTTAGGATTAGAGTGAGACTTGAGAAATCAAAAGGAAGATGTAAACATCTAGACATAATAAAAAGTGCAACACTTTGTGAAATTTGACATAACAAAAACATACAACAAATAATTCTAATAAAAACTCTTCTTAAAATATGAAACAATAAAGTACAAAGCATACTTACCTATTTCTCCAATTTCCAGATTCCTTATTATCTCTAAATTTATTCTGTTGTTGAGGTCTCCTCCGTACAGCACCATTATTAGTCTCAGAAAAACTAGACGTAGGAAAGAACTCTCGCGCTGTTGGTTCCAATGTGGAATGAGATATATCGACTGGGGTAGTTCCAGAAAAGTGCCCGCTTTGCGATCCGGTGAAAAAATTTTCGGCTGACGTAAAAGTACCGCCTGGATAACTAGTTGCTTGATTATCGTAAAAAGACATACTAACAGCGCAATCAACTCATTTCTTTTATAATAAAGCTTGAGTCACTCGTTTTATACCGATAGTTGGATTTCACAGAAATACTTTGAGATATAAATCAGCATTTTGTATCATCCGAGTTATCTTTACATTATGTTGCACAAAATCATGAAATGAATGATAAGGTCACTAATAATCTAATCTGTTAAATTTTCACAAAGCGACTTCTAATTCTAACCCAATTCAATGAGAGAATGACATTTCATTTGAGTGACATTTGGCACAGAAACGCTTCTCATCTTTTTCTCGTTGCCAAATGATTTAAAACGAGTAATCAATATAAAAACCTTTTATAATAAACTCTTTTAGCATTATTGACTAGAAATTTATGTCCATTCGTCATCTTACTAATTATTCAAGTTCTAAATTTTTCACCCTGGTGGTGCGATTCGAACCAGTGCTGCGATTCTATAAGTTCAACGCGAAACAATTACGTTCGTTATTGGACGGTTTGGTCGGTTTGCTATTCTGTAAGCTCATTCGGGAAGAATCGGAAAAGCCTATCACGAATCCGATTACAAAGCGACAGCGATGAATTTTGGCTTGCGTTTTGTTTCGCTTTCGATAGTGATTGGTCGATCATTTTCACGTGGTTCTGTGGTTCACGTTTTGGTATAGCAGGGATATTAATAATTAATAATATATTTGACTATGTTTTAAGTCATGTGTCATGTTATGTTAGTAGGGTTAGTAGTCTTTTGAATCCATTTTACTTTTAAGCGTCACGTCGGTACAATTTAATTTATTTTGATTAAATTAATAATTTTGACTGTGCTTCGATATGGAAAAAAGACTAAAAACACATCCATCTCAATGGGCAATTTTTTTGGACTTCGCAGAAACAAATCCCCAAATTCTAACAAAAAAATTTGATGGGGTAAATGGCAGAAAGAAATATGTTGAATTATGGGAAGAAATAACGGAGATACTTAACAGTATGGGATACCTAAAAAAGTCTGTGGATAAATGGCAAAAGGTTAGTTATTTATTTATTAATATACGAGATTACCTCCCATTACAAAAAAATATGTTACCATATAGAAAAATCAAACTCTGTAATTACTCACAAGCTAAATGAAATTAAGATCTTAATTATAAATAAAACAAAATAATTATACATATAAACAAAAAAGTACCTCTAACTAAACTTATCAAGCTTTTTTTATCCGATTTTTAAATGAGGCCAATGAGACACCAAACATTTCTAAATTGTTCCTATTTATAATTTTCAGTGTTCTCTTAATGGGAGAATGCATACCATAATTTGTACTCTCAAAAGGTATATAAAACACTTGTTTTTCTCATAATCTAAATGTTGTTTTTTAGGCAGTGGCAGATTGGAAATCTAAAGTTAAGTCAAAGGCGGCAGAGCTTAATAGAGGATTAAAACAAACAGGAGGTGGAGGACCACTCCCTCAACTAAATGAAAATGAGAAGCGCCTAATTGAAATTCTAGGGTCATCATTTATTACTGGGGTACAAACCAATAAAGAACTTGGCTTAGTAAGTTTTCTTTGTATTCCTAATACCAATGGTAGTATACCTTTGTAATATAGGACGTACAATAATAAGCAAATACGCAAAGTTACAAAGGAATACTCCAACTTGCAAGTTTAGGTACATTTCGCAATTGATTTGTAATACAAGCCCAATATTTTTGCATGAAAAAACTACAAACATTTAAGTTTGTTATTTGAGGTGTTAAGGAAGTGACGAAATGGTCACATTTGTTTCAGTCTGGAGATTTTCTTTGTTTTTGAGATATTGTTATTTATAAATATTGTCCTCTATCTTGTAATTTCACTGTTAATATTGTTAAATATTTTAGGACCAAGAAATGGAAGTACTCCAAACTCACGCAACTCCTGCCTTAACAATAAACAAAAACATAATGACCCAAGTTCCGTGCAGAATTTCTCCACCCCCTCTGTCATATGATGCTTATACCAGAGAACATTCTTATTCAGCATTAAATGCAACTGCGGAAAGTGTAGTAAATGAAAGAGCCATTTCACCACTGAAACTACAAGAATCTACTCCCAAAAAAAGGAAATGCGGATGCACCAGTACCACAGTAACACAGAACACAGTAACACAGAAAATACCTTCTACAAATTTGACAGAAATGCACAAAGAAACACTCATGGTCTTAAACCAAATTAGCAAAAATATTGAGAAAATGGCCAATTCTCAGGAAAGATTAGCTGAAGCAATCGAAAAGTTAATAAACAGTAATATTTAAATTACAAATGTGGTTTAGCAATAACTATTGGAGATTAAGTTTGTTTTTTTTTTCTTAAATATTTCTAGATAGAATGTAAGATATAGACTAAGTAGATATTAGGTTGTTTTGTTTATTTAAAAAAATTATATACATATTTAAAAGAATTACTTTTGTTTATGATCAATTTATGTTTATTAAACTTGCTGGGTAATATACTTGCAAAATATTGCATGTTTATTTTTTGTTGTTTTTAAAATTATAAGTACATAGTACCTACAATTAAGTACCTACCTATCTTTTTTTTAGGAAAAAAATTACTATAAAGTTAGAAAAAATATATTGTACATTTAGCATCTCTCATGCCATTCATACATAATAAGTCTTAACAACTTATTTTTATTTTTAAACTAAACAAGGTTTTATATGATAATTATTGATTTATTAAAGAAGTACAAAAATTAGTTATTGAAAATATCTATTAATTAAAGTGGCTCTAGTTTGTCTTCCTCCATTGTCAATTGGCAAGTCAAGAACTTCATGATTGTTGTCATTTTGCTCATTACCTTCTATAATTTGAAGTAGTGGAACTCTTGACCTAATACACATGTTGTGAAGAATACAACAGGCATTGACAAGTATGCATACCTTTGGTGGCTCATATCTTAACTCTCTTTCACCCAAGATACAACGGAATCTTGACTTAAGAACTCCATTTGTTCTCTCTATATGATTTCGCCCTGAGGCGTGGGCTTGATTAAACCGTTCTTCAGGTGAGTTTGGTTGGGCTCCTGGCACAGGGGTCATAAGCCACGGTTGTTGGGGATAGCCTGAGTCACCTAGCAACCATGTGTTTCGATCTCCATTTTGGTAACTATTTTGCAAATAAGTTTTAATGACACTTTGTTGCCATATATAGCTATCATGGCAACTTCCAGGAAAACTACTGTTGACATTTAAAATAAACAGATTTGTATCACAAATTAATTGAACATTCATCGAATGATAGCCTTTTCTATTCAAATATGCATGTTCTTCTGCCTTTGGTGATATAATCCTAATATGGGTGCAATCAATTGCTCCAACTGTACCAGGAATCCCACAATATTCAAAAAACTCTCTTTTTTTTCTGGCCACTTCCTGAGCATCAGTTGGAAATTTGATCCACTCATTTCCAAAATGGCCAACTATAACTGATGCTACCTCTTCAATGCATCTACTCACCATTGGTTGACTGACAGCTACAAGATATTCTTGTCCTACAGCCCTTTGGTAGCTACCAATTGCATAAAATCTTAATCCCACAAGAATCCTTTGTTGATACTGAATTCTTGATGTTCTTACACCATCTTCCATAACTTCCCGTAGCTCATCAAAAAGGAATCGAACTAGTTCTTTGCTTAAGCGGAAAATTTCAATAAACCTTCTATCTGTTAAACCAAATGGGTCACTTCTATCTCGAAGGAACTTGCTTTCCTCGCGCGTTAACCGCAGTTGGTTTCTTCGCTCGAGTTCTCCATATAGAACAAACTGCACCGGCAACATTTTTATTAAAATATAACAAAAATATACTATATTCAAGGAAATAATTCAATCAAATTTGTGGTTATACATGTAACTCTCAAGTTACTCTTCTTCTCTCTTTACTTTTTACTTCTTCTTTTTTTACTTCCTGTACATATATTTCCAATGTTGCCATAATTATTTATTGATAAGTCGTTTAAACTCGTATATTATCGTATGTCGCTACGAAAACGAAGCGAAAGCGAAAACTAACGTTATAGAATATGAACATAAATCAACTTCGCTATCGTTTAGCTTCGTTTAGCATATCTTTCGCGATAAAAACGAAAATTATAGAATCCGCCTACAGGATCTCCTTCACGCCAAAAGAAAGATCCTGTCCACTCGCCTTAGTTTCAATATAAACCTTTATAATGTTAACTTGGAAATTTCTTAATTATTTATATATTTGTGTCTTTCAATATTTTGTGTGCCTTTTTAGATACACATTTATTGTTTGTCAAGAATTTACGACAACATCCATATCCCAGAACATCGATTTGTCCCATAAAATTTTTAAAATACTGTCATAATAATCGATGGTCGGACGTCACGTCGGCACGTCATTGGTCATCGATGTGAAGCACAGCACACTCCTACTTAGCAGTGCCAGTCCGGTGTTAAGAGTTAAACAGCGATTGGCGAATCGCCTAGTGCCAGGGTGCGAAACTATATACATACATGGCGGTAAATTCAAAAGGCACGTAAACTTATTCATGATTGTACTCAGTTTATTTTATAACAAGGGAAAATCAATATAATCCTAAAATAAAAAAATCTTTATTCTAAACGATAATATGTATATATATTTTGGACGATTTTCACATTTGGTCCCATTGAAGATAGCCTCAAATTAGCTGTCAATTAAGTTTCACAGAAGGAAATATTGAGTTGGCAGTGTTGCCATGTTATTATAATGTATATGTTATATGCTTCAAATATAAAGAGATAAAGCTTTTAAAAGGTACATTTTTATCATATTATTTTATGGATTCTGCAATTTTATACCTTATATAAAATATTAATCAAGTAATATTTGTTTCGTTTGATATTACTTGTAATAAATTATCAGAAAATTTTTTTGGCAATTGCCCTTTGGTAGGTTAGCGGATAGATTTGGCAATAGAATCAGAACCCTCAAACCACCAGCTGCCAGATTGCAACAGATGCCTTTTAAATTTTATTATTTATACTGACATTTTACTATTTACTGTTAAAAACTGTTTTAAAACTATTTGCTTTTTCTTTTTTCGTAATCGTTAAATATTAGTTTTTAAATATCTTATTGCTTTTAATTGCGTATGTTTCGTTTGTAATGTAAATTTCAACACTGCGAAACCAGAGAACATACGAACACATGCGTTCGTAGTTCTCTGACGAAACACCAATATTTCATTTTGTCAAACCCATTTGAAGCTATCTTCATTCTGTATATACTATATTATTTATCTATGATCTTCATTCTTCAATGGGACCAAATGTGATAATCGTCCATTATTTATTATTGCCAATCTTCTCTAAGTTTTCAGATTTTATATTTTGTGGCTTTGAAATCCATCATTAAAACAATACTAAATAGCCATATTTTTGTTTACTAAACTTAGTGGTTATTACTTTCTTTTATATTTTGTAATAAAATTATTTACAATTCCATTTAATTATATTATTTACTTGTTTTTTATATTGTAAGAACATGTAAATCAGAAAGGAAATTAAAAAAATTCTTTTCTTGACAAAAGCTTATGAATAAAATATAAATGTATCTGATACCTTCTTGTATAAACATATTAAGTAGCTTTATTTATGTATTTGTCCTCGTTATCTACTCATATTTGTTTCTTATACCTATAACCTATATATTTATACCTACCACTAAAGCATGGTACAAGCTATTATATAAGTATACTTGCCCTTGCGGCATTTAGCTATCTTTGAGGCCCTATACTTCGCTACCAGGTAATCTCGTGATTGCGGTAGTGCACCAAAAATTACATTCGCCTAGAAAAGATCCAGGTGTATGGCTGGAAGAGGTAGGTGAGTTTATTTGGTAACCGCTCAAACTAACCATAGTAACACTCCAACATTATCGATCGGATGAATCCAAGAGTATCTCGGTCTTCTTTCCAGATCTCTTCAGAAGATTCTCTGGTCTTTTGAGGTATTTGAAGCTGTTAGGAAGAATTTACTTTCAGAATTCTTATTTTATCGGTTACTATTTATCTATATAATGTTGCTGTGGATAAAAAACTTGTTGGTTTGCTCTTTTGAAACTGTTAACAGCATTGGAGTAGGATAGTCCAGTACTTATTTTGTTTGGACAACAAACTTTATATCCTGATTTTTTCAGCTATATTTGAAGCTATTAACTGCATATGAATAAGATATTTGTATTGCTTGAAAATGTTTTCAGCTAAGATATATTTTTCGACAGACTTGCTAATTTCAAAAATTCACTGTATCTACACGACTTGTTGTATCGCAACGGAACTTTCGATTTACGTCAACAAAAGATTGAGGTTACATTTTTGTCGGCAGTTTTAATGGTGGTTCCCGATAAGCGCCTATATGCAAAACTAAAAAGACAAACCTCGTAGTGGAGTGAGTGAAGTCTGTGATGTACTATCAGAACACTCATTTTCTTGCCCACTAATCACGTACATCCTATCTTGGTCAACAACTTGAATGTCTTCATATTTTGCAGAACATTTTTAGCTGTTAATGTTAATAATATGATGTAGTCAATGCAATGCTTATTTCTCCATGAACCATGATACACCAGTAAACAAAAAATTTAGACAAAAAGAGATAATAACATATATTTGTTGCATAAATATTTCTACATTTACTTGAAAAATGACTAGAATAATTTGAATTTGTGCTAAAAACAAGCAATCATAGCTGGTATTAAAAATACAAATTTATATCGCCCCAATTTCTTGCATCATTCTGAAAAAGAAAAGCATTTAAGATCATTATATACGTTTTAGGACTGATCAGAAAGACAAATTATAAGACATACAAAAGTTTGCTGGTCTTTGGCCATTTTAAATGACTTTATGTTTCATCTGTCCACTTATCTGACTAAGTATCAGTCTATTCAGACTATCTCGAGCAATTTCAATTTATGACTAACCAAAAAAAATTTGTGATTTTTTTGAGGTTATCCAGGACAACTAGTGAAATTGGGCGACCAAAGTGGTTAACATAATTTTTGTTCGTTGTTGTCAGTGGAGCAGAGTCTAAATATCACTTATCGAGCCATTCCCTTGCTTGAATAATGTCTTTTCCTATCAAGAAGGATTATTTTGAACATTAAACTAGTGAAACCTTTAAAATGATCTTCTTTTTTTTTCTCGTACACTACAACCAGTAGTGGGCCTTGGCTGACTGCACAATTTGCTTCCACCTTGAACGGTCGTCCATAATTGTTGGGTCAGTGGGTAGCTCCATTGTTCTTAGATCTGACCATATATTGATATATTGATATTAATTTCTTTTTTTCTCTCTAATTAATTTTCTTGTTTCTCGGCGTGAAGTTGCATAGTTTTTAAATTGAGAGTGACATCTCAAATTTTGACAGGTGACGTTTGAAGGTTGGTGCTTCATCTAAATCAATCAATTTGTTTTTAGTGGAGCCATTTATATAATACTAGCTGCCACGCCGAACTTCTTATCGCCTTAGAATTAAATAATCGACAATCCTATTTGAGTAACTAATTGCTCGAGAATGAAAAAACCTGCATGTCAGTGGCTTCCAAATTTTACAATCACTTAACTAAAATTTACATACTTTCTAATCAGTCACTCGAAGTAGTTAGGGAGAGCGCCCACCAAACTGGCATGGCAAGTAGCAAGTAGCAAGCGTCTAGCATGTTACTTAAAATGTAACCAATGCAATCGAATGATTAGATCGAATGACGTCACTGTCATTTTGGTGTGCGCTAAATCATTCGTTTTCATTGGTTACATTTTAAGTAACATGCTAGTCGCGTGCTACATGCTACTTGCCACGTGCCACGCCAGTTTGGTGGGCGCTCCCACTTAGGGAGAAATATGAACTTACTCTTCTTCCTCTTCTGTTAACTTCTCATCGAAATAATTACAGTCTAGATCTTTATCTGAGATTATTTCCGTTTCAGCGTTATCATGGAGATCTAAAAAAAGTTATAATGGAAAAAAATTTTCATAAATGTATAATCAATCAAACATTTAATTAATTTTGAAGTTTTGTACACTAATATCACGTCATTCTAATTTGAATCTAACACTGCAATTATGTTTTAATGTTTTGTATCTACTTTAAAATTTCCAATTTTCTTTTAGCTGTTCATTAATTGTATCCGAACAGTTAGTAACAATTTTTTAAGCCTTATTGGAGTCACAGTTGTCATTTTTGATATTACTATCATCAATAGATTTTTGGTTACATATACAGGCAGTCTGAATAGTGCTTGCCCACAACCGGTGAACGTCTTACAGTTCGGTCAAACTGTTTGTACCGCGGTAAGTGGCCACGTACTTCTTAAAGTTCGAGGAAAAGAACCCAAACACTCATTAAATACTGAAAAGGATCCAGCATGCGATGCGTAGCAAGGAAAAAGCTTGAGTTACCATTGAAGTAAGGCCTCGACAAAAGAAGTTTAGACAGTAGATCCTAAATCCTACTAAAAACTAACGGTCTATGAGGTTAAACGAGCTCTTTATCAAAAATATGCAGTCCAGAACACTCCCTTTGCCTTTCTCGGCTTATTTAACAGGTCTCTAAGCTAAAAATATCAGGATAAAAGGGACATTAGAATTATCTCTAAGATTTACTATAACCAGAAAGCAAATATCCGAATAGAGCAAGAGACAACGGAGGAAATCGAGATCAAGAAAGGCGTAAGACAGGGTTGTATACTCTCACCGACCTTATTCAATCTATACTCCGAAGACATTATAAACACAGCACTTTCGGATCAAAATATAGGTATTAAGATAAATGGCATCCGAATAAACAACTTGAGATATGCCGATGACACGGTACTAATCGCAGAAACTTGGGAAGATCTTCAAATACTAATTAAAAAAATAGTAGAATGCAGTGAAGAACACGGATTATCACTTAACATAAGCAAAACAAAAATAATGCTAATATCTAAATCACCACAAAACTTCCCTGACATAACCGTGCATTATCCAAGAATCGAACGTGTAAGAAGATATAATTACCTGGGAACTGTTATCAACGAAAATAATGCCTCTGAAGAAATCAGAACCAGAATAGAGAAAGCTAGAGCCACATTTACTAAATTGAAAAAGGTGTTCTGCGGAAGAGATCTAAGTCTAAAACTTAAAATTCGCCTTTTGAGATGTTACGTTATGTCAGTTCTCCTCTACGGGATGGAAACATGGACATTGAAAAAGATCGATACCAAAAAGATAGAAGCATTTGAGTTGTGGATGTATCGTAGAATATTAAAAATACCCTGGACAGAGAAAGTAACAAATGTGGAGGTTTTGCGGAGAGTGCGGAAAGAGAAAGAGCTGATACTTACTGTTAAAAAGCGCAAACTACAATATTTGGGACATGTTATGAGGGGAGATAAATACCAGTTGCTGCAATTGATTATACAGGGAAAGATAATGGGAAAGAGATCTATAGGAAGAAGGCATTCATGGTTGAAAAACTTGAGAGAATGGTACAATTGCACCAATTACCAACTGTTTAGATCTGCAGCATCAAAAATACGCATAGCTTTGATGATAGCCAAACTTCGGAACGAAGACGGCACTTGAAGAAGAAGAAGCTAAAGAAAAATAAACCTCCTGTTGTGAAGTCATTTTCCTTTTGTGAACCTTGCTCAGCTTTTGTTTTATATTCTGCAATCCTCATAGTGCTTGTTCACAACCAGTGAACATCTTGCAGCTCCTTCGAACTGTGTGAGCCGCGCAAGATTGCCTTATAATCCGAGGAAAAGAGTACAAACATTCGTTAAAAACGGAAAAAGATCCAGGATGTGCAGCTAAGTGAGGAAAAGGTTTTTAGTTTATATCGAAGTAAGGTTTCGACAAAAAAAGCAGGACAAAGCCTATCTGAAAGCTAAAACGAATGGTCTATGAGGTTATTCAACACGTCTATAGAAGGAGATATACGACGAAAGTCCAAAGAACAATCAATATGGTCGTTTGTGGAGTAATACGTCAGTTAAATTCAAGTTTTTCCTAACGGATCTACTTGAATATACCTTGGTGCAATGGTCTTCACTTAATGTCTCGTCTAGGTGTAACTTCTGGAATTTAAAATATTCTTTACCGATTCTAACCCTATTTTTTATCCCATTTTTTAAGAGAAAGCTTTCATTAGAGACCAAATATGACAATGATACGTAAACTAGCTTCTTAAAACTGAATAAAATGCCAAGTGGTTGTATAAAAACAAATTTTTACAAATATTTAAATAAAACCAAAGCAAGAAATGATCAGATATACTCAAAATCTTCTCTTCAAAAGTCAATCAATTTATCTACCTTTTAAAATTGCGTGACTATTTTCAAAGAATTTCTATAAAAAAGATAAAGTCCCTCAAAAATGTATTCCGAAATTTTTGAGAACAATATTTTGGTTATTTAAATCTACACAACTCTCAAAATTCTCAACTTACCTGTCAATGGAGGTACCACGGCTGTACTCAGATACTCCGTATTAAGATACGGAGGCAGTTCGTCCTCCTCCTCTTCTTCAGTCTCCAATTGCTGCGAGTCTACCATTGCCAGCCACTGCTGGTTGTGGTTGCGGAACTTTTCTATTCTAATTCTATCCGCCCACGTTTTGTCGTGCTCGGAAATTATATTAAGGCATGTATTGCACAACTTTCCGATTATTTTGTTGTTGTCTTGTAGCAAGTCGATAAGATAAGCAGGGGCTTCTGCGTTAAAAACAATAAAGCAGTGATTATTGTTTGATTACATAGTAACAAAAATTCAATGCAAAAATCACAAACCTCTTCAGGCTATTTTTGGGGAACACAAAGGAATACTACAAATTGCGGCAAGACTTCTTCAAAAATGGGCTTTCTTCTTACGCAGATTTAATTACAGTTTTCAACATTTGAAGGGAAGTTAAAAATTGGGGGAACAGAGGGGCTTTCAAGGCCTCCATTGGCTTCAGATTATTTTTATTTTTTGGTAGAGGAAAAAGTATCGGTAAGAGATGAGTGGATAGAAACTTAGAGAAGGTATTTAGGTATGTAAGGCAAGGTTAGCCAGAGGAAGTAGAAGATTTACGGCTTTTTAAGATGATACATCTTAAACTAAGTTGTTAAACTGGTTCTTCGGGCTGTTGGGCCGTTGTCTTCTGAGATTAGTTCTCGACGTTTCGTCAACACTAGGGGTTGGCATCTTCTGGAGATGTTACTGTTTTGCTTGTAAGCTAAACCGCGTTATAGAGAGTAGAAAATATAAATATGACCCCTGAGTCAATAAGCTTACAAGCGAAGCAGTAACATATCCAGAAGAAGAAAACCCCTAGTGTTGGCGAAACGTCGAGAACTAATCTCAGAAGACAACGGCCCAACCACCCGAACAAACAGTTTAACAAGTTAGACGATGGCCGTGGAAGCCTACGGCTTTTATCTTGAATTAAGTCTAGATAATGGTATGTTTAAGGAAGTTTAAGGAAGCAGTTATTAGATGAGGCATACAATGGAATGGTTAAGATGAAGACAATTGCTAGACAGTATTTTTGATGACAACCTCTGAATGAAGACATTAAGGCTTATGTAAAGGGTTGCAGAGCATTTATGACAAACGAAAGTAATTCAAAGAAAATAGTATTTTCAAAGTTTTAATAAGCCAAGGGAGTATTTGATGGAATTCAACTAAACTTTTTAGGAACAGTCAGAGAAAAAATGTTTTTCATGATAATAGACTCATTTTAAAATTGGCCGGAAATGTAAATATATGAAATATATGAAAAATAAAAATTTATCTACCAATACAATCTTTTTCACTACTTTCCTCGATAAAACTGATATCGAATAATCTTCAGTACATTGTAGATACATACCTGTCTTCGTTATTATGTGTTCAATGTTGGAACTGTGAGACAGAGCTGTCAAAAACACATAAACAATCTGCAGGACTACCTCGTCGTCCTCTTGGTAAGTTTTTAATAGATCTATAAGTAATGCCAAAATACCGGTTTCACAAAACAGATTCGAACAACCTTCGTCGGTAGATGCTGTTCCCAAAAGAACGATAACCTACAACAAAATTATTTAACAACTAGCAGTTCGACTCTCAAGAAAGGAAATACATAATAGTTAACTAAATATAGACCTATAGATTTAGGAACGCCATTATTTTGACGGCGTTTCGGCTAGGTCACATTTAGGGTCAGATTAGTTTCGTTTTATCTGACCAAAAATGATTTTTGAAGGTGAAAAAGTGTCACGTTGACGTTTTGAGTAAAACATCTTGACAGGTCCGATGACAGAAAGCGGTGCAAGGTATTTAAGCACAGTATACAGGGGCCTAGAAATCAGTTCTCCTTAAGGCTGACATCGCTCCAAAGGAAAACGTGTGCATTGACGAAACTTTAGTGGCTTCAAGGGCTACTAAAATTCAAGCAGTATATTAAAAATAAGAGGCACAAATTTGGGATAAAATTATTCAAACTTTGTCTGAAAGGTGGTTATACCTACGATTTTAACGTATATTATGGAAAAAAATATGCTGAAGGTAGCACCGTACCAAAAAATGTAGTGATGAAACTTATGGATGGACTGCTTGACAAAGGACGAACACTTGCGATTTCCAAAAAAATTAAAAGTAGGTGAACATGTAGCTGAACAAAGTAATAATAACATCGTTGTTCAAAAGCGGAGGGACAAGCGAGATGTGCTGATAATTAGTATCAAATTCGCTGACGAAATGGTGACAATGCAGAAGGGACGCGGTGATGTTGTAAAGCCAAAAAATGTCATCGAATATAATAAATATAAAAGCTCAATTGATATATCGGATCAAATGAAAAGCTATAATTCGCCATCACGTAAAGGAATAAAATGGTACAGAAAATTAGCGATGGAGCTCTTGACTTTCACAGCAGTTATTGCAACAAAGCATTGCCAATGACAGCATGACGATTATCAAATTCAAGGAACAAGTAATTGGGGGCCTATTAGGAGATTTTATTGTCACACCAGTCATTATGGAAAATAGTCCTCTAACACAAAGGAAATCAACCAACATTTAATTGACATGTGATGGCTGTAAAAAATTCTATTGCCTTGGCTGTTAAATTAAATTAATACTTTAGATATAATTTTGATATATTATTATTATGTTTTGTTTTAAGAAATTAAAGCTTATTTTGCCTAAAATGTGTTCTTACTATGAATATATAACAAAAAAATATATAATAACGCAATTGTTACTTATAAATATTATGGGCCATGTGAGTCCTCATTGACATCTCAGAAGCACAGGCCAAGTATGCTTTTTAGACCATCTGGTGTATTTTAAATGAGTTCGAGAAGCCGCTGTTGAGCTACACAACATTTCCTGATGACTTAGCGCGTGAGTCCACGTAGGTATCACGTGGCCCGTATATACGTTTTATGTGTGAGTCCGTGTTGGCCTCTCGTGGCACTTAACCTGTCAATACACAAGATTCCATATCCATTTTCATCGGTCCTCTAGTTATTTCCTTCACAAACTAACAACATCCACCTGCCTGAGATCACTGTCGACTTTTTCTATCCTACTTGTCCTTAGTGAAGACCGTCTTCTCCTTTTATTGGGCTTTATATGTGAAGTTAGCATACGTTGTATGTACCCAGGCTTTTCGTTGCACCAGGTGTGTGGACAAAGGTTGTAGATTTTCGACTTGATCTGTTCGTAAACTTCTTGATTTACTCTTCTTCGATTAGAAGTCCTAAAATATTTCTTTTTGTTCTCCCATCTTTCCAGCTGCTCCTTGACAGTCTTATTGAGTACTTGAATACGGGAACTTGGCTTTTAAAAGGCTTCCATATCACATATTAATTTTTCCCAGACTAGCACTTAGAAATTGACATTGTAAGATGATGGTAAATAAACTTGGAAATAAAGTTCCACATTAGATACAGTTTATTTCCTAAGTTTACTTACCATAATCTTACAAATGGCGCCCAACGTGGGGCTTCGTTGTTAAATGATTATAAACTATCATTTTAATGTGAAAAAATTGATCACTGACTTCAATACATAGTAACCAACAAAAGCCGACTAAGCGGTAAAATTAAATACAATGCATTGCCATGACTACATTGTACTCGTCATCTTTTTAATTAGATTAACTTAACCGTCGAACCGCCACTTGATAGTTTAAGGCGTGTTCACATATATTCTTCTTGTTACAACATACAAATAATAAGTATTAAAGGGTTACTTAGAAAACAATTCCATAAATATAAAAGGATCACTAGCATAATATTAAACTTTCAACTACATGCTAAATACATAAACCAAATAGTACTTACATGTAATACTAGTTCTACATCTTTGTTATTACCGGTTATTATGTTTTTCACCCAATTTATCATATCGAAGTGCTTGAATATTTCGGCCCAATCGAGATCAGGTAAATACAAATTGCTCAAGATCCCAACACATTCTCGACTAAAGTCTTCATCTTTGGTATCGACTACAGTCTTTGCAATATCTCCGACGAATTCCTGTAAAATAAAACCAAATAACATTTGCGTTTTTTAATCTGACGAACAAACTATAGTCAATAAACTGTCAAAAATTGTCTATCGTCTGTATCAGTTTCAAATACCCTTTATCTAGGTCGATTGAACTGGTTGATATTGTCGAAAATATACGAAAAAAATCGTATTATTTGTATAATAAAAAAGTAAAAAGAAACAGATAAACATAAAATACCATTGTGGGACAGAAACCTCGAGCAAAATGGCAAGATCTAGATAGCAACTCAAAGTTCTGTTCGAATCTGTTTAAAATCATCAGCAATATGTATTAGAAAACCAATTTATAACATTTAAAGGGTTTGTACCGACATATTTAGTGGCTTCATGCATGTATACCTAGTAGTAGCACTGACGATGCTTCTTCCTAATTTCTGAAGTTCTTTCTAACGCATTAAGTTGGATGTGACAGAAAAAGCGGTAGTTCCGTGATTAAATACAAAAATATTGCAGCGTTACATACACAAGCGGTCTATTCCTAACCTACGTTTGATTCGTTGATATTTAACATGCGCGCTTTATAAAGCCAATCAATTACGCAAATTACGAACATTTATCGTAAAAACTCACTGCCAGTTGGCCATCCTTTCGAAGTGTCAAAGAGTGAAGTGATCGTGGTCATTCAGATCAGTATTTGACATTACAGCACTGTGCATTATTTTGTATTTAGGAGTATTTATTTTTTCATTAAAATATTTTAAAAATGCCAAGATATACGAAAAAGGAACAAGTACTGATACTAAAATTACTGAACTATTTTCAGTTAGAAAAAAAAAGCTAGACAAATTATTATCAATTTCTGCTGCTCTTGAAGTAAGTTTAAAATTATGCTGAAATTAAATTGTTTTACCTACTGTTTATTTCGGCGTTAGGAATTTATTTGCCAACCGCAAGACGATTGACAAATGAAGGTATCCAAAAAGATTCTGAATATTCCATCACAATGAGCGAATCAGTAGCCACTAATCTTGAACCCAAATTGTTAATAAATAAATACCAACATGTCATCAAGACTCGTGTATACAGAATGTTTAGTAAAGGTTAGTTAAAATATTTTATCGTATTAATCATAACTAATAACTAACTTAATCATAACTAACTAACTAACAACTAACGAAAGACATAAAAAACATGAAGTCAACATAATAATGGGCGACTTTAACGCCAAAGTCGGTAAAGGGAAAGTAGAAGATATCGTAGGGAATTATGGTCTAGGAATTAGAAATGAAAGAGGAGACCAGTTAGTACAATATTGTCAAGAGAAAGAACTAGTCATCACAAACACCTTTTATCAATTACCACCAAGAAGACTCTATACTTGGAGTGCACCAGGAGACAACAATAATAATCTGATAAGAAACCAAATCGATTACATTCTTGTCAACAAAAGATTTAGAAATGGAATTAAAAGCGTTAAAACATATCCTAGTGCTGATGCAGACTTCGACCACAATCTACTTCTCGCCAACGTTAATATTAAACTGAGAAAACAACAGAAAAAAAGTAAAATTCAGAGACTAGATTTGTCAAAGCTTGAGGGTGAAAAATGTCAACAAATAAATGAAGCACTTGTACCAGCATTCGCAGAGGCGTCAAAAAAAGATATTAATAGTGCCTGGAACGAAATGAAATCGGCAGTACTTAACGCTGGTAAAACGTTTGTGGGTAAAAGAGAACCAATTGCCAAAAAAGACTGGATGACACCAGATATTATAAACCTCATAGAAGAAAAACGAAAATACAAAAATAAAATAAAGAGAAGTACAAGCAAATGAAGAAACTAGTAGAAACGCAGATCAAGGAAGCTAAAGAACACTGGATGGTAGAAAATTGTAGAGAAATAGAAGAACTTAATATGAAACAAGAAACACATGGGCTACATAAGAAACTGAAAGAAATTACAGGAAATAATCGGAAGAGAATACCACAAGTTATACGAAACTCCAAGGGGAATCTCCAATTATCAGCAGTAGAAAAACAACAAACTTGAGAGAAATACATATTTCGCAGATAACAGGGAAGAAATAAATGATACATTACCAACTAATGAAAATCTAAAAATTCTGATATCAGAGGTTAAACAGGCAATTAAAATCTCAAAAAGTGGTAAAGCGGCAGGTCCCGATGAAATTCCTGTAGAGATATTAAAAATCCTGAATGATGAAAATTATAGAGTGTCTAACTAAATTATTTAATAAAATATACCACGATGGTCAAATCCCGGATGAATGGTTAAAATGTATCTTTTTACCCTTACCCAAGAAAAATAATCCTAAATCTTGCGATGAATACCGATTAATTAGCCTTATGAGCCACACTTTAAAAATACTACTCAAAGTAATTCAGCAGCCTATATATAAAAAATGTGAAGAACAATTAGACAATACACAGTTTGGATTTAGATGTGGAATGGAAACAAGAGAGGCACTGTGCGCAATGACGGTACTATTACAAAAATGCAGGGAATATAATAAAAACGTATTCATATGTTATATAGATTTCCAAAAAGCATTTGATAGAGTCCAACATGGTAAACTCATACATGCATTGAAACATATACACCTAGATCCCAAGGATATTAATTTAATTAAAAATCTGTACTACAATCAAACAGCGGTCGTACGGGTGGAAGATAGTGAGACAAACAAGGTGGAAATTCAAAGAGGAGTCAGACAGGGATGTGTGCTGTCGCCACAATTATTTAATGTGTACTCCCAACTAATGTTTCAGGAGGCACTATGGGAAAGAACTGTAAATAAAGAAATATAAATAAAACCAAATACATGGTGATCTCAAAAAACCCTGTTGACAACATACAACTGAAATTGGAGGGTAAACCCCTAGAGAGAGTTGACAAATATAAATACCTCGGAGCAATTATAAACTCACAGTTAGATCAAGAGCAGGAGATAAAGGTCAGAATAGAAATAGCTCGAAAAGGCTTTATAAAATACAAGTCAATGTTTACAAATAAGAAATTGAGTATGGCCATCAGATTGAGGTTCGTCGAATGTTATGTTTGGTCGCAACTACTATATGGGGTAGAACGCTTGGACTCTGAAAGCCCAATCTATAAAAAAATTGGAGGCATTCGAAATGTGGCTATATAGGCGTATTTTGAAGATTCCATGGACTGCAAAAGTCTCAAATGAGTAAGTGTTAAGACGAGTTGGACATGGCAGAAAGCTTATGAACACAATTAAAATAAGAAAAACATGGTATCTGGGCCACATACTCCGAAACGATAAATACTCTGCTACAAGTCATCATGCAAGGTAGAGTAGGGGGAAGAAAAGGCTTGGGAAGAAAGAAGAAATCTTGGCTGATCAATATCAGAGATTGGACTAACCTCAGTGTTGAACAGATATTTCACGTTGCAAAAGATCGAGAAGCGTTTAAAGAAGTGATCGCCAACCTTCGTTAGAAGACGGCACAAGAAGAAGCAGAATTAATCATAGAAAGACAGGAGTAACTAGAATCGATTAGCAAATCAAATCGAATCGAAACAATTGATTTAATCTAATCGAAATACAATAAAATATAATAAAATTAAATTAAATAAAATACAATCGAATCGATTCTTGAATCAAATCGAATAAATCAATTATTGAATTTTATCGAATCGATTATCGAATCAAAGCAATTATCGAATCGAATCAATCGTTGCATTGAATCGAAATACAATAAAATTAAATAAAATAAAATCGAATCCATTATCGAATCAAATCGATCATCGAATCAGAATCGAATCGATTATTGAATGGAATCCACTATCGAATCGAATAGAAATAAAATACAGTAAATTAAAACCAGAGTGCCAAATTCCATTTTAAAATTTTTGTGATTTATGATATACAGCGGACTACAGGAAAGTCATTTTCCTTGTGGAAATAAAAATACTTACTATAAAGGCAGGGGCACAAGCTGGATTATCAGATATATTTCTCAACATCTTCATAAGCATAGCGTCTTGGTACGTAAACGATCGCATGATTAACGACTGCAATCGGTTTTTCTTAATAATATGCTGAGCATTTGGCTGATCTGTAGACAGATTTACGCAAAGAGCCACCATAGTTTTATCGTTTTCATTTCCGACGCTCAAGAGTAACATATCGATGATCTAAAAAAATGTTTATTATTGATATATCGCGGACCTGTTTCATATTTTAGAAAAAAAAATTAAAATTGGTGGAATTAAGTGAGTATTAACAATTTTTTCTGCTAGATTTGATTAAAACTGGTGAGAACATGATAACAATTATTATTGAATATAATTTCCTTACCAGTCCAATACAGTCCACAAAGTGATGTTTGATTTCGTCTTCATAACTCAGATGGTATAGTATCTTAAGAACAACCTCTTGATGTTTATCGTCACCTAAAAAATATTTATATTAGAAATATGAAACTGATTTCTCCTGAGCCGCTAATCTGATATATCATACGCCTGAAAGACCATCAATTTAGAAAACCAACATTAAATTAGTCTAATATGTTTTGCTATATAATACTGGACTTTATTATAAGTTTCGCTCGTGTTACGAGTACTGGACGCGTTCAGGATTACTTCGCATGCGCAGTGTAAAAATGAGCGTTCGCAGTGATCAAGTTCTCTACTGATATGATGCTAGTCTGTAATCTTGTCGTTTGTGGTTAGTTAGTCCGTAGTTCATTAGACAAGGAAAGAGAGGGGACAGGTAACGCTCATTTAATAAACCTTCGCAAAATGAAGCCAGTTTCGATGTGACCGCCATGTTTTGGTGCCTGTACGGTACCTCTCGCAGCGTTACCAGGTCTACTGATTTTCCGCAGATCTACTGATTTTAACTTTAATTTACTGATTTACTGAAACACTATACCGCTCTACTAAAAAATATGTAATTATAAAATCATGTTCAAAAAGTGATCGTTATATCAGTGTTCAATTAAAAAATTGACAATTGCCAAATCTATCCACTAATCTATCAAAGGGTAATTGCTAAAAACATTTCCAATAGTTAACTGCAATTAATATCCAAAGAAACAAATATTTACTTATTGTTGTTTTATATAAATCAAAAATTGCAGAATTCATAACATAAAGTCTGTGTCAGAGGTCAAATATTTGATCAAATTAATTTGACCAAAACAAAAAATTGACAGCATATGACGTCACATCCTGACTTAATCAAATCCTCTAAAAATAGAGGATCTTCTATTTTCAAGGTCAGTTTGAGCAAAGTTCGATTGGTCGAAAAATATCTAATGTCAAATGACAATCAGCAGTTAGATATAACGTATTTAAATTAATTTTCTTTTTCTCTTTGGTTGGCAGTGTGTGGTTTATTTGTCTTCCTAATTTGTTATAAAATAAAAATAAAAATTTTAAATATCTTTCAGCCAGGAGCAAGTTTCTACATAATTGATTTATAACTAGAAAGAAGCTGTTTATATAATGTCAAACATCCATATTATTATAAAAATCCTTTCACCCTATTTATTTTCCTCGTGTATAAGAAAAAATAAAATCGTAAATAAAGCCGAAGCAACTAATAAAATAAACAAAAAAGACAATTAATTTCCTTGACATACGCAAGGTTAATAAAAGGGAGGTTGCATGGTAACTCTTAACATTGACAGAATGAATTATGACGTGTGACGTCACCCAGGGGGTTAATTTTACGAATTGTTTGAAAACAAAATAGGAGAAGTGGTTTGAAGAATATATTTTGTTGTTAAATATCGTTAGTGCTTTAGTTTATGTTAATATCAAGATATAATATGTCTATAGATATTATTGAGTGATTTTTAGTATACAATTTGGACCCAAAACTCTTATACAAGAAGTGAAGATACATTTAACGTGGTTGTGTCTTACTGGATTTTATTTCTACTGTGTTATATAGTAAAGGTAACATTGGGATTAATGCAGGAAAAACATAACTTAATTCAATTTTTTTATTGATTCAGATGACTGGTGGAAATATTTGTAGTGTAGATATCTGCAAATATAATTCAAAAAATTCCAAAAAGGATGGAAGGAATTTAATGTTTTTTACATTTCCAAAAAATGTAAAAATTCACAAGCAGTGGATGAGCAAGTGTCATAGGAAGGATAAGTGGTCCTGTTTTAATAAAAGAGTTTGTAGTATACAGTTTCGCATGGAAGATTATGAGGATGCTTTAAAAGCTAAACTATTATAAACATACAACCTAAAAAGCTGAAAAAAGATGGTAAGTAGGTATAGTCATTTAAATGTTCAGTAAAAATGTGTTAATTCACTGATCTTGATTTTTATAATTTACTGTTATTAAATACAACTTAAGATATCTATTTAATGGAATCATGTTTTAATATTTTTTATATTCTATTATATAATCCAGTAATGTAATCAGATGTTCCTTAAATATATTGAAGTTAACGGAAAAACTACTAATTCTGATATATAAATCTTTAGTTGAATCTCTTTTTCAGCATGGTTTACTTCTTTGGAAGAATTTATAATAAGCCACTACATGCATTATCCTCAATTCAAAATAATTTTAAAAAAGTAAATTGTATTCAACCCATTATTAATATCGTATATTAACATGTTTTAGTCACATGTATACACAAGAAAAAATCTACTTCCAATTTAATATAGTAATGCTATTCTACTACATATGTTTAGCTGCAATAATATTTTATGATTTCTGTAACTCTGCAGGTACTTATCTTCCACATTTTTTAAAGATTGAATGAAACAAATAGTTATTAAAAGTCCAAACGTATTTTTTTCAATATACATAGATTAATGTGAATGAATTTGAATGCAGCATTCTCAGTGACGTCATTCCCGCCGTTAGATTCTCGACGCTGATTGGTGTAAAGTTACTAGACAACCTGTCTAGTTTTAATAACCTTGGACATGCGTCAATTTGATCAGATTTGAATGATCGTGTGACAGGTAGGTTTTTAAAATTTGAACAAACTGTAATTATGACGTCATTACGTCAATTTGCTCAAACTACTTTGATCAAATAATTGGCCGTCTGACACGGACTTTATATAAACAAAATGTACTTTTCTAAAGGTTTATCTTTTTATATTTGAAGCATACAGCATCTACATTATAAAAACATGCCAACACTGTTATACCGAAATTTTTTGTTCCATGTTTGACATTTGCGGCTATAGTCAGACTAGCGTCTAGCCGTGGGCAGGTCAGTATAATCCTGATCAATCCAATCGCACTTGATTTTGTGTGTAGCGCGTCATTCAAATTATGTACAGGTTTGAATGTAACAGTTCTCATTTCTCATATCACGAAACGTTCTCAGATTGTTCCCACAAATAAGGAGTTATGTTTAATTGTTTTGAATACACAGAAACTCATAAAAATGTTGTAGACACTTCAACGGAAAATAGCAAAATCAAGAAAGATTCTAACAAGTGTCCTTTGTATAATTTTTATTCAAGTTATGTTGCAGAATTGCATTCTCATTTTCAAGAAGAACACAACCTAATCCTAGAAAGTGAAACACTTCAATTTTCCAATTTAGTCTCTTTTCAGGAGTGGAAATGTTTTATTGAAAGTACTACAAAAACCAAATACGTTTAAGTCGAGAACTTTTCCGCAAAGACTCACAAAACAATGAAGTTTCTCTGTCATAGGTCAGGCTGCTTTAATTCTGAAAGCAAAGGAAAAAGGCACTTAAAAATGAAAGGCAGTATAAAAATTGGTGGATTTTGCCCAGCAGTCTCACAGTTGTGGTTGATTTGGCAAAAAAAGTCAATTTTATAAAAACACACATTGAACATCAAATTGATATTGGACAGTTATTTCCAAGTCTATCTGAACGTCAGTTTATTGCTGATATTTGATTATGGTAATTATTTTTATTATACAACAACATAACAAATAACAACAACTATGATCTATAATAATAATAAGTGACAAGCAGACAAGCCCTCTCTCACTTGTTGCTAACTCACAATAAGATAGTATTTATAATATGTAAAATAATAAAACTGTGTATTTAAAACAACTAAACATTACTTCTTGTTTGAGTGAACAATCCGAGAACGTTTCGTGATATGAGAAATGAGAACTGTTACATTCAAATATGTACATAATTTAAATGACGCTCCACACACATACTCAAGTGCGATTAGATTGGTCAGGATTATCCTGACCTGCCAACGGCTAGACGCTAGTTATAGTCAGCTTGTACTTTCGGTAAACTCAACCTTCGATGAAGCATTAATTAAAACTCTGTCTATCACCTTCAATTATATGAATTTAAAATAATTAAAAGCTATACAATATACATTTTTGACGATGAACTAAAATTCTAAAATAAAATATACTTACTGAGAAGACTCATAACTTTTGGAAGAAGTCCAGCTTTGATCATCTTATATCTAGCTTTATTGTCAAATGACAGATTAAACAAAAGCTTTAAAGTCAAATGGACGAGATCGGCACTACTGGAATTCAACATTCGGGGCAATTTTTCGATCACGCACATATTTCCTACCATCACCTCTTTGTTGCACTGCATTATCGACAATTTCTTAAGGAATGTAATGACTAGAATGAGCAAATCCTCGTTTTCTCTTTCTAAAGCTTTGGCTAAAAGACCTACAATATTTCTTTTCGACATTTTTTCTTCTACTACCTCGTCTTCGGCAATGTTTAGTAATAAATAGAAAGCTACTCGAAGCAGGTGCTCCTGTTTCTTGACTAGAGTTCGGAACCGTTTCAGTTTCTGTTCGCCCGTTAATTTCCTATCGTCTATACCCTCCATGGAAGTGGTGAGATCATCGTAAATGCTTCCTAAAAACAAAATTATCTATGAGGACTCTAAATAAAAGTAAAGGGGTATAAGTGACATTTTTGTAAATATTGAGATAACTGTATCGTCGAACTGGAAATATTTCATTCTATTTGGAAGTAAAGAAATCTAAGCGATAAGTCTAACAGGTGCTGCGTTCTAGCGGCAAGTTACTTAACCTCCAAGACAACTAAGAGTAGGGCTTGGAAGAGAAGAGGTACAAGTGCACTTGTACCTCGGTTCCACTGTGTAAGACTGTTAGTTGAGTTTGTTATCATTTTGGATGGGTAGTAATATTATAGCTCCTCTAATGCAATATTAATTTGTTGATATAGTACTACTTTATTGTAAACTGTAGTGTTTTACGTTATTTTACATTACAGTGTTTTTAAGAAGAGTTCGTTTTTTAAGCTTTAAAGAACATGGATATACGTAACCTAAAAACTGAACGTAAGTTAAAAAAAAGTCCCCTCAGACGTGGCATGCCACAGGCTTAGAAAGACCACAGGCATAAAAGATCAAATAAATCACCCCCGAACAAAATTTGTGAAAGTGCAATTGCAATCATAAAATAGCCTATTAATAAATTGTCAGGTACACAACCACTAATATTAATAAGAATGGAGTACCACAGGGCTCAATATTGGGCCCTATATTATTTATTTTGTATATTAATGAACTACCACATGTAATGCCTGATGCATTTGTATCAGTTTATGCGGATGACTCAACAATGCTATATAGCGATAAAGACATACATTTTTTACAAGATAAAATAACAAACTCTCTGAAGACCTTCTCTGATTGGTCCAGTAATCAGTCGCTCCTGTTCAATGTTCACAAAACTAAATTTTTATCATTTACATCACGTTCAAATTCAACCAAACCTGATTTAAGTATTTCCATCAATGGTGAGGATATTTTGAGTTGTAGTGATGTGAAGTTTTTAGGAGTGACTTTTGACTCTCATTTATCTTTTAAGACTCATTGTTGGAATGTATGTAAAAAGCTCAATTCTAAATGTTATCAAATGAGAAATTTGGGTAGAATACTTAGTCTGCAACACCTTCGTCTTTTTTATTTTGCAGAGGTACAATCGACAATAAGTTACGGTATAAACTGTCTGGGGTGGTTTTTCTAGTGTAAAGGACGTTTTCAAGGCCCAAAAACGTCTTGTCAGATGTATAGTAGGTGTTCCGTATGGTTGGTCTTGTAAAAACCTATTTAGAGATTTGAATATATTAACAGTGTATGGAATTTACATTTTGGAATTATTGATACTAATTCATAAAAATAAAAGAACTCTTTTATGTAACAGTGATATTCACTCACATAACAAAAGAAATAAGAGACAGTTTGTAGTACCCTATCGACATTTAGAAATAAGCAGGAAGTCATCTACTATCTGTGGTTTACAACTGTATAATCAACTTCCTCAAAATTTTAAAAACATTAATTCAACTACAGCTTTTAAAAACCAAGTCAAAGAGTACCTAGTGACCATGTGTCCTTATACATTAGGTGAATATTACGAGGGTGTATCTGTGAATGCCTAAGCTGCAACCTAACCACATTTATTAATATTTTAATTATATGTCTATAGTGTACGTTTTTTAAGTATTTTAATGTCTTAAATATTTTTAATGTATTGTTTCCATTTTTTGTAATATTTAATATTTATAATTTTAGTTTTCACTTACTGTAAACCTAGTTGTAACTTACAGTCAAATAAACTGTCTATCTATCTATCTAACTACACTAGAAATAAGACTACGAATAGGAGGTATCTTCCTCAGGAGTGTTAATTTGAAAATAATGTACAAACTTGATCGTGATTTCTGTAAGGATGAAAACAGGAAGAACCTGTAAAGGAAAGCTTTTACAGGAATATTTTTAATACTCAGTTCAACTTTAGTGTCAAAGGCCAAGTACACCTGTGACAAATTTCTGATAAAAATAAATCACGGTTTGGCAGGAAAAAAGCTTTAGCTCAGAGAAAAAAAGACTTACACTTGCGTAAGGTGGAAGTCATAAGAACAGAAAAAATAAGTGTCACGACCTAAAGGATGCTAGCAAAGTTGGGATCATCTTTGACTTACAAAAAACTTCGCATATTACTTAAGACGTATAACTTAGGGGTCCATAAACTACAGACTAAAAGGATCCATTTCTTTATGTGGCACGAAGGTCAGGAGTCACATAGACGTGTCATATATAGAAGCCTCCCCCATCTGTGCTACTATGGCACCCTCGCCCTTCCAGGCGAAAACGTCGATGACCATCTGCACAATCTCTATGAGAAAATTCCCTGTGTAGGTGTGTTAGCTGATGCAGTACGAAAGGTTGTTTCTCTAGGAGGTAGCTTTCTCTAATGGAGTACGACCCGCTGAATTCCAGTGTTACCCATCCAATACTGGCTTCAACTTCGACTATCTGAATGCCATTTCCAACACATTGAGAACAACCAAGATGTTTAAAATATCTGAAGTCGTGTTCAGTACCCTGAGTGAAACAGGCGCTATATCGCAAATCGTGATATCCCGTCCCTTAGTTAAGGCCCAGCGTCAAAATGTTAAGGGTGAGATGCGCCCTACATCTTTAACTCAAGAGGACCCAGCTCAATAATCCCCAACTCCGAACTAATCAAGACTAGAGGAGTTGTAGACAATTTAGACACCACTTGGTGCTGCATCGGTTTGCATTTAGTGACAATTGTGGAGGCCAAAACAAGAGTCATCTGGCAGTCAAATGTTGGCTCTTCATTATAAGAAATAATATTCAAACAGTAGATCATCGCTTGTTTATAAGTGGTCATTCTTATAATGAGTCTATCAAACCAAAACTTTAGTTTGATAGAGTTAAAAAAGAAAAGAACCAAAAAGGACATGTGTGTACCTCAACATTGGATGAAGCTGGTCACTTTCTACAATTGATTTTTTAGACTTCTAAATACTTGCGCCATACTTCAAGAAGAGCGTAAACGGAATGCAGAGTATGCAATGGTTACATTTTCAGCAGGATATAGAAGAGTTTAGTGAGCTATCTATGAGACTCACTGGAGCTGGCAAAAATTCTGCCCTTCCCAGATCTCTTGCCAGTACCGATTGACATGAGGCCTCTCCTTAAGCAAGCTTAATATTCAAATCTTCAACAGTTACTCAACTACGTACCTACAATCTACCATGAGTTCTTCACAAATCTGCGACATGATGAACAACAAGCTGAGAAACTAGCAAACTCAGAAGAAGCAAAAGTCAACTATGTATTATTGTTATGATGAAGAATAAATTTGTACAGAAACTTTATGATCTATTTACATTTTTACCTTTATGTTGCATTTCTTAGAAGTAAAGGGGTATAAGTGCTACCAAAAATACCTAAGAATATATCCAAAATGAGTAAAGTCAATCAAATTATGTGCTTTTGTTACAAGTAATAATAATAATGCCTACAGTTACTAAACCGTAGAAGAAAAACTAGCAATAAAAAATCATAGCAATTACAGTTAAGGCTAAACTTTGAACGGCGTTTACTCAAAATTTACTTTTTGTCACTTAAACCCCTTTACTTCTAAGGCCCTCATATAATCACAGTTTTACGACGCTTTATTCCTTACCTTCCATAATTTGACTTATGTTACTATCGGAGAAATTTCCTGATTTTGGACGAACTGGTTCTGGAATGCGGCTGCGAGGTATTTCAGACATACTAGCACTACTGGGGCAAGGTTTTCTGACTATAGGGATATCTGATGGAGCTTCTGACCCATCAAAGTCGGCTTTCCACCGATCGTATCGACGTAATTCGTAATCGATTATGTCCATACATATTGAACCGACCTAAAAAATATTCACCTACTCAAAAAACAAAAAAATATATTAACGAAACAACTTAAAACATTGCTGAACCCAGCTCCTTTTCGATTTCAGTTGATGTTAAGTTGGATACATACCTTACATTTCAAAATCACGTGATGGAAGCATGAGTATATGGAAAAACAGAAAAATGTAAACACTAAATGGGTACTTAAGGCAATGCTTCGCTTCCAATCTTCCCTCAACACTCTTCCTAAGGCACTTATCAAAGTTTCTACAAAACAGAATCGGTATATAAACTACAAATAATTGTTACAATCGGCATATATATATGTACACTCAGCTGTAAAAAAAAGTAACAGAGAAAATTTTGGTCAAATTCAAAGTCTATCAGTTTTTTTATTTTTAGCCATATTTTAATCATTTTTTTAACACACTGTGCAAAAATATATAAACTTTAATTTAGTATAGTGGATTTATACACTTAATAATTTATACACTTTAACATCTATAAGAAAACTTACCATTAGTCGCAAGTGCCTCCAAGTTTTCCGGATCTCGTGCCAACAACTGTATGAGTTGTGCTCCCCTAATCTTTTCAGCCATACCCTCATAAAGGAGATCAATGTATTCAGACAAACTGTTATAGTTAGCTTCGTGTACTCCATTGGAGTAATTATCGAATTTATTTTTATCGCCGTCACCCATCGGTCCCATTCCTGACGAAAATAAAACAAAAAAAATGGAGTGATTTTTATGTTGAATAATTATTTTCTACAATTGAGGCAAACGTGATAAGAAAATTGTCATTACTCAAATCGAGTGACTATAGTGATTAGAAAAATAATAGCATATACCACATTTATATTAGGTTTGGTCAGTTCCAATCTTTTTCTTCAAATATAGTATGCTTCTTTAGCTTGTTCTTATCTTGCCATGTCTTATCGAATGTTAGCAACCAACAACGCTATTTCGACTTTTTCCACCGCATATCTGTTTGTTTATTTAGCTGGTTTAGTATACAAAAGACAAAACGAGTTCTTAAGGGTAGATTCATAGATTGTCATGATGGCTACATGTTCATTCTGTCTTCATTTTGATAAAAGCGGTTCAAGCTTGTTCTATTCTCTAGTGTGCCGCCCCTTTCTCTTCTCTTTGTCAACCATTTTCCATCCACTCCTGAATGTAGGTCTCTCCCAATTGCTTCCATCTTTCTTTATCTTGCGACAATCTAATCCATTGTTTGCCTGCCACTGCTCTTATGTCATCTACCCATCTTTTTTGAGGTCTTACCATGCTTCTTGTTTTCATTGGTCTCCATTCTAGAACTCCGTGTCCACCTGTTGTCATTATATCGGGCTACGTGACCTGCCCAGCGCCATTTCATTATTGTAATTTCTTCCACAATATCCCTAATCTTCCTTCTACGTCTTATCTCGGTATTTCTAATCTTATCTCTCAGTAATATTCCAAGCATGATTAGTTGCTTCTTTGCTCCCCAGGTTGTATTGAGCCCCATTTTGATTAATATTTTGATTGATTTTTCTATGGCCTTTTCATCTATACTGATCTCTCAGTATTTGTATTATACTTGTCATTATCGCAGAGACTTTAATAGAGAATGAAACATAAAAACATCCTTTTGCTGATAAGATTCATAAAGAGTGTTTATGTTATGTTTGCTTAATCCTCAAGTTATGCTTTAAACACCCAGAATATAAGAGTATGTCTTAAAAAAGAGCTTCAAATTTACAATTATCACTAGGACACATAGTTTTTTACTAATTTACAAACCTTTCAGGTTTGCATTCGTAAATAATGACCAAATAAGTAGTGCAGCCTGAAGTTCTTAATAATTTAATTAAAAATCCTTTGTAATAGGTATATATTTAAGGCCCAAACGGTTTAGCCCTTAAATATATAACTATTACAAAGGATTTTTAATACATGGTATACAGCCAACTACAGGAACGTAGATTCCTTGGGAAGTTCTTAATATCGACATCCTGAAGCTTCAAAGATGCAACTTGAGTGCAAAATAATTGACCCAAAAAAGACTATTTTGCGAAAGTATGTCTCCTATTTCAATCTAAAAAGTGTAAATTTAAAAATATTTAGTGTACAACCATTAACCTCATTATTGAGTTTTAAAAAAATTTTGTTTTTTGGTGAATTGGAGGACTTATTACAAATAAATAATGCAACACTTAACGTGTTCAGTTAACATCGTGCGAATCAATTTCCATAGCAACCCACCGATACATCAGTCACTTAAGTTCGCAACTACATTACAAATGGATATGACATCCGTCAAACAGCTCAAGCAGTAGCATTATTGAGAGAACGCCTGAGCCAGAGGGCCGTGGCAAATCGACTAAATGTCGATTATGTCCACCGACAAGAAGGTGGACGTAAATGAATAAAAACAAAGAGAGATGATCAATTTCTTGTATTGAAATCCCTGAGAAATCGACATTTGACTGGTTCTTATCTCAAAGAAGAGCTTAGAGAGGTCCAAAGTGTGGTTACCATCATTTGGACAGTTAGAAGTAGGCTAAAGGCAGCCAACTTAGCCACAAAAGGGCAGCTGCGGGTCTCAAGCTAACTGCAGCCCAGAAGCAAAGACGATTAGAATTTCCTGCGAACATCTGGATTAAAACGACGAGCATGTTAGGGATGAGCTTAAACGAAGGGTCTGGGACAAAAATCATGCACCAAGGAGCATAATGGAATTCAGAGCTGCGCTTAGTGATGAATGGGAAGCAATGCCTCAAGAATTTATTAGAAAAATCATCCGATCCATGCGAAATCGATTGGAAAGTGTAATTAGGAGTAGGGATGGTAATATCAAATGCTGAAAAATAAAGAAATTAATTTTGTAACTGATGATTTCTCTGTTCACAACGTCTTTCTTGTGTTAGTTCCAATGATGAATATTTAGGAAACTTCATTCGTATTGCATATTGTTTTCGCAAATACTTACTTTACATAAGTTATTGTTTGCAAATTACATCTTTTTATTTTCATACTTCTTACATTGAAACACAAGGTGTAATCTCAAATATCGTTTTAGAGTTGATTGTTTTGCACTTTTTATCATAAATTTAATGAAAATAATAATAAAATACATTCATTGTGAATTTTTGCACTATAATTTTGTATAATCTTGAAGACTGGATTGGTTAGTTAACTAGTTAAAGCTTACCTTTACCACCATTTTGAAGTTTTCTTTTCTTTAGATAATAAATAATTTGCTCTACTTCTGGTAGGCGAGAATGATGTATCAGTTCACACTGATTAACAACTTCTTTGGATAATACATGGCAATCTGTTCTACTGTTAATCATTGGTAGTTCAATAATCTTCTTGAGACTCTATAAACAATAAAGTTTTTAAAGAGTATATAAGAAAAAATGCTCAATAGAGAGGTTAAACTTCAATGTAAAATTTTATTGAGTGAACATCAAGGGTGTATAAGAAAATAATTCATATTGTTCACCTGTGATGTTTTACTCAACTTAACTTTACAACAACTACACATCTTAATAAAAGTTCAATATATGTATATATGTATATATATATATATATATATATATATATATATATATATATATATATATATATATATATATATATAAAGGGAGTTGAGGTTAATTGGGTATACAGCTGATTAAAAGCCAAGTGCACTCTGTTCAACAGTTCATTATATTTCGCTAATTTTCATTGGCATCATCAGATGAAAGCTACAATTTTCAATTATATATATATATATATATATATATATATATATATATATGTTGAACAATTATTCCGGGAAAATATCCGTTGGTCATTTTTTTTTTTTTTTTTTTTAATTGCAGACGTTTCGCCAAGGTCTCACTTGGCATCTTCTGTGCGTTGTCTTCGGTCTCGTAGTCGGTAACTGATATATATATATATATATATATCAGTTATATATATATATATATATATATAATATATATATATATATATATATATAAGCTACAAGGAGAGGTGGTTCAATATAAATATGAATAATATTTTTGGATATCAAATCAACAAATTTCTTCTCTGTCTCTTTCTCCATTTCACTTCCCCTCTGTTTCTCCTTCTCTTTACTTGACCATTCTCTCTGTCTAAATCACCTTCCCATTCTCCTCTTTCTTCCCTGTCTCTTACTCATTAAGCTAGCATTTTTATTAAAACCACAATGACACCAATTCACCTAATAGCCAAATTAACCAACAAACAAATGATAAAATCAACTATAATCATGATTCACTTTCTAGATTTGTATATATTTATCATTTTAATATTTAAACTTAAAAAAGTACTTGTGGATGGTGCAGTTCTTGGATGGCTGAGAACATACTTGATTAAGAGTTCAGATGGTACATATCAGGAATTTTGTTTCAAGTGAGATTAAAGTTCATTCAGGAGTACCCCAGGGTTCTCATTTGGGGCACCTGTTATTCAACATATTCATCAATTATATACACCACTGCTTCCAGCACAGTTCACATCTCCTTTTGGTGGATGATCTACATTTTGCACAATTATCTTGATCTTCAGTATTGTTTTAAGAAGTTTTAAACTTTTTAAAACAATCTCTAATAAGAAAGATGCAGTCGAATTGCAAGATGATCTAAGATCAGTTATGCCATGGTTTAACGATTCAAAAATTACTCTTCATGTTAATAAAGGTTCAGTAGTTTCATATACACGAAAACTCAATAAAGTTATTGAAGATTATTATATTAATGATGATCGAGTTGAGAGAGTGAGTGTTATGAAGGATCTTACAGTTAAATTCTAAATCAACATGAAGTTCAATATACACTTTTATGAAATATCTAACAGAAATATCATGCTTTGGGTTTTGTCATTAGAAATAGCAAAAATTTCAAAATAAGCACAATTATAAAACTCTATAAAGCCCTGGTGAGACCACATACAGAGTATGCTTCAATCACCTGGTCTCCTACTGCATTTTCAAACACAAGAAATTATTGAAAAAGTGCAAAAACGATTTTTAAGATTTCTGTAAGGAAAATAAGAAATATCTGTAAGTGGTCTCATACAGGGTAATGTTAAACTCATTTCAGTTGCAGTCACTTGCCTCTAGAAGAAACAGCCAGGCCATTATGTTCATATACTTGATTGTTAACATTATTAAATACACAAACTGTGGTTTAATTGACTTTATTTACTTTAGAGTACCCACAAGTAGGTTAAGGATAACCAACCTAAATCTATTCTTTACAAATTACTATAGAAACATATCACCAATAAACAAGATGTTAAAAATTTGTAATGAAGTATTTAATAGACTGACTCATGTAGAGATATTTAATGTAAAAAGCTGTGAACTTAAGACATTGCTTGCTCATCAGCACTAGGTTTAAGGGGTTTATTGTATTTGTTTTCTTATTGTATTATTAATGTTCGTTTCTTTCATTTATTTTATTTTTTTGTCTTAAACACTTTACATGTTATTACTATTAGTCTATAGTGTTTGTAAGGTGTCTAAATAAATAATTATTTGTGAACAGTCAACCCAGACTGAACTATTTTATGAGTGCATTGAACATTGTGCTATTTTTCATGGATTTTACTTTTTATTTGGTATAGTTCCACTCTTATTGTTACATTCTCATATATAGCTTTTATTATCATTTCCTATTAATGATCCACACAATAATATCACTCCATTTTAATAAGAAAGAGTTGAGTAATAGTTAAAAATGTCTTTTTGAATAAAAAAAATAATATTAATCATTAAAGATTGCCCCAGGTATGTACTATACTCAAAAAGGAAGTTGGGATATTTATTGTAGATATTAATATATGGAATTAAGATTAAAAGTATCTTAAACCACAAAAAGCAATATAACCTAGGGTAAATGTCACCATAAAATAAATTTAAAGAGAACCCATTATGAAATATATATGTAAAATCAGATCAGAACACCACAAATGCTTGATTCATCAGCAAAACTAAATCTAAACTTGCATTTAAATTTAATTAATAATATATACACAAAAAATAGTAAATTTTGCAAAAATAAAAGAATTATTCAAATATTATGTAAATAAATCTCTACAAACTCATTTAAAATTCACAAATTTTTTGGTATGTACAATTTAAATATTAGCAATTTGTTAATAGTGTTAACCTTCAATGATTTGGCCATGGCTTACAGAAGTATTGTTATTTGAAGGTCGCCTTTATACATCTTTAACAAAGAGCAGATATGTGAGAAAAACATAAAATTACCCATAAATAGCTGTACATAAGCGACAATGTAAATATTTAATTATCTTTGCAATGAACTAAAACATCAATAAATTTATTATATTTATATATTAATGATTCATTCTAATTAAACATAGTCCAACCATTGAAACGGCATAAGGGTTGAAAATAAATACCATAAACTAAACAGAATATTACTAACAAATGAAATTAAAATATTAAAACACTATATTTTTAGAATTTGATATGATTAATCAGTTACCTTTTTTTCTCCATAAATGACATGTTCTTTAGACGCAAGAATCTGAATATCTAAATCGTAATTTAAACAAATTGCATCAATATTTGGGTGAACATCTACTGATCCTGGTTTGCGCTCTCTGCAAAATTCAAATTTATTAAACAATTTCGATTCTTGTCTTTTATCTTTAACTTACGTCCTCATGAATTTAGCATCCTCCGGTTCCATTTCAAAAATGATATTGCAAATGTAAATAATACAATAATATACGCCTTTAAATGTTATCAGCAGAAACACAATAAAAATATTAAAACAAATTATTTCAATTACCATGCAAACTTCAAAATTTGTTGTAAATGGACAAATGTCAAGTGACGGTTTTGTTGATATTAACGTCACTGTCAGTCACTATCACCTTGACTGTTCTTCTTTTTAATCCATGTATTATGTATTTGAAAACCAGTGTGAAGTTGAACTTACTTGCTTGTCAGTGTCACACTAACCAAAAATCATTAAATCATTCCAACAATTTCAATAAACTCTAAATTCATTAATATTTTAGTTGGTTTGATAGAATAGTCGATAGCTCACTGTGTTCATAAAAATGGGAAACTTTAGACGTAATTAGTTAATTTAGACAAATGATATACATTTTTAATAAATATTTATATTGTAGGGGACCTAGAAGAACTAAAGAAGTTTAGAGATAGTAATGATAGAAAAAGCAGAGAAGTAGTTAATATTTGGAACAGTTCTATTCATTCCAATGTAGACAAGCTAGGAAAAGAGAGTAAGATATATTAAATAATAATAAGAAGTAAGATAATAATAATGATATTCTTTCTATGAATACATTAGTGGGATAGTTTAGAAACACAAATAAATAAAAATCTAGAAAACCGGAAAAGACTGACTGATGCAATATAGTCCTGTTCCCCCAGTGCGACAGAGAAAACTTACACAAAGCATCTCTGCATCCCTTTCTAATAAGCCAGGTTTATTGACCACGTGACCTTCTCATTAGTCATTTTGTTCATGTAGTAGATGAACCTGGAAATTAGAAAGAGATGCAGGGACTGTGCATCAGTTTTCTCAGTTGCACTGATCAGTCTATCTTGTATTATATGTATATGCCTAAACTAATCATTTACCAAAGTGATAGGATTTATGATTAGTTGAGTATTATTATCAATACTTTCCAGAACACATTATTCAAATTACTAAAATGTAAAATAAATACATTTTCAAGGAATAAATTATTATATTTTTGTCTTTTAGAACATGTTGTCCTGGAACAAGTTTGCATGGCAGCACTGGATTCATTTAACCTGAAAATAGCAGAAATTTGTATTAAAGAGTTGTACCAAGAATTTCCAAATAGTTGCAGAGTACAGATATTAGAATCAATGTTGCATGAAGCAGATGAGAATTTTGATAGAGCTTTACACATATTAAAAAATATCATCAAACTTGATGCTACAAATAGTTCTGCCAGGAAGAGGAAAATCGCTATACTTAAGTCACTTGGAAGGAATTCTGAGGCTATTAAGGAATTAACAGAGTATTTAAAAGTGTAAGTCAGTATTTTGCTGTATCATTCTGTCTCTATAACTTCAGATCCAGCTTTCAAACACCTTTTACTGTATTTTTGTGTAGCATGTTCACTTTAATATATATATAAGGTTCTTGAACTCCTAAGTGGAGCATAGAGCTTCAGTGAAAACGTGCCATCGGGTTCTATTTTGCACTAAGGCCTTCACCTCATTCCATTTAATAAGTATCTCTATTTGCAGTGGGTGCAAGACATTGCACTAAAACCAAAACTATTGTTTCTTATTGACTATGTTTTAGCAGTAGTTTGAACTGTGTAGGTTTGTAATGATGTTATGCATGTCTTACATATTTCAATTTTAATCTTTAGGATCATATATGCAAATATTAGCTAAATGATGTCTATGATCGTAATTGATTTGGAAGATTAAATGTGTCAGATATGTTTTAAAAATACATAATAAGTATTTTTTTACAGATTTATGGCTGATATAGAGGCATGGCAAGAGTTGAGTGAACTGTATTTAACTGAATTTGATTATAACAAAGCAGCTTTTTGTGTTGAAGAACTTATATTGCACAATCCACACAATCATCTACTACATCAAAGATACGCTGATATTAAGTACACCCAGGGTGGATTGGAGAATATTGAAATTGCCAGGACATACTATTATCAAGCCTTAAAGCTAAATCCCAACAATATGAGAGCTATGTATGGAATTTACCTAGTAAGTTTCTTTAAGCTATAAATTAAGCTCTTCTCAAGTTTCAATCGTAATTAATACTTTTTGCCTTTCAGACTTCTTCGGCATTGTTAAACACCCAAAAAGCAGTAACTGGAAAGAAAAAAGATGCAGTAAACAAACTCTTAGATTGGATACTAAAAGAAATCAAGCAGAGATATGTTGAAAAACAACAAATAGATGCATTAAAAGAAGCAGTATCTGCATTAGAAATCTGATTCAGTATTTATTTGAGTTTGCTTTTAAGTGTTTAAATGTATGTCATGGATGGTGTTTACAGAATTGTTTAAATATGTTATTTTTTTAATGAATTTTCTTTTCAAATGCTCTCAATAACTAGATTTACAAGGAATGTTCCATAATTTTTTAGAAAAAAGGAAGCCACAAATTACATTTGCATAGTTTTTATTTCTTTTCAGATTATTCTTCCTTTATTTCAGTATATTCTTCCTTCATTAATTTATTTCTTTTTTTTTTTAACATTCATTTCATGTCTTTCATAATCTATCATTTCATCTTTTCCCATATCCCAAGTTTCTTGTTTAACTGAGCAGTATTTTTTCATAAATCTAGAGGGATAAGTATTAACATATGCTGGACTATTTTTGTTGGTTTGTGCCTCTTTTCAAATAACCTAACCAATTATTCTTGTTTAGTTTCAGCAATTACATGATATGTTCAACATGTTAACAATTCTGAATATGTTCTATGCAAATTCGTACCAATATACTCTCATATTTTAGTTCTTTAGTGTTACAACTAACATATAAAATGTTTCACAAGATTTTACTTATTTTATTTTAAGTTCTCCTAAAAGAAGCACTTGATGTAAAAAAAAAACGTCTGAATCAGATTCTCAAAGATCTCATATTGACTATAAATCGACAAATCAGTACATAACACTGGAGAATAAAGGATATATTGTGGTAAAAAGTTATGTCACATGTTCGCCAACTTCAAATTGTTGACCAACAAAATATGAAACTTCTAAAATAATATCACTAAGCCCAACTTTTGTTAACTGTTAAAAAGGTGACAATGGACACAAAAATTATGTATTTTTCAGGTTTCTCATGGACTACTACCAAAATTTCTCAATGTTTTTATTGAGAATGAATTGCAAATCAATATTATATATCAGTGAGCATTTGAAGGGACTTTGTTTCAATTTTATGTAAGAGATTTTTAATGGAAATTAGTTAGTTTTAATTTTATTTAAAATTTTGTTATATTTTGAACCTTAAATATATATTACAATAAAAAAAAGTAGTTTTTTATCAAAAAATGCAATAATGACACTGGCTCTTGTCTGGATTCTAGGTGTCAATTCACAATTCTCTTAGGTCTAGCTTGTTTAGACAAGTGTTTATATCTAGTCACTTACTTCTTGGTCACCTTTCTTCTGGTATTACTGATATACTCTTTACAAATCTGACACCAACTCAACAAAAAAATTTTGCAAATGCATTCATCTTTAGTTCTGAAAGGGCTAAAAGATTTCAAAATCAACAATCTTTTTGATGTTTATGAGACTGCAGTCTTTATTCAGCATAAGACCATATTTTTTGCCAATCTTGTTTAGAAAAACTAAAGATAAAAAAGTTAAGATTTGACTAAAATCAATTAAGTGAAAATTATGCTGCAATACTTTTGAGGTAGGTTGGTAAAGTGAAATATGGAGTGGCAGATATAATTTTAATTGTTAACTTATAAAAATGTAAGACCCATATAAGACAGCTTTTAAATATAAATTGAATGTCCTTGAAAAGACATTAAAATTAATTCTTTATATTTTCCCATTGATCCGTGGGATAGGCTTCCCCTATTTTTGAATAAATAAACTTCTTCCAGAAGGACTTCTGGTACATCTTCTTGGTAACTGATTACTTCTTCAAGGGTCAGGTGCTTTGTATAGTTCTCTGTAGAATTTAGTTGTATTATTTCATTTCTGTCTGTAATTTCCCAATTATTAATGCTTTTCTTGTTTTCTTATAGTTTTTCCTGTTTTTGATTGCATTTTCTACTAGTCTTTTATTGTATTGTCTTATATTATTATATTGATCTAAATATGGGAAGATATTAAGCCTCATTCATGAAAGGCATACATTGATAGCCACCAATTCTTAGAAGGCTTGGAGACTTTTCAAAGAAACATATACCTGGAGACCAAACTGTTAAATAAAAACTGCAAATGAAGGGTACAGGGCCAAAAGGGGGCAAGTCGCAATTTTTCATAAATAGATCTAGTGGTGCCATCTTGTAGCAATTTTAACGTAGAAGTGGTTAGCGACTGGTTACACGTCCTAAAAGCGCTTAGCTCCCGTGAAATACTAATTCTAATTTACGCATACACCACCAATAGGGGGCAAGTCCTTATCAGGCAGGTCCTAAAAGGGTAAAGTCCATATAAACAGCTAATAGACGTTAATCTAATACGCGCAGTTTTGAGTTAGGTTCGTCGGTTTAGTTTGTTTTCATTGTTTTTTAAATGATTTAAAAGTAAATAACAATAAATACAGAAAACAATAGTAGTGGAAATGAGACTGAAGTAGTGCCTAAACAGAATGAATAAAAAAAGGAAAAAGCACGGCAGAATGAGAGATGTCATGAAAAAAATTAGACTGCAGAGTCACGAGGTAGGTGCAACCTGTAATTGTAAACAATGTTTTCAAAATGTGCCCGAAGAAGCAAGAAAAACTGTACTCAAAAATTTTAACACAATGACTTCTATTAATGAGCAGAACTCATACTTATGTGGATTGATTACAGTATTGCTTATTCGCTGAAGAAGGCCTAGGAAAAATGAAAACGAAGCAAATTTGAGAAGTGCTGCATATTCTTACAGGGTATTTTTAGCACTGATAATAGCTTAAAAGAAATAAATATTTGTAGACAAGCTTTTATGTTTATTCATGGAGTAAAGAAAAAAAATAGAGATATTACAAAATTCACTAAAAATGACTGGAGTCGCCCCTAAAGATAAAAGGGGAGGAAATAAAAACCATCCTAGAAAATTGGAATCCAACGTTCTTGTAGCAATATACGAACATATAAAGTCATTTAGACAACAAAGATGTTCAAAATGTTTTGCGAGTTGAACCCTTCTATGAAAATATCTTACGAGTCTTACAGAACAGTCTTTAATACAAAATTTAACATAGCCTTTGGATATCCCAAAACTGATACATGTAGTTCCTGTGATGAGTTTCTTATAAAAATAAAATCTCTTCGGTCTGATATTTTAAACAGTAGTTTCGATCTTGCTGAAAATGAACGCTTGCGGAAATACGCCAGCTTACGATACAAAATGATGTACACAAAAGAAAGGCTGAGGTATTTTACAGTAGAAAAAGAGCTGCGAAGAAAAAAACTCGAACCTCTGTGACTCACGAAGCTATTTGTCTCGATTTTGGAAAAAATCTCAGTGTCCCAAACATAACAACAAACGATGTTTACTATAAGAGCCAGCTGAACGTCTATGCCTTTAATGTCCACATTCTATTTACAGCAAAAAGTGTGTTTTACATTTACCCGGAAACAATTGGCAAAAAGGGAAGCGACGATGTATGCTCAATGCTGAATGACTTTCTTTGGAATTTTCTCGATATACAAGTAAGATCGCTTGAAATATTCTGCGACTCGTGTGGGGGACAAAATAAAAATTACACCATGTTTCGTTTTTTGCATTATATTGTCCACAATACATGTAGACTTGATTATGTTAAAGTTACGTTCCCTATTCGTGGCCATGGAACCGGATAAAAATATGGGCTTAATAAACTCCAAACAACGAGCTGAGATTCCTTTAGATTGGGTTGAAATTTTTAGAAGTGCTCGTGCAAAACCATCGCCCTTTGACGTTGTGGAAATAGATCAATCCTACTTTTGAGCATGGACGAATTTTTTTAATACGAAAACAGATTATTTGAAGAAATGTCCTTTCAGTTCCCGTCCAATTCGAGAATTAGAAATACATCAACCTGATAACCTGCCTAAGAATTAAAATTATTTCATATTAATAACTTTTGTCTACTTGTCATTTTAACTTGTTTTTTTTTTGGACTTGGCCCCTTTAGGCCAATAATGTTTGGTGGTTTGACCAATTAAAGCTTCTGTTCTATTTTTTATAATATCAATATAAATTTAATTTCTTCTGTGTGTTTCATTAATTACTTAAGTAACTGATCTAATCAATAGAGGTCATGATTACCATCAATAATTTATCAATAACTGGTTTTAAAATTTAAACTTTGTTTTGTACGAAATAAACATTTGGTGACTTAGCTCTTTATGGACCTGTACCCTTCAAATGTTAAAACTTGTACATACACTAGGGATAACAAAAACTTCCTTAAGCATACCACTATTTTATTATTTGAAATTAAATACAAATGTAAGTAAATATGTAAATGAAAAAAAAACTACAATGAATAGTCTACTACTTCTTTTGTTTGTCTTCAGACTTTTCATCCTTTTTCTTATCTTTGAGACTTCCCACTGCTTGGCGGATTGCTTCAGATTGGGGATCTACACCAGGAAGGTTCTCTAGGACACTCTGAAGGAAAGCTGGGTCATTCATCACTTCTGAATAGTCTTCATCTCCTTCAACTTCCATAGGCTCCAACTAAAATCATTACACATTATGTATATGTAGAAGTCATACTGTGTTTGACCTTGAACTAACCGTCTAGAAATATTTAATTTTAAATTACTTTACCTTGGAGGCTGAAGCACCAGCAGAGTTTTCCTGGGCATCCTGCATGGACATTTGCATAGCAAAAGCAATCTGTTCTTCTTCAGTCATGTTCGCAAAATCAACAGGAGCTCTAGCTACTGTTACATTTTGTTCATCCCCTTGTTCCATTGACATAGCCAGAGCTCTTTCCAATAAAGCTTCCTCACTAGGTTCTTCTTTTAGAGCTGCATTTCCCTGTAAAATAAGTTTTTTGTTTATTTGTTGAAAGTATAAAGAATATAGTGTAGATGATAATTTTATAAATCTTTTCCTCAACTGACAATGTACAAAAATATTTACTATACTTTAGTATTACTATAACCTTTACATATAAGAATTTGATTACCTCAGTTTTTGGTCCAGATTCAGTATTAGAGGCATCTTTAGCTCTTCTAGCTTCATCTTCTTGTCTCTGGCGTTGTTCTTCCATAGACACACGAAGAGCCAAAGCCAATTCTGGATCTTCATTAGGATCGACCCCAAATTCAAACCCTGATCCTCCCAAACCAGTTGCACCTGTACCATCTTCACCTTGTATAATTGGAGAAGAAATCAAAGCATCAGATAGATGAGGACCTGGGGGAACTGTAACTAAATGGCTGCTAGTGCCATCTTTACCATTTAGGGTATTAACAAATGTTGTCAAAACCTGAAAGATTGTGAACACGATTAAATAAACGTTAAAAGCTATTTCACAATATCACTTTACCTCTGAATTGATTGAGTCTTCCCCAAAACTGATAAGATCTACATTAACCTTTTCTTTCTTTAGCTTCTTTGCTAATTTAACTAACTCTTTTTCTTCGCTAGCTACAGGACTTCCGACAAAAGCTACAATGCGCATTTTGTGATTCTTTCCTTGACGATGTTTTAGAGCTAGGTGAGCTATTCTGATACCAGTATGTAAGTTTATTTCCCCGTTTGGTTGAACTTGATGTAATTTAGATAAAATACGACCCACATCACTGGTCAGTGTTGCTAGGACTTCTACCTTTGCCAACGTTAACAAACCAACATTATTCTCTGGATTTGATCTTGTTTTAGAATGACATACTAAATTTACTGCATCTTGTTGAGCTTGGAGTCTACTGGGTAGGAAATCTCCATTCCTCATGTAGTCGCTATTATCGACACAAATCATAGTACTTTCTAACACCATTTTTACTGTTCTCAGAGCTGCTTCATACAAAAATATTCGACAAAATCTTTTCTAATTTTCTATTGATATTAAATGACTAGCACTTTCAACACAACTAACTGACAGTTCGACAGTTGTCAAAATTAAAGCTGCTTCTTTTTTAAAATGATAAATTTTCCTATAAATTTAAGCCTGCATTAGAAAATGGTTGAGTTAATTTAAATAGTAGATGTTTACTATAGTTTTTGTACCTTGACTGGTTTATCAAACTGTGAAGTATTACGTAAAATATATATAACTGCTAAAATAAGCGTTTTGTGGCTGAATACATCCGTACAGACTTGTACAAACATAAAGAGAACTGAATACCACACTGAATGCAAAACAGAAAACATTAACCACAGCACACTCACAACTAGCAGTGCCAGTCCTGTATTAAAAACTAAAACGCCAATTGGTACATTGCCTAGTGCCAGGGTGCGTAACTATATATACATGACGGTAATTTCAAAAGGTACGTAAAATTACCTATACTTCATCTAAATTACATACCAATGCACGTCATTATCTACGTCAGGGATCGAAGTTGACATAGTTGCCAAAGTATAAAAAAATCCTGACTCCATTTTAAATAAAATAGATCACATAATTATTGCAAAAGTATTACCATCTCTTTACAACGACTATTTAAATTATTACGTGACATTTTTTAAATAAAACACCCTAATTTTGTTCTAAAAAGAACAGAGTTTATTAAATAGGTAAAAATATAAAACAAGAGGTATTCACTTTAAAATTCAAAATAATAAAGTGTCAACACCGCAACTGTCAAATAAGTGTTACCAATTTATGCCAAAATTTCACCTTCGTTTGGTTACAATTACAGTGTGTTCCGAACAAATGTTCTTCATAAAAATGCTTTATAATGCATTTATACAAATTAAATGAAACATATTATTGTGTATTTCTTTAAGTTAACATTAATGGGAAAATTTTTAAATATTATTTCTACGCGTATATAATAAAATATGTCTAGTGGCTGTAATGCCAGTGTACTCGGCAAAGTGATTCTAAACAAGAACACACCTACCGCCTAAATATTTCGTGTTGGTATCATGTGACGTCACGGGCTCTAACGCCGATGACGTGCATCGGTATGTAAATTAGATGAAGTGTAGGATTGTAAACTCATTTTAAAGGAAGGGAAAATCAATATAGACATAAGCATTGATTATAAACCACTACCCAGTAGTGGTTTATAATCAATGACATAAGTCAATAATAAAGAATCAGGATTAGATATACTAAAAAGAGGATCGTGAAAGAAGAAAACGTGAAACTTCTATAAAAACGTCTAGAAAAAAAAAGATACTGAAAACAATCTTAAATCATGGATTACAGAACTTGAGACAAGGCAAAACATATTTTTAAAATTCAGTAATGTAATCAGATGTTCTTAAGGAAAAACAACTAATTCTGATGTATAAACCTTTAGTAGAATCTCTTTTTCAGCATGGTTTACTTGTGTGGAGGAATTTACAATAATGTATTATACCTATACAATTACTCAAAATAATTTAAAAAAGTAAATTATATTCAACCCATTTTTAATATAGTATATTTGTTTGATTTTTTCACATATATACACAAAAAATAATCTACTTCTAATATATTAATTAAGAAGTAGTGCTGTACTACTACATATATTCTGTAACAGCCTAGTATCTCCCACATTTTTTAACGATTCGATTGAATGAAATAAATAGTCATTAATAGTTTCAAAGCATTTTTTGGAATATACATAGATTATTATATTTTCAATCTTGCTGCTTTTGAGTTCATTTCAACCAGAAAAGAGAATGAATTTAAATGTAGTATTCTTAGTGACGTCATTTACTACGATTTGACGATTTATGTCAAATTACCAGACAACCTTGCCTATATACTAACCTTGACTTTAAAGTGACAACGAACAACTCTAAAGGTCGATTCAGACACATCAGTCACGTCTCGTCACCATCTCGTCACAGTGATTGCGCCGAATCGAACAATCCGTCATATAAAATATTCTTTAATACAAATATGGCGCCGGCATTCACACTCATCAGTTGACAAACAGTTTGCCAGCTGTCAGATAGTTGATAGTTCTGTGACCAAACAGGACCGGTTCGGTGCCGTGACGATGACGTGACTGATGTGTCTGAATCAACCTTTAGGAACATGGATTTTTACCTCCATGCGCAGGAACGAGTCTAGTAGTGTAACATACGGAAGGGTGCAGAAATAAAAACGTGCGTAAGCCTTGGCTATCCTTGGTACCAATCTACTAGGTTTAATGTATCTGTGATCTGTGTCAAAGACAATTGGTGTAACGTGTAAATCATAGAGAAATAAAAAAGTGGTCTTTGACACAGACACCACACAGACACAGATCACCTACGGTCTGTGGTGCTGTGTTGCCAATGTCCGGATAATTATCCGATTTTCGGATAATTTCGTGGACCATCGGATAATTTTCGGATTGAACAATTTTTTGGATAATTTCGGATAATTCATGGGTCTATCGACTTTTTATTTTTAAATATAATTTAAATTTTTATAAGCTTAAATAGCTAAATTTGCGAATGTACATAGAACTCCAAATTCTATTCTTATATAATCCAAGATGATGGAACCTATGAATTATTTCAGCGCCCTCTGTTGATAAATAGTATAGTTTTGGTTGACTGTTTTACTGTACAAGTTTTACTGTACAAAAATCCAGGGATCTTTGAAATTGACAAAACAAAAATTATTTCAATCCAAGTCTAAAAGGTCGAAGTAGTCATGTAATTCCCCTGTGGCACTTTCTCTATACTTTTGCCGATTATGTATGTAAACAATAAGTATTTTTAATATAGGTTTAAAGAGTTAATAATTTGTTAATTTGCTGTATTTATGTATTATTTGTTGTTTTTTATTTAAATAAATATATTTCTATCAAACTAAACTTGTTTTCTTGCCATCATTTGTCATATTAATTGTCATCTGTCAATGTGTCACTGTCAACTGTCAATGTCAATTATTCCATTTAATTAGTCTTCTTTTTCGATTTTTATGAATTCGGATAATTTCGGATATTTGGTTTCTAACATTCGGATAATTTCGGATATTTTGCTCCCAACATTCGGATAATTTCTAGTTTTGCGTTGGCAACACTGCTGTGGTGTAACATTAACCTAAGTTTTAATGTCAAATATTCACGTGTGATTTGTTTTATGTTTTTCAATTGCAATTGTGTATTTTGGATTAATTTTTAAATAAAATGGGTAAAAAGAAGCGTGGTCGTTCAGTTAAAAAGAATTTAAACCAGAATATTGAGTCCAATGATATTGTTCAAGCGCCACATTCATTTGTTATCCATAGAGGAATTTCAGGAGGCAATACTTTAGAATTAACTAAAGACTTTAGAAAAGTTATGGAACCTTTTACAGCCTCTTCTCTAAAGGTGAGTTAAAATATGACTTTATAATCGTATAATTCAAACAAGGCTTACAATTTATTTTAGGAGAGGAAGAAAAATACTATTAAAGATTTTGTATCTATAGCTGGCCCCTTGCATGTATCACATTTGTCAATATTTTCTAGAACAGAGCTAGGAATGTATCTAAAAATTATGAGGCTTCCAAGAGGACCAACATTAACTTTTAAAATCCACAATTATTCATTAGCAAGAGATGTAGTATCATCTTTAAAGAAACAAAGAGTGGTCGAAGGTGCTTTCAAACACTCTCCCCTAATAGTTTTAAATAGTTTCAGTGGTGAAGGCCTGCAACTTAAGCTAATGGCTTCAATGTTCCAGAACATGTTTCCTACTATAAACTTGACTAATGTGGATTTGAATACAGTGAAGAGATGTGTTTTGATGAATTATAATCCTACTACAAAATTAATAGATTTTAGGCACTACAGCATTAAGGTAGCTCCTGTTGGTATTTCTAGGGGTGTCAAGAAAGTCGTGCAGGGTAAAATACCTAACTTGTCTAGGTGTAATGATATTACAGAGTTTTTTACCAAGTAAGTACACATAATGGATACCACAACATATTTATACTAGCTTGTGATTAGTATTCTTAGGTTAGATTTTTGTTTTTCTCTATTGCTATCATTTTTTAGACCATTCTGAACTTTTCTACTATATGTAGCTCATACTGTTCCCAATTTTTCATTTATCTAGTTATATTCTTGTCGGTATATATTGTTTTTCTGTTGCTAAGCTAAGTTTAAGTATAGTTCTTAGCACATATTTTACAAACATTATCTGTCCTTTTTTTCACCTCCAACTTTGGTTGTTAAGGATAAAATTGATGCTTATTTGCTTTTTTCTCTAATGTGTTTGTATTATTTTATTGAATTATTAAAAGTTCTTATCAATGTTCTTCTCTTTTTTCAACAATTTAATTTATAGGGCTGGTATGATGTCAGAAAGTGAAGCAGAAGAAGATCCACAAAACCATGTGATACTGGCACAAAAATTAGCATCTAGAGGAAATGTAGAGTCTGGAAAATCTGCTATAAGACTAAGTGAATTAGGCCCAAGGTTGACATTGCAACTTATTAAGATTGAAGATGGTCTTCTTGATGGTGAAGTCTTGTATCATGAATTGGTACACAAAACTGAAGAAGAGAAGGAAGAAATACAAAAGAAAAGAGAACAAAAAAGGTCAGTAGCTCAATTACAACAATAATGGAGGTAAAAAAAGTTTTCGATTTTTTCTAGGAAATTAAAAGAGAAGAGGAAAAAGGTGCAAGAAGCCAACAAAAAGGCCAAAGATGATGCTAAACAGAAATTAAAAGAAAATTCCATGAAGGGTATACTAAAGAATAAAGAAAATGAGGAATCTAAGGATGCTGAAGATGAAATAGACAAAGATGATGATACTCAGTACTACAAAGAAGATGTTGGAGAAGCACCTGATGCAGGTAAGTCAGACTAAAATTAAACTAAACTGTTCCCCTGTAAGTTTTCCCTAAACTCATCCTACTGCTTCTAAGAATGTTTTATAATTTAAGGAAACAATTTGCCAAGATCATTTTTATTTTTAGATTTGTTCACTTCGAAACCTGGAGGAAAAAGGAAGTTTGAACCATTGCATTACAAAAATAAAAAGAGAAAATTGGATGAATCTGATAATCCTCAGCATAAAAATAATGAGAAAGGTTTCAAGGACAAAAGGAAAAGTTCAAAACCAAGTTTCCAAGTTAAGAATAAATTCTCGAAAGGATCATTTAAGGATAAAAAGGGGGACAAACAGCCATTTAAAAGAAAAAATAAATTTAAAAACCAGGATAAAACAAATTCACGGAATAGGGATCAAAGGCCAATAGGAGGAAATTTTGCAAATAAGAATAAAAAGAATTTTAAGTCAAAAAACAAACGATAAGTATAGAAAATTCAATAAAACAATAATATATTAACAGTTTTTCTTTGACTTCTACTTTTCTTTTCCTACCGTGTCCTTGCAAGTTTCCAATTAATTAATAAAGGGAATACATGGAATAGGGATTCAACATGTCAATAGGAAGAAATTTTGTAAATATGGACAAGATTTTTATATAAAAAACAAATAAAAAGTATAAAAAAATTTAATAAAACAACACATTAACCACCTTTCTTTGCCCCTTCATATTTCTTTCTATCTTCCTCCCTTATTTTAGCTTCCTTTGTCCTCCGTTCTTTTCTAGTCTCTTCTCTAGCAACATAATATTTTTCCCTAAAATCAGTAATATCGTGGTCGTATGTTTCCAATTCTTCCTGAGATGGATCTTTAATTTTCTCAAAGGTTAATAATCTCCTAGAGGTGACCTTTGTTAGAACCTGTTCACAATTTGCTACTAATTTAAAGCAAGGATGCGAGGGTAGACATTTTTCATCATAGTCTTCCCTAAAATAGTGACGTTTTTATAGGTGACATTAATTTTGGTATCTTAAATCATACTATTCTTTGTTTCAAGTTAAGAAAATAACATTACGCTTATGGAGATCAGTGTTGCCAAAACTCTCAGACACTCTCTTTTGCACGGATGTTCAAGATATTCCCTTTGCTTAATTTTTGAATTTTCATTTTCAATTAACATTTAACTGTAAAGTCAAAATAACTACTAAATAATAGCCTTATTATCATTATGTAGTCAGAGAACGACATAAAATAGCTGACATACGCACATCGTATTATTTTAAGTTGCAATTAGTAATTAGATATACGCATTCCAAGCGGTCAATATTTTCTACTGATTTCTATGATTCATGGCATATCGTATTCTCACCGAAAAACAAATAAACTGTCGTTACTATAATTAAAATAAGATAAAATAAAATTATCTTTTGTAAATATTATTTATCTAATTAAAATAATTTTCCCTACTTTTCATCTCTTGTTTCGAATGGGCACTTTTGGTCAATTACGTTAAAAAACATGAATTAAATGTTTGTGGAAACGAAAATACAAATGATACAACTCTAAATTGTGCTTGTGTGTGTCGTGGCAACGCCGCGTTGCTATCGTCCATAAGAAATACATGGCTCTATCTCCGCAATGTTATTTTCTAAACGTGGAACGTAGTATAGAGCCACAATAAATAATTATACTTGACTATTTTCTTATTTAGTTTTAATATTACATTATTTTCAAAATCTTATCTAATAACACATTTGTAAATAGGCTATTTATTCAAAACTGACTAAAATATTGTTTGGATTACATTCAATGAATTCAAAATAAATTTGTATAAGTCATTTTCCTTGATAATCTGTTAAATATTCTTTAACTTGAATAAAGTTCTATATATCTTCTTTTCCAAAGACTTCCTTGGTCATTAATTCTATTTAGGTTTTCATCAAGTATGTATACTGTTTTGTTCTAGAATAATATTGAATTTATTTAAGGATATATTTCTTTGTTTGCCATAAATATGGTACAAATAGTTCAACCAAATCAGAATTTGATGTTATATCAAAAAGTAACTCTTCAAATAATTACCACATCTTATTCAAGCAAAAATAAATTTAATCTATGAGACTTTACCTTTTTTTTGATAGATAAACTGAGTATATAAATTTTTTTTGAATTCTATTACTCAAATAAGATGGATGTAATTTCAAGTCCTTTGGTATGATATAATGGTAGGCCCATACTGGTTTCTTAATATTGTTTTAAAGCAATTTTCTTGTGGCATCATGTTAACTTATCTATAAACTTATAAAACACCTGTATTTACCTGAAGACTGGAAACCAACATACAACACATCCTCCAATCTTTAAATGCTTAGCTGAAAACAACAATATATCTTTATATATATTAGAAATGCCATAATCGATTTTCGCTGGAATGTGTGTTGGTAAATGCTCTTCTTTTATTTTGTAATTTTCTCTAGTGGTTCCTATTCTTTCAGTGGATTCTCTAATTCCATAAGGTGCTAAAAGAAAGTTAATATTAAGGCATTGGTCTTCGTACTTACAGATAGTGTTTAGGGCATTTAGGTATCTTTCTTTCAAAGGCGATCAGATGGTTCATATATCAGTTACAAAATAGATGCACCAAACATTCACATCCTGATTCAGACTAACTGATAGTCCAAGACCAATATAAAAGGCTATACATGACAAGCAAACTCAGTAGAAAACAGTTAGTGAAATGTCTGGAAGAAATAAGCTAAAACCACCAGTCATGGAAGCCTAAATTCCTTGAATATACATTTTGGACATGTATACTTACGATCAGTTAAAATGGCGTCGAACTTAAAGTTGTTTTTCCAGAAGGACATGGAAAAATCATTGACCATTACATCTAAATATCTGTGCTGTAAGTTATACTGCTCCATGTTGGCCCTTATGCTTTCATCTTTTGCTCTAGACTAAAAAACATATTTAGATGTTTCCAAACAAGATGAATAAGTTTTAATAAAATATTTTGACAAGATGTAAATAAAAAAAACATTTAAACTTCCATTTAAGGCATAACAACTTTATGTACAAGTATTTTCTGATTTTAATTGTTAAATATGGTTCATACATGTGAAAACACCACATTGCTTATTACACCCTCAGTACATATTGATTTTGATGACAATGTATTCTGTAGCATTATAAATACAAGGCCATTTAGAAAACAAGAACTGTGAAAAGTATAGAAAAATATAACTTACCTTCTGAGATATTCTGGAAGGCCTTGTCCTTGCATGAAGCATTAAGTAATCAATGTCTGTACCAAGAACATAACCACCAAACTGAGCAGCTGCTACTAAAAGAGAGCCAGATCCCACAAACGGATCTAATACAATATCCCCTTCTTTTATTTTTGCTTGATTCGCCATCAACAGGGACAGTTGAGCATCCATACTTGTATTTCCAATGAATTTTCTCGTTTTGAGTGATAATTTTTTGATTAACTGACGCAATCCATTGGCTATCTAGAAATAAAAGAAGTTTTGGCAAATTACAAACCCCACATTGTTGATGACCCGAGATGTTAGTTGTACTTACCCATTTTCCAAAAAATACATCATACGGTAATTCTGGGGGATCGTTGGCTCTGATGCCATAATATTCAATATATTGTAATGTTGTATCAGGATTCTTCAAATTAACTGATCCTAAAACAGGTAAGTAGCTAAAAGCCTAAAAAATATGAACTATAAGTAAAAAACTCATCAGTAAGTACACTACATTAGTATAGAAAGAGAGTGAGAGAGAAAGGGAAGTTATTGTTTTTAAAATGAGTTTACATTTATAAAACACAACATGGTATAGTACAAACAAGGCACAAGATACATTAAAATACCAATTAAAAAATTTCCATAATTAAAAAAAATATATCAATTAGCGCAACTGTCCTCAAAAAAATCCTATATACTATAGTATCAATTAGATAATAAAACTTCATGATTGCTCCTTGGAATACAAAAATATTGCTTGAGGATCTTATATCGAGTGGTAAGTGATTAAACACTTTCTTACCAGTGTAAATAAATGATTTTTAGTTAGTTATATATAGTTAGTGATATAAGGGGAAATTGTCTGAATATCCTTTGTTTTTTAAAAATTAAGCACGCTAATTCAAGGACATACATGCAAGGAAGTGTCAAGATGACATGTTTCCTGAACAGAGGTCTGCATGATTTACCAAACTTGGCCTTGCATAAATATCTGAGTGCTCTCTTTTGTAGCATAAAATTTCTACTGAAATGATGAAGAGAACAGCTACCCCAGAAGGCAATACTGTATCTCAAATTAGATTCAATCAGGGCCACATAAACATTTTTTGCAATCTCGAAATCTAAATGGTGAGCAACTGATTTGACTGCAAAGCAACCTGATGATATCTTTTTGCTTAAATATACAGTGTGTTGCTCAAATTTAAGTTTATTATCAATATAGAGACACAAAAATTTGTTTACAGTGTTTTTGAAAAATTAAATTTCAAATGATTAGCACCACTCTACAATTTTTAGCATATCACTACTAATAATCTTGTTCAATACCATAGAGTCCTTGTTTTGTCATAAAATTGTGGTGTTATTTGCTTATATAGTAAACCAGCCATTGAGGTACTTCACAATTAATAAAGGTATTGCTAGAGTAGTGGTCATTGATTGATACAGACTAAGATCTGTCTTCTAAGTATGAACTGAACCACTTTAAAGCAGTGCCTCTAAAACCATATCTTTCCAGTTTATTAAGAAGTATTTTGTGATTGACAGTCAAAGACTTTAGATAGATCACAGAAAACTGTGGCAGCAACATGATCATTATTTAAGTCCAAATCGAGTATAGTTTATAAGTAAATCTAACGAATTATTAACAAGTACACATTTAAAACACTTGCAACACTTAAATTGTTTTGATCTACGGCCATCAAAATAGATGATAATATCCCAATGTAGTTTCTTTCTATATATTGTGTGGGAGTCAACAAACAAAAGAAGGAAGTTTAGTCAATGACAGAATAAATAATATTGCTAAGACTAATGTTTATTTTTAGGAGGTTCTATCACTTAAATTAACCAGAATTACATACCTCTAATTTCTCAACTTTTTCCTTTTGTGTAAAATGTCTACAAAATGTCTCTACTTCGATCTTGAAAGACTTGTTAGGGTTAAAATGTGATTGGAGCAAATTATGGGGGTATTTTTTCATCTTATTGTGTAGTTCTGGAACTGTATTAGCATGTGCCCACAATTCCAAGCAATTCCTTAAAGATACAGACCTACTGGCCAATAGTTTTACATCCTCTTCTGAGTTAAATTCAACAATCCAATATGGTTCCTAAAAAAATATATACAGGGTGTTTCTTTAATATGTATAAAAGTTTTAACAAATGTCAAAATATGATGATTTTGCCTACATCACAAATAAAATATTGCTTCTTAATGAATCACGGAGTTTTAATTGTAGGAGTTGACAAATATGCAAATCTCCACTACTATTTAATTTGTACTCGTGAGTATATTTTCAATGAAGCATTAATCAGCATGTAATATTTCTGTTTTTTGAATTAGAGTAAGTATTTACTTACTATATCTTTTGGTTGTTGAACAAATTTCATTTCTATATTAAAAAGTGAAAGCAGCGAGTTGATTTCCTGAAAAAATAAATTAGGATAACTTACAAAATTTAACATTAATTAATTAATTTACCGAAAAACGAAATTCTGTGTGTTCTTGTGCAAACCACAACAGATATGTTTTCCACTTGCTCATGCTGACAAATTGTTTAAATTCTTTCCAATGATCGTTAAACTTTTAAATTCTTCCTATATAAAATCAACTTTCAGAAAAGAAAAAATTATAGGAATATTTTATTACAATTAGCAAAAACATTTTAATGGAATTAAAAAAGTTAGGTTATTTTTTTAAATTTGGTCTTGATCGTCTTGTATTCAGCAACCAGCACAATTTTTTTCGTGAATAAACGAATTTTTCAAACTATAAATTCCATATCCAATGTACAAAGTATAGTCTATATAGTACAAAAACTAAAGTCAACTTACTCTTTATAAATTGTCTATCTTGGTAGCAACAAAAATATATCCAGGCTTTCAGTATTCTCTAGATGAAATGCTTTTACAGGGATCTTTCAAATTTAATCTTTAATTTAACCATATTTTCTGTCTTGCGTTTCTTTTATAATTGAACAACAAAATGTACCATAAAGTCATTAGACCAAGAGAACTGCCCACGAGATCACTCTGATAAAAGGGTAACTGCACATTTTCACAAATACAGGAGCTTAATACATCATTAAATGATTCCTTTTATATTAGATGAAGATCATGGGTATACAAAAATAAAAAATACATAAACTAAACAAATTGTTTTTAATGTTTGCCCTTATATAAAAACACTTATTTTTGTAGACAATTATCATCAACAATCTCTTTTTACAGTGGATCTTGCAAGTAGCATTGCACAATTATATGCTTATCCATTTATACTATCACAGAACTGTGATCATCTACAATTTAAACAGTCCAAATATAATAAATATCACTGCAGCTACTTCATTGATTCTATCCTTTTTCTATGTTCTTTTTTTAAGTCTTCTATCATGTTAATGGTCTCATTATTTTCCTTATAAAGTACAGATTTGGCACCTTCTACATCTCCTAACCAGTTTTCTCTAAAAATTATAAAGTAATGAAATAAATAACTTCATAAAATTTTGAGTTTTTTACCTAGTAAAGAAACCTATGCCTATCATACTTAATAAGCCTCCAAATATAAGTGGAAATCTCAATAGAGTAGTTTTAGATGGCTTCATTATTGGATTTTGATATTGTCTATTTAATTTATTATTTTTATAATAAAGTAAATTTTAAAAAACAGCCAAACATAACCTTATTCTTCTTCTTTTGTTTTCTTTGTTGCCTATGTCCTAATTCAGGAGCGCCTAAAAGGAGGACTTCGCAGATCGTGCCGTGACGTCACCAATCAGTTAGTAAACTTAAATTACTAGCGTCTAGAGCCTGACTAGGAACCGTGAGCCTGACCCACTATTCGGTGCAGATATGCGCAGTTTATTTGTATCCATTTCTGAATGTGTCAATGCGCTTTATGTGTATTGTTGGTTGCGAACATTTTTTTATAAATTAATAATATAATTACTTCAATTCATCTCTTTAACCCGTTTGATAAATTTAATAATGGTTAAATTATAAGAATAACTCTAAAATAAATAGTAAATAATAGCAAATCAAAATTAAAGGTTTTTTAAAATATTTAAAAAAAAAACTTTTTGCGCATTTTTTCCAATAAAAATTTGTTATTTTATATACAGGATGTTGACTGATGTTATATATATATCAATTACTATGATACCAACTTTAATATTTTAAATGAAACATTGGTTACATTATAAAATTTTTGGATTCTGCACAAAATTCCCAGAACTTTGATATATTGCATGTAATAGTTTTAATTAACTTATTTTAGGATACAGGGTGGTTAATGAATAGATGTCACCACAAACACTTGATTTTTGGTATACCGTTTAGTGATGTAACGAATGTCATTTTTTAAACATTCGCGAATGCGAATGCGAATGCGAATATATACCACCGACATTCGCGAATGCGAATGCGAATATTCAGTTTTTTTTTTAATTTGGCAATTTTAATTGTCTCCGGCACTGCCGGCAGTCTCATTTGCGCGAGGTGCTTAAGCAATTGGAAAAAGTCTGTCATTTTTAACTGCTTTAAATTGTCCAGTATCATTCTATCATATTTGCTAAAGTAAAGATGTGAAACAGTTGTATTTATTGTAAAGAAGTTTATTGTAGGCGGTTAAGTTTATTGAGGGGTCGTTTAAAAAGGTATTTATTTATAGTCACGCCCGGGCCAAAAAAAGCACGTTTTTCGATCCTATTTTCTCTTGTTATAATCAAATTTGACTTGTTATAGAGAGAAAGTTATAGCAGAGAACTAAGTTCTCTGGTTATAGGTCCAATAAAAATTTCACGGGACACAAGTCACTCCACTTGCCCTGCTCTGCTCGTGCACAAATACAAGTGAATTTTTAGTTAAAGTGTGATTAGCGATTTATTACTATGAGTAAATCAAATTATAGTGAAATATAGACTTATTTTTTACCACTTTTCGATACTGAACGAGCTAAATGCAAGCTGTGTAATATTCGCAAAACATTCGCACAAATTTAGCGAATGCGAATGCAAATGCGAATATGCAAAAATATGCGAATATTCGCGAATGCGAATATTCGTTACATCACTATACCGTATAACCTAAGAAATTATTTTTTGACTGTCAATTCGTTGGTATTTTAATTGTAGATTTCTTTCTTCAAAAATAAAAGAAAATGGGAGTGTTTTGTCTTGAGTGTAATAAGGTGTTTCAGACCCAATCAAGTCTTAATCTTTTATTAACAACTCTGTACAATATATTTGCTGATCACGGTTGGTTTACTTAATCCAAACCCGTTAAAAAGTCTTCATTATACCAATTACAATTGTCGATCCTCTCTCAAATATTATACCCATCGAGCAAAAAGACAAAAGAGGGAATGTAAAGGTAGTGGGGGCAAACATATTGCATAGATAAAATTTATAGATTGGTAACAGGGATAGGCAATGTCAAATCACGTTCGGATTTAGGCGCCCATTCGTTTGGTGGCGCTGCTAGTCTCGTTTCTACGCGTAGGGAGTGTGCTGTGGTCAAATCAAAAGACAAATACGGCGCCATATTTTTATTTGTTTTATTTTTTATAATTTATTTTATAGTTTAAATTTTTTTATATAAGTAGTGCAAAAAGGTAAAATTTTAGACGATTTTTTATTATGGAATCGTAGACATTACATGGAATAACAATATAGTGACGAAGAACTGAACAAAAAAGATGTATTCCAGATTGCATGGATACTAGGCAAGCACACTACCGCTGGCAAGTAATACCGTTTTTCAAGTCCAGGAGATTATAATATGGATATGTTTGATAAATGGGTGAATGCTGTTAAAAGCCCTAATTAGAGAATGCTGCAACAGAAACTATTTATAACAATTTTCGTGTATGCGCTAGTCATTTTAAAGAGGATGATATAATTAATGTTGGACATACCGGTATTACGAGAACAGCCCTTCTGAGTTTGTTTTTACCAGCACCAGGTAAGAACTATTATGCCAATATATGTATGTATGTGACCTTTTACTTATAAAATTAGTTAATTATAAATTTAACCTAATTATAAAATCAGACTTACTTGCTTACTATTTGAATTATTTTGTAGGTGGTGGTTCAACAACTATCTTAAAAAATCATCACCTTAGAGAGGGTTCGACATAATTTCTACAGGTGTGCCTGTTTCAAAGTTGGATTAGATTAGCAGACCATGACTACACTATCATATGGAGAGGTCCATGAGCTTGCCGTTAAGTGCGAGGAGGGATCTGTCTCTCTCTTGTGAGTGAGATTGGTCTTAGAGTACCATATATTATCATGGTTTGTCTCATCTATGTACTTTTAATCAAAAGAACAACCTAAATCTAAATGTATTTAATATGTCTCTCAATAAATATATAAATATTAGTAGAAAAGAGTTACTGGTAAGATAGAGTTTGGAAACGTAACTTTGTAAAATACTTCATATTATTATTGTAACTAGGTAATACTTTACATATTTTTTTATTTTTAATGTTATTTTTCCATCTTTATAGTGCTGGATCTTAGAATCTTAGAGCTAACTGTTGGGTTTATAGGTTTAAATATGACTAAAATATTAACATATAAATGTATATAAAGTTCTTTCTAGAACTAAATCATTTAATTTTTCTGTTTCCAACTTAGCAGAGTTCTTGAGTTCTGTTTTTCTGTGAGTAGAACGCCAGACAGTAAGAGTTCTCACTGACCACTGGTAGTGTGTGTTATTAGATTAGGATGTAAGTACTACAAAGAACTCAGAATGTCTGACAGCTGTCTGTTGCTTATTAGGCTTTAATTTGACATTAGAATTCCAAAAAAATTATTTAATTACTGACAAGTTCTTGTCACAAGATTTAGAACACTAAATTATACTACATTTACCCTTCCCTATTTGTGAACAAAATATTGCAACTATCTTGGTTTATTTTTAGCTCCAGCTGATTTACAGCTAGATTGAAAATCTGAATTTTCCAATCTTGGTTCATAATTATCATCAGGTTTTTGAACAGGTAAATTTTCTGTCACATTTGGCATTGATTTAGTAGTGGAATTCTCTAATGTGTTATTTGGACTTCATCTTCATCATTATCGTGATTCAATAATATAACAATTCAATAGTAAACTTCTTATATAGTACAGAGCTCCTGGTAAAGCAGTTTTTCATTTAGTGATGTCTAAATATTTGGTTTTCAATGCTAGATTCACCAATTTCTATATAACTCATTGTATCTTTCAACTTAACCATTTCCTTCATGGTTATATGGTGTTGTTCTACTTGAAATATTCCTTTAGAGTGGAGATAATTAATAAATTCTTGTGAAGTAAAGCTAGTTCTCCTTGTCAGATTTTATATATGCCAGCATTCTATATAAACAAAATAGTGATTTAAATCTGTGATTGGTTTGACTTGCTTTCCTACCAGATAATGTCTGCATTTTTTTAATACTTCAATGCATTTGCATGTTTTCATTCTGAATCTGTGAGAGTATGTGTGAAAAAAGCAATTGGTTTTCCCCATTGATTGCTTCGCTTATGTAATTATAGACTAAATTTATTACAAGCATGTACTTATTTTGTCTTCTAGGGATTTATCTTTAGATTCATTGCTTTCTAAAAATATCTTGAATGTTATATACCAATGTTTGAATTCTTTGCAAATTTTGAGAATAAAATTGTAGTAAAAGGCCTTTTGCAGAATTAGGCTTCTATTTACATAAAACTTGACATACTAAGACAAAACAATTATTTAAATACTGACCAGTTCTTGCCACAACATTAAGAAAACTAAATTATAGTACACTTGGCTTGTATTATTAATATTTCTTGTAACACATATAACATTTCTTGTAATATTTTTATAAATAAAGATTTAATTCTATATTTTATTCTTTAATTTTTTGACCACTTTGGCATTTTAATGTAATGTAAAATAAATATAGTCTCAACATAACAAGAAAACCCAAAAAGTATACGAAAAATATTTATTATCGTATAGGATAAGGATTTTTCTTGTTATTTTAAGATTATATCGATTTTCCTTTACTTTAAAATGAGTTCACAATCCTAGGTAATATTACAAAAATTTTGAATTTCGCGCCATGTATTTATAGTTAGGCGCCCGGTCACTAGGTGATGCGCCAATCACTGTTTTACTCGTCAACACGGAAGTTTCAATGCTAGGTGGTAGTGTGCTATGAACATATTGTTAGACAGGAAGTGCGATCTTTAGAGGCCACATTAAACAAGGAAAGAGAGTCTCTCTCCTTGTTAGACACCAAATTTAGTTGGGTTATGTTAACGTTTTTCCCAAATGTCACATGAAATCTTATTTATATTGAAGTTTGTTAAAAATTGTGTCGCATTTTAGACTATTATCGTTAATAGTTAATTAAAACTTTCTCGTCTAAGACACATTCTGAAAAATTTATAGCTACTGTTGATAAGTGTCGGAAAATTTAAATTTGGCGCATTCGCATTTCCGGATATGTCCGCCATCAGAGGCCATTTTTTTGGTCTCCTTTTCACATCGAAGGATTAGATTCCCTCTTTTGTCTTTTTGCTCGATGATTATACCTTATAGTTATATAAGTTATAACTTATTCCGTACTTTATTTGACAAATAAATATTTGACATTTTATCTATCGGTAAGTTTATTCGGAACTGAAAGGCTACCTTTTTCATCTGCCAGATAAATACTTAATCGGAGGTAAAGAAACTTGTCTTATCATAGCGACGATTTTATTATATTTAATACAACATGATTGGTGACGTCACTCCATGTTCATATCTGTCAAGTGTGACGTCACGGCACAATCTGCGAAGTCCTCCTTTTACGTACTCCTCGTAATTCTCCTTTGGTAAGTATGTAATCACCATCGAGCAAAAAGATAAAAGAGGGAATGTAAAGGTAGTGGGGGCAAACATATTGTTAGACAGGAAGTGCGATCTTTAGAGGCCACATTAAACAAGGAAAGAGAGTCTCTCTCCTTCTTTGACATCAAATTTAGTTGGGTTATGTTATTGTTTGTCCCAAATGTCACATGAAATCTTATTTATATTGAAGTTTTTTAACAATTGTGTTGCATTTTAGACTCTTATTATTAATAATTAATTAAAACTTTCTCGTCTAAGACACATTCTGAAAAATATTATATAGCTTCTGTTAATAAGTGTGGGAAAATTTAAATTTGGCGCATTCGCATTTCCGGATATGTCCGCCATAAGAGGCCACTTTTTTGGTCTCCTTTTCATAAGGATTAGATTCCCTCTTTTGTCTTATTGCTCGATGGTAATCACTGAATTGATATTGATGAATTTTTTGAGGTTAAGTATTTCTTTGGCGGTTCTATTTAAAATCAAGCACACAAAAAATTTCAATCTTAACTTTTTTAATTTCAATTTTTTTATAAATAGAATACCATATTTAATATGGTTTGTTAAAATACCATATTTAATTGCAAAAAGTTATGGATTCATGTACTTCATCTAGTTCAACAAGGTCTGAAATTTGCTCAGTAGCCTGCAATCTTTGCAGCAAAATATTTAAAAATGTGAAATTACGATATCAAAAATTTTTCCAGGAAGTATAATATACACAAAAAACGAGATCAAAATGATATGGTAGCAACGGCATTAAAGGTTTTGGAATAGAATGATGCTTTATTATTCAGGAAAGAAGAAAAAATATTGATACCTACGACAATTATAATTAATCCTATTATGATTTGATTTGTGTAATTTTCATCATCCCTTTATATGTAATATACAATAACATTTTTCAGCATGTAATAAATCTCACACTTTTGAGAAATCAACAACTTTCATCTCTTATATACCTATAGAGTTTCAAGTTATTGTCTTTTTATCAATGGGCTTGAGCATATTAACATATGTATTAAAAACGGCGTAGCTAACGATGATACCAATATGGCGGTGGGATCAGGGCCAGACTAAATAATATTAAAACTACTATACAAATATGACTAGTTATTCAGAAGATTTAATCATAATGTAAAAAAGTGCAATACATTTTTAATAAACTATGATTTATTTATCCCGCGGTAATCACTAAAACACGATATATTATACATAAAGATAAATTAATACAGTCAAATACTATTAATTTATTATCTGAAGTACGGGCCATTACTTTGTTTACATAATTTGTATACTAACCTGTGGAACGATATTCCTGAAGATTTTTTATTAACATTGCTTCTGCTACTGCAATTACGTTGAGAACAAGAAACCATTATTATGCATTATCACAATATATTATTATAGTTTCTATAAAAGTATTATAAAACTAAAAATATTCGAAAAACAACAAATGTAAACAAAAATATACGATCTGTCAAATGTGTCAAAACAATCTTAATAATATGGCCGAAGTGAGGTCGTTTTTAGTCACGTGATGCACTCTTCATAGATTTTAACTCGATGTATTGCAAGGTGTTTGGGAGAAACTTCAATTGTCAAATCGAGGCATGAGGAGGAAATTAATGAGGTTGCCAAAGGGAAGATAGAACATACAAAAATGTGATCCAGGAAGAAACCAAAACGAAGAACATTTCATAGACAAATTAGACAACGAAACTTTTACCAAATTTATGAGAAAATTTCAGGAAAAGGCAAAGAATATAAAAATGAAGAAGCATCAATATTTTCCTTTTAATAAAAAAAGAACTGAATTAAAGATTAAATTTGATTAGCAATTTTTGCAGCTCACAAGTATTTTTTGTTTTGTATCTGTATTGAATTTTTATTATAGATTTTACTGGATTAGTAATGTATTTTGTTATAAGACTAGATTAAGGCCCAAGTATACATACTTTGGTCTAAATTTTAAAGCCATTTTAAGCATGATGTTATATGACACTCAGGAGTAGGCAAACGGCGTTTGACGGTTCTTGTATTTCTACAGAACAAGACCTTGTGGTACGCCACAAGTGAGGGAAGTAGGCAGATTGAGACCCCGAACTTGAAAAAAGGGTGCCAAAACATAGAATTTTAAATTCTCAACGTGGTTCTTCCCGAGAATTTAGTAATTTTCATAGATAAATATATTTTTATATTAAAAGTTGAATTTTTAAATCGAGATGAAAAACACCATCTTTTGCACTCCTTATATAAAGAAAACACGTTGAAATAAAAGTATACAATTGCATTTCTTTTCAGTTAAATAAAGCTCCACCATTGATCTACACGTGTTTCAAAGTATTTACTTCTTGAGCACTTGTAACTTAAATGTTCTATCTGGCCTTTATAGTGATATAATAGTATGCTAGTAGCGACCTCTATATGAAGCAAGAAGAAGTCAGAAGACTTCTATTTGATAGCAAATTAAGTGAACTGCAAATCCAAGTCGACTGGAAGCTAACGGAAGATGCTAAAATTCCTAATCCTCACTAACTGTCGTTTTATTTACCACTTGTACAATTGTTTTATTTGATTCTAAAATACATATACTGACAAGAATCAGTCTTTATAGAGCTATAGTAAAATATTCGAGATACTTTGAGGTAATAACAAAATCAGAAATAGATCATTCATACTGAAAATGTAGATCATTCATCTTGCTGCTTTTGTCCTATATTTTTTTAGTAATTCCTGCTACTATTTCAGACATTTCCGGACAATATCCTTCAAGTTTCTAATGTTTTCTCCAATTTCTTGTTTGCTCGGTGCATCTATTATTATCATATGGCTCTTCGTCGAATTTTGTGTTGCTTTTATTTGTTTTTATTTAATACTAAAGAAAAGAAGCAAAAAAAAACAATTCTCTTTGTAAGCATGACAATGGAACGTTTATAAAAATCACATTTACAAAAAATTATAAACAACGTAATGTAAATACATAATAGATTCGAGGTCCTCTCTTGATCACAGAGTTAACAGCATTCACCAACGTCGTCCTCCTCCTCCTCTACCTCTATTAAAACCACCTCTCGGCGGCCCTTCCCGGTCTCTCCTCTCCTTCCAGGCAGCGTGTTCGTCTGCAAATATCCGCAATTCTTCTGGCACGAACTAAAATGAAAGCTTTATTTATAAATATTTTAAATGCACTGTTCTTTATGTCTAAAGTTTGTATGCCGGTTACATTATGACATATTTGGAAAAATTGGGAAGAAAAACTCGAAGACAGAAAGACAGCTCTCTTTATCGGAGTACATATGCGCCACCTTTCGTAAATGACAAAAAATAGAAATCACTATTTCTAGTGGCATATATACAAGGAAGTGTTTCTTCTATTCTTTTTCGAAAAGTGTACTACTGATGTAAATTAAACTCACCTGTTGTGCTTCTTCTAAAATTTTAATCAATTCTGAAGCGTGTGCCCAATCCCTCCTTGTAAAATAACTTATAGATTCACCATATTTGCCAGCACGACCAGTTCGTCCAATACGGTGGACGTATTCCTCAATATTTTTGGGGATATCGTAGTTCACGACGTGCCTAGAATTGAATAAAAAAATTATATTGGGTGTTTTGTTTTCTGGTCTAGCACTAGTTCTAAAAAACTGTAGAAGTGCTACACTAAGTCGTTCCTTTGCAAGGTGTAGTGCTACACCACTCTGTTAATATATATGATGGGTTAGTGATTACCACAAAAGATACTATTCAGGTTGTGCAACAATAGTTATGAAAGAAACATACATTAAAAAGACAAAAATCAAAGAAGCAGCTCTCATTCTACTCAATACAGAAACAATGTGTGGCGAATTCATCAGCAGAATGTAGCAGGATTTGTTTGCCAATAATTAAAGAAGAAGTCATCAACAAAAACGGAATAAGAAACCCAGTATACACATCATTCTCTACCACACACAAAACACAGGAACTAAACAGGAACATTCTAAACACATACAAACCCTATATAATTAAACAAACACATTACCGTAGATAATCAGAGTTTGAATTTTCCATTGGGCAAAACATCCACTCTCACATATTTTCAGACAAATGTGGCTGTTACCTATAACACCGTGGGCAAAAGTGAACCAACGTCCAATTTTGTGGACATGATATACATTGTCAACAATCTTGCCGGTTATATACACCTTTTTTCAATACTAAAATCACAATCAAGATGCACTAGAAATAAATAAACCAAGACACGTTAAATGTTACAAGGTGCCCTCTCAATAATGATTTTTAATGTATATACATTGTAAAAATCCCAAATCATGATTTACAAAGTTTATACATTGTAAATCATGATTCTGGAGTGTTTGTCATAACATTCAAGTGTCTTGGTTTGTTTATTTCTAGTGCAGCTTGATTGTGATTTTAATATAAATTATTTAATAACTGTTTTTGAGAACGATTTCCGGAGTGGAAATTAAAACATCAAATTTTCTAGATAAAATATAATTGTCATTGCAATCAATTGTGGCTTATTCTGATAAAAACATAGTATTTAACTTAGACATGTCACAAGAAAACAGTTTTAGAACTTTGTGGTTTTAATAAAAATAGATATGCAACTCTGTAAACAGCAGTAGCAATTATTATACTAGAGAGATATCGCAACGTCAAACGTTAATACCGTTTCAACACGTAAATAACGGATAACGGTCTATTGAAACGCAGGTATCAAGAGAGTTATCGCAAATTGTTCTGGGCGGGGTACGATAAGACTTAACGTTATTATGACAACCGACGTTTGGCATTAAATGTAACCTAAAATAGAATAGAAATCTGCCTAGAAATTAATGTTAGTAATACTCGAATACTTAACTGTTTTTATTGAAAAATGGATTTAAAAATTGATGCAGCAATAATAGCTGGTGCCGATGATAATGAAATTGAAGATTTAATTCTTGTTCATTTCCTAGAAGGAGAAGGTATTGAGCAAGCAGAAGTGCATTTTAATTTTAATGATTTAACCAATAGTCAATGCAAAGATTTCTTTTGGTTTAGCTCCCATGACATTGGATTATTATTTAATTTGTTAAGAATTCCAAATGAAATACGAACTGCCAATAGGAATAAAGTAACAGGTAAACAAAGTATATCAAATTTAGTTGTATCAAATGATTTGAAGTTTATTATTTTTAGAGTTAATTGCTCTCTGTATCCTATTAAGAACAAGAAGGTTAATTTACCGAATCGTCGGAAGGATATTCAACATTTAAAACTTTTGCAGCAAGATGTAGAAAGTGTATAATAATGTAGCAGTTATATTTACGAATATTCATACTTGTTTGTATGGCAGTGAAACAAGAGATTTTTTAATACAGAGTCACCCACTGTACAAGAATATTTAAGAATTTAAGAAAAAATAAACTAACAAAAATTGAATTAGTTTTATTTCTACTAAAATCTACCCATTTAAATATTTCAACCTTAATAAACAATGGAATGCTAGAAAAAAATTAAAAAGCACATATTAACAAAATAAATAATTTACATAATCCTTAATTACATTACAATGTAAAAAATAGCATTCTCAGAAAAAATACATAAAATTAAATTTACAATATATCAGTAGTATCATAACAAAACATTTATTTAAGGAGTTACCATTTTTTACAAGTATATAACAAAATTGGATTAGTTTTATTTTTCTACTAAAATTTACCTATTTAAATATTTCAACCTTAATAAACAATGAAATGCTAGACACAAATTAAAAACCACATATTAACAAAATAAATAATTTACATAATCCAAATAATGTAAATACATTACGATGTAAAAAATAGCATTTTCAGAAAAAAATACATAAAATTAAATTTAAAATATATCAGTAGTGTCATGACAAAACATTTATTTACGGATTTACCATTTTTACAAGTTTATAACGTTAACCTGTACAAAGCATAAGGTGCATTAAATAAATCAATCCAAAATATTTAAAAAAAGAAACACGTTAGAAAATAATAGAAAATATCTTAATAACTTATATCCTAAGCACAAAAAGTTTAAAAACTTTAGTCTAAACAAAATAAGAACACACGTGTTTCTCAACAAACCAAACAAGATAATTCAGTCATGTTTATATAGTTTCTAAATTTGTATTCTTTGAAATAAGTTTTGTGTTTCATCCCAAATGTCAAATTATCGTTTAACGTAATTACCACCCCTTATTTCGACCCAAATAGCGGAAGCCCTTATCCGTTATTAACGTAACATTCACTATGCGCTTGCGTACATGTCAAAATAGCGTATTCCGCTATTAGCGTGCGATAAAAATGCACTTGCGATATCTCTCTACTGTCTTTTGGGTTGCATAACTAGATGTTCATTAGCTTACTGCTTGCTATAATGATATTTAATGTACATTATTATTTTATAAGTATGATTCTTAAGACAATATTACTATAAATTTAATTTCCCTGAGGATATAAAAAACATGAATCAAAATCATTCTAAATCCTTCGTGAAGATCCAAATACAGTATAACCTGCCACATCCGGATCAATGTGGCGACCGACCGGTCCAAATGTGAAAAAATCCGGATATCAAGACTATTTAAAAATATGTATCTGTAAACGGCCTTAAATTTTTACTATACATAGTTTATAGCGTTTTAGTCATTTAATGTCAGGACTAAAATACAATACATACATACATTACATAGATAAGAAAGGTAAAATAAAAACTCAAACATCATAGACTTTTCAAGCTGTATTTCTGTTCTTATAAACAAAAATTTAACTTTTATAAATTTAGTACATACATACTATATGCTCCGTACTAAAAACAAAAGGTTACCCTGTTCGCCTGCACTTAACCACTTGTTAACATCGTCTTCCTTCATTTTTTCACATCCGGCAGCTTACCAGTTCAGCGATCTCTTCTTCCTTGAAAATTTCATTGGTACCTTCCTCCAGGTTTTCTCCCGTCCACTCATCAGATGTTTTGTGGTCTAACAGCTTCCTCCATGACTTAATTTTTTTTTAATGTTATCCCAAGCTTGTGCCACCCACATCACCACATCCAACATGTCCACTTTTTTTAGAGTCTCTGTAACGCTTTCTCGTTCATCTCATAGACTGAGAGATGGATGTCACATTTGGGGACAAAAAACCACTTTATTTCGCTAATTTTTAGTTCTTCTGGGTCGGAATGAGACGGTGCGTCGTCCAACAGCAGAATTGCTTTTCTCGGTACTGTTCATCCAAGCACTCTTTTGATGACGTACTAAACTGGCAGGGAAGGAAAGTCTCTAAAGTTTTTGAAAGTCCTAGGTTTTTTGACTTTCCGATAAATCCTAGAGGCAGTTTATGAGATCCTGAAGCGCTGTTGCAGACTAAAATTGCCACTCTTTCCGTTTTCTTTTTGAATCCTGGTGCACTGTCTTGTCGTTTTGAGGTCAGAGTGTAGGTGGGCAGCATTTTATAATTGAGACCTGTTTTGTCACAATTGTACCGCTGGTCTCCGGTAATTCCTCCTTCTTCTAGTAAGCTGTGCAAGGTCTTTTTGAAGACTTCGACAACTTCTGGGTCAGCAAACAGTTTCTCATCACATCTGTAGCTTCCGAACACCGTACCGATTTTTTCAACTCTCCAACCATCCTTCACTTGCCTTGAAATCATTATCACCTACAATTTCTTTGTTGAAAAGTAACGCTTTTTCTTTTAATATAGGTCCTGAGATTGGTAATACCTGCTTTGGGTGAACCAAAGATACAAATACTCATTGATATGGTTGTTAGGGGCATTTTCATCATTTTCAGTTTGTTTATCTCAGTTGTTGAAGCCTGCGATGATCACCATTTTTCAATTTTGCTTCTAGATTTTTTCCAGTCACTCACAGTGCTAGACCCTACACCCATCTCAACAACAATCTTCTTAGCCGTTTCACCAGCATGTAGCCTCTTCAAAGCACGAAAGCTTTCTTCCATTGTTTCAAAATTTTCCTTCCTTTTTCCGGCCATACTATCACAAAAACGATGGACAAACAATGAACAAACAACGATCACAATGTCAAGTAGGTACGAATCTTAAAAATTTCACACCAAACAACTTTCACTGCTCAAGAGCAAACAAAGACTGAGAGAAACACAGACCCACAGTCGAAGAAAGTCAAAACGGTAGAGTCATTCAAGGTCACATACCACGCTAGAAATACACCCATTCGTAGAGAACTATATAGCCGCGGAGCCGTTCATATCTTCGAAAAATTTGTTCCGCGAACTATCCGGATATGGAAGGTCCGTGTGGCAGGTTAAACTGTATTTAGTAACATACACTCTAAGCAATTAATTGTATTGTGGCAGCATACCAATATAATAAACTATTATTCACATTATTATTAGTACTTACGTGACGTCGTCTATGTCTAAACCTCTAGATGCCAGATCTGTAGCTATCAGTAACCTATTGTAACCAGACTTGATGTCTAGATACGCTTGTTCTCGATCTTCTTGCGGCTTATCTCCGTATAAGCAATCACAACGAACACCGCTTACTTGTAAATCACTGGTAATGTCAGTTACTGCCGCTTTCTTTCCACAGAATACAATAATTTTGTCGTCTTCTCCCATATTACGAACAAAATTATAGAACTAAAAAATATATCGTATGACAAATACAATTTAGGAAAATTAAGCAAATGTTTTTTTATACTGCATTTGTTAATTATGGCCTGAGGATATGTAGAATTAGAGTACTTTTTACACTAGCGTCTAGACAGCATACCAACAAATCAGGCAGATCGATATCGATTTATTCAAATAAGAGTTTTTGATCACATAGGAAAATATGATAATCGAATCGTATTTCCTAGTGTGTTTGTCAAGTGTCAAAGTCAAATACTTGTGTTTGTTTTGTTAAAATCATTATACATATTTTTAAACTCATTTTTTTTTAATATGGAATGCCCAACTTGTTGCAAAAAATTATATTGCGCAACATATTAGAAAGTTTCATGTGGAACACCTTGCCCCAAGAGTATACAAAGTTGCTAGTAATTATGCCTTTACTTGTACAGTATGTAAGAAAAATTTCAATGAAAAATCTAATTTAAATCAGCATACGAAAACTCATGATATCAGGGTAAATGTGAAGTCCAAAGAATGGAGAAAACAGTGTGGATTGTGCGATTTCCATGATTGCAACAAAAATCTTACCTATAAGTTTAAAAACATTATGAGTTACTAATAGATTATAACAGACAACTGAATACCTGTTGGGAGAAATTCCACTGCTTTTTAGGCAATGCATTTTTACCTAAAACACATAGGTAATCTATGTGTTGCAACTAAATTAATAATTTTAATTCTTCCATTTATTTAAATCACAATTACCATTTTCTAATAATTTAGGTTATGGTTATGTTATTGTTTCTCCCGATGACATAACCAGCACTCCGAGCTACTAAATTCAATTCGATTGTATCGATCTGAATTTGATATCGATACCGAATCGCCTGATTTGTTGGTATGTTGTTTAGACGCTAGTACTTTTTACTATATTTAATTTATTGAATAATATTATTTTATCTATATCAGTAAATGACTTACATAATCCCTTTTTTCTTCTTCCGTAAGAATCACGATTGTTTGATGTACCGTATGACTAGCTGTCAAATCTAGCGCCCCGATGGACACTTGAATGGGATCTTTCATATATGATAACGCCAAACGCTTGACACCGTTAGGCCATGTAGCACTGGTCATCACCGTTTGTCTGGTAGGCCTTACCGCATACATAACCCTTCGAATCTGCGGTTCAAAACCCATGTCCAACATCCTATCTGCTTCGTCAAGTACCACATAGGTTACGTACTTTACATTTAAATGTCCTAAAAATAAATACCAACTAATTGTAAGTGTTACATTCATGTATATGAGAAGTGAATTTCCCTTTTTATTTTTGAAATATTTAAAAATCTCACATTAATCTTATTAAATATATGTAATATACGCAAAAATGCTAAATTTTAAAATAAAATGAAAATTTACAGCATAATCCGAGTTGTTGGTTTTTTATTTTTATCTTCGTAAAGTAAGTTATGTATATTGGCAGTTTTAAATACTTATGAATATTGCATCTTAATTTATATTGTATTATTATATTAAATTATGCTGCAGTGTATTTATTGTACTGTAATTTTTCTGCAGAGTATGTGTAAAAAAAAAATTTTTGCATTCCACTGCTTTTATAAATTATATGGAAATAAAATATATATATATATATTTTCGTTAAAATATTGATACAATCCTTCATTTACTATACTCCTATTACAGGTCAAATGTTTATATACAGCAAACGATGCACCATATACCTATATAACTAATTTTTTCTAATTTTTTTCTCTTTTTGCTCCCTCTCTCTTACCTATAGCATTACATAAGTAATGATTGTGCAGATTGACTCCCATATAAATTTGTAACGGCGAACGCGTGTATAGAAGTATAACTTCTACCGGCAGTCCCACAGAACTGCCACACCAGTTTTTTTTTATATCTGCGGCATCAATCATCGCGAATATGTTTTTTCCAACCAGACAATGACTGGACGTTTTTTGTTGGTATCCTGTGCAAGAGTTTTTGATGAAGAAAGCATTTGTAGCATTCCAACACTGCTACATCCACGCTGTAGCATTAATATCACCCCTGTGAGTTGTTCTTGTTCCTCAAGATGAAGTTACACCTTTTAATATATAAGAATACATTCAAACTTTGGATTAACAGGGAAGACTAGTGTGATGATCGGTAATTTAATTTTACTAGTAATCTAGTTGTCTATTCTAGTCTAAAAATTTCATTGCCATACTTCGTCTATTCAGTAGGAGAATGAGACCAAAATTTAAAAAAAAACACCGAATTTAAGAAAAAATGGACTCATTACAAAATTTTTATGATGATGATCTGAAAATAATTAAAATACACATTTTCATTCATTTACCGTTTAACTTTTCCATTAAAACTGTATATAACTTTGATTCAATATAAAAGATTAACATAACTTACCAGCATCATGTAAATCATTTAACCTGCCAGGCGTAGCGATAACGATATCAATTCCCTTTTTGACGACATCGATTTGGCTTCGTCTATTACCACCACCGTAAATGCAAACTCTATAAATAAAATTTGTAGTTAGGTACACATTGGTTATGTATCACCTTATGGTTCTAGCAACGAATATAAACGCATATAGAAACATTTCGCAAATTAGAGAAATGGTCTCGGTTAGTATAATTCAAAATACTCCTGTAGATTACGAAAGCAAAAACTTTGGAGATTTCTACACTTTTAATTTAAAAATTTGCATCACAATATTTTTTATAGTTCTAAAAAGATTCAGTTATTAAAAGTATAAGTTTGTACAAAAAATATGGTGTATGAGTAGGATTTAATATTTAATTTTATAAAATGCAAAAATTTAAGGCCAAGCATTTCCAGCCTCACCATTTCATAATTCAGAAGCAGTATTTGTTTGTAGACCATGGACGGTGTGGTCGTGAAGGGGGATCACATAAGCGCTCCCTGGCGTTGCAGGAACAGAAGTGAAAAAGTAAAATGTTCCCGCACAGAATATACCAAAAAATTACGTTGAAATGTGCTTCTATATGTGTCTATATTCGTTGGTTGTAGTCTCATATTTCTACAACCAGATGGCGCCACCAATAACAAATATGATTTAAAAAGTTCCAAAGTTCAATTTGCCAAAATTTGAGCAGAATTGGACTATTAGTTTACAATTAGACATCTGAAAGAGTTGCGGAGATATGAAGACTTAAAAATAGCTCTAACGTATAACGGGAAATAATAAATGAAGGGGAAAAATACTGCAAAATACTACACGTAAAAGAGCGATGGCAACGTAATTAAGAATAGTATACTAAAAGCGACATAGCATGTAATAGGAGAACAGGAGAAGCATCGAAACGCAGAGTGGCTTGACGCTTAATGTAGATTGATTCTAAGGCAAAAGGACGATGTGAGAATAAAACATTTACAACTAGGAACAAAAAGTACTACAAAAAAAAAGGATGAGTACAATATTAAAAGAAAAGTGGCAACAAAAGCGTGAAAGAGCAAGAAACGCGAGCAGTATGATTTAAAAGCGTAAGATAGAGATTGAAGATGTCAAAAGGAAACGTATTCATCAAATTACGGTACAATAACTCCTCACATCAGTGGTATTGAAGTCCAATAATCAACAGTTTCAACACAAATCGCAGATAGGTCGTCATAAATGGCATATAAATTGTTATTAAAGTTAGTTTAATTTAATTAAATAAACTGCCGGATAAATTTCTGTAAGAGCAAACAATTTCTAATTTCATAAGATCTGCTCCAGGTAACCTTCGCCGAGCAAATTCCAAAGAAATCACTGGTATAAAACATTCAATAGCTGTTTTTAAGCATTGAAAACTGGTGTTGCTTCACAGTTGAACAGGTCCAAATTCTTAAGGTTCTTCAAATGCTTTAGTGGCTCTAATGTCTCCAGATCTTTGATTTTATTGCCACTGAGGTTGAGAGTTGTCAATTTTGGACTAGTTTCTAGCAGATTTAGTCCATTTGCTAACCTGTTGTCACTCAATTCAAGTTTCTTTAGATTTGGGAGCTTAGGGAAGCCTTTAAGAGAATTCAGCCCAACATTGATGAGAGAAAGATTTCTCAAATTTGTGAATACATCTGTTAATCCAACTATACTGGTACTTCTTGAGTTATCTAAGATTAAGTCTTTAATTTCCTCAGGATCTCTGCCCCGTTTTTCCAATTCTATGCGCTTCTCCATTCCAAAATCGTTTCGTTTTTAACACAAACGACACAAAATACACAAAAAAGGAGTCTGGACAGGCTCCTTTTTACATAAATATTTTACTTAGAGTAAAAAATAAATTATTTACTAGGTCTGTTAATGTCATTTGACGAGAATTGTATCAAAATATTGTATATATGTTGGTACTTACGAAGTGATACCTCTGTATTTGTATTTTTGTACTTCGTTGTGAATCTGTAATGCTAATTCCTCGTTGGAGCCATGACGAGCACAGACGGTCCTGATCTTTCTTGGCGAGGAGTAATTTGTCCCTCGATATGGATTAATGCGGGTAAAAGGAATGCCAATGTTTTGCCTAGAATAAAAATTAGTAACAAGTAATAGACTATTATTGATCACAAAAAAAAAATATTTCTTAGATGTAAAGGCTCTCTTAAGTTTAAAGAGATATTATATTGAATCGAATAAATTTAACAAAAAAATGTTAAAAACATTCACACAATGTTATAAATTAGGAATAAGCATTAAAAAATTTAAAACTCGGCGAGAAAGCGGTAAAAAATGAAAATCGAAAAAGATTGATAAAAAATTTAGATTTTTGGATACACTAAAAAGAGGTAAAAAACCGTTACACATGACGAGAAAGCATTAAAAAACTTATAAGTGACGAAAAAGTCTTCCAAAATTGTCGAATAAGCGATGGAAAACTTCGACACAAAGTCATAAGCGCTGAATAAGCATAAAAGAAGCAATAAAAATTGTCGAGAAAACTGTAAAAAATTGGCAAAGCATCGAAAAAGATCGATAAACAATTAAGATTCTTTATTGACTAGCTTTTTAGGCCATACCTAAAACACAAAGTGCAAAACACTGTGATCAACACCGCTTAATAAGCTTGATAAATCACATTACCAAAGTTTTCACCAAAATCATACACAATAGAATATATTCGCTCCGTGCGTGACCATGGTAGGGGTACATTGAAACGATGCCAGCGTGCGTAGCGGCGAAATATGACAAAATTGGAATATTGGACAAAATATTTTTACGCATAAATTTTATCAAAAATGTATGCATTGTATGCATAAATTTTATCAAAAATGTATTCAAATACATGTTGCGTATTTAATTGTGCTAATAATAGCAAAAACAGTGAGTGTAGTTTTTATAGGTTCCCAAAGATTACATATAAATTAGAGAAAAGAAAAAGATGAATTCGTGCTATTAATATGAAAAAGTAAATATCACATAATTTCATTTTTATGCAATTGAAATAGGAAAAATTGAAATAATTTACCTTGAATGATATTTGATAAGGCTTCAAGCTAACTGCAGATGACTTTAGCTTTTATATCATAACTTTTACCATTATTGTTTTTAATTATATGCTCTTTTGCGTGAAAAACTTGATTTGCCAGTATTAGATTTTTCCCTTTCTTTTCCGTTTGGAGTTGAAAAGATATATTATGATGAATTTTGAGAAATTAAGTTTTTAATACTACATTTATTTTGAACATAAACTGAAAAAATATAGTTAAAAAACTAATTTATTAATAATTGTCAATTTCGCATGTATTTAACAATGTCAAACATATGTCATATGTTTAACCTGAAAATTGGGACTCCAAAATTGTCAGATGAAGGCGGTAGGTGTCGCGTCAGTCACGCACGGAGCGAATAACAAACCATGCAGAGACATGCACAAGGACGTCCAGTTGTGCTTCATCGACTTCTCCAAGGCGTTTGACAAGGTCAAACATGATAAACTCATGGAAATGCTCAGGGAGATGCATATTGATGGCAAGGATCTGCGCATAATAACCAGTCTCTATTGGAACCAAAGTGCTGAGATAAAGATGGGCAACTTACACAGTGGGAAGATAGATATTAAAAAGGATGTACGACAGGGATGCGTCCTCTCGCCGCTCCTGTTCAATAAATCTTCAGAGAAGCACTGGGAGAAGTTTCGGAGGGTATCAAAGTAAACGGAGAGGTAATCAATAATATTAGATATGCTGACGACACATTATTATCGCAAATGACTGCAACGAGCTTCAAAGACTCATGCAAAGCATACACACAGCAAGTCAAGAATATGGTTTAGAACTCAATACGACCAAAACTAAATGCATGCTCATCAGCAGAACACAACAACCTCCGATGCAATTGACATTAAACAACCGAAAAATAGAACAAGTGGAGACATACACATACCTTGGAACCACAGTCAACACAAAATGGGACCAGTCAACAGAAATAAGATCACGAATTGAAAAAGCGCGAAACGCGTTCAACAATATGAAAAAGTGGTTCACAAGCAAAATCTCAATGGAACTAAAATTAAGACTGGTCAAGTGTTATGTCTTTCCGGTCTTGTTCTATGGAGCAGAGGCATGGGCCACAACGGAAGCCACCCTGAAGAAACTAGAATCCTTTGAGCTGTGGATATATCGCCGTATTCTTCGGATATCCTGGACAGACCACATTACTAACGTGGAAGTAATGCAAAGAATAGGCAAAAGCAAAGAAATAATCTTCACCGTAAAGAAACGGAAGCTTGAGTACTTCGGACATGTCATGAGGCATACTAAGTACCGGCATACTAAGTACTAAGTACCGGCTGCTACAGTTAATAGTCCAAGGAAGAATCGACAGTAGGAGGGGACCGGGAAGAAGACGACACTCATGGAAGCATAACCTGCGACAATGGTTCGGACTAACATCGACCGAACTGTTCAGAGGTGCCGTAAACAAAGTCAAAATAGCCTTGTTAATAGCCAACGTCTGAAAAGGATAGGGCAAAGGAAGAAGATTGGCTATTGGACACACTAAAAAACGGTAGGAAACAGCTGCACATGAAGAAAAAGTATCGGATAAGAAATGAAAAACTTTTAAACAATGTTATAAACAACGAATGAGCGCAAAAAACGATTAAAAAACGTCTTGAAGGAATTAAAAAATGAGAGAAATATCGAAAAACATTGATACAGCAATTAAAATTCTTTATTGGCCATTGGATACACTAAAAAGCGGTAAGAGACCTCTGCACACAAGGCGATAAAAAATGGGAGAAGCATAGAAAAGGATTGATAAAGCAATTAAGATTCTTTATTCGCCATCGGACCCACTAAAAAGCGGTAAGAGCGGTAATACATGAGAAGGAAGCATTAAAAAAAGTTAATACCGACGAAAAAATGTTAGAAAAACTCTAAAGTCAAATCAAATAAGCGATAGAAAACTTTGGCACAATGTCATGAGCGCCAAATAGGCATAAAAAAGCATTAAAAATTGTCGACAAAACTGTAAAAAGTTGGAGAAGCATGGAAAAAGATTGATACACTAAAAAGAGTTAAGAAATCACTACAGATGACGAGAATGGCGAGAAAAAATTTAAAAAAGTTAAAAACGAACAATCGTTCGTTTGTTCGACAAAAACAAACGACAGAATGTGATAAGCGATGAATAAGCATAAAAAAGCTAAAAATCGTCGAAAAAGCGGTAAAAAATTGGAGAAGCATCGAAAAAGATCGATGAGAACTTCTATTTATATTAGTTTCAATCAGTTTTTACCGTAAGATTCACCATAAATACCTTACGTATTTGATGAAAATTACATTTCACAAAGAAAATTTCTAATTGTATTAATTTGAAACTGCTGCGTTTTTACCGCAATATTTCATTAGATCTCAAAAGCATATAAAAGTAATTAAAAAACAAACTTCGTTCCTTTTTTTTTTAGTTAATGCCTCGACAACTATGATCATTGGCATGGTACAGTCAGGTACCTAGTGTAGTGTGTGTGTGTATGTGTAGAGTAATTGTCTTGATACTTAGCAAAGTCGACGTCATTGTCTTTGCTAAGAGACGCTAATTGTATCCGAACGTCTGCGGTCCTCCGGTGAGTACCGATCGCACATGGATAGAAATTATTTTCATTCATTAATTTTTAATAAACAAAAATTTCTCTACCCAGATGGGATTCGAACTCACGACTTTTAGGTTTAAAGGTAGGCGCTCTTACCACTGAGCCACAGAGGGGGTTCAAAAGTAGTTTTTTATCTATCGTTATAGTTATGTCAACTTAACAACCATAAATAGATACTCCTCAGACTTGTATATTATACTCCTATATAAAATAAATTATTTTTATTGTTATTGTTGGGGATTAAGGCCTGCTGATAAATTATTTAAATGGCTCAGTGCAATGAGCAATTACAGTAAAACTTTGTTATTATTGTAAATAATCTTATCATTATTGATTGACTGTTTTACACCTTGTTTTTATCGTTGTTTCAATCAATAGTATATATATAAATATATATATATATATATATATATATATATATATATATATATATTATATATATACATCCTACCATCAACGGAGCGTCCGTACATTGTCTTTTTACCGTCAATAGAGCGTCCGCCTACATCAGGGCGTCCGTATATGGACGCTCTAATTTTTGTTTGCTTAAAGTGCCTAAAATGTCATCCAGAACCACTTTACAAATTTTTACGGGGACGCCTTATGATGGTTTTTTGTAAAAATATATACGATGAATGTATATTATAGTTTGAGACTTTGACGTCGAAAGCGCGCTGGTCAAGCTCTGCGTATACTTTTCAGAGTATATTTATCATCAGTTCTATCGCGTTTAGGGCGTCCGAAGTGTTGGCAACGGTGGATTCGATACACATGATATGTGCCTAATAACTTAATAAGTTTAATTTTATTATCTTGTTGTATTCTCGACACCACACAGAGAGAATATGTTTCCTAACGGTAGACTCTTTCCGCCTGAATATGTAAGTTATCAATATTCGTGAAATGAAATTGAAAATGAAAGAAACCTTAAATAACCAGGGAAAACACGATAGGGCAATATTTGATAGCGACAGTTTCAAATATCAAAATTTAAAACATATTATTGGATTTTGTTACATTTTTAAATAATACATGAAAAATTAAATTTCAAGGCTCTACCTGTTTCGAAAATAGGGAACTCCGTAGAGCCGTTTTACAAAAAAAAACTCTATTTTCTGTAGCAATTTATGTGTAAAATGTACAAATGGAAACTGTAATAATTGGAATGAGCTAAAATAAAACGACGATCATTTAGAAAGTAAATCCTACATTTACCTACAAGAAAATTTTGAATCACTACAATAATGCGTTTTTATTATGGTTCTTTGAATTAAATAATGGAAAATAGTGTGAAATATAATTACTTTACAAAATTTGAGAATTAAAAAATAGGTTTTTTTTAAAGAATTCTTGAATAAATATTTACATTGATAATTTGTTTATTTTAATGTTTTTTATGAATTTATACATTATTAGTAATTTTAACCCAC